GGCTTATGAAATCTCTTTCTTGCTGGTTGCTCAGACTTGTTATTCTTATGTTTCATTTCTTATTGTCATCTTTATGTTGATCTTGCCCTGTCTTTCGGCCTGTGAGCTGTATATACCTCCCACGCGGTTAGCAATGAAGAGCGTACGATACCCAAGTCTTTCATCCTAACTTTCGTAAAAGATGAAACAAAAGCAAGTATCAAATTGAAATCAAATACAGTATCTAAGCAGTTTCCCATCTACCTTACGAGACGTTTGCGGGGTGGGGAGTCTCGGTGCGGATCTGCGAGCCATTCGCCGCAGCGGGCGAGCTCAGCTACTCACTTCTTCACCTCGCGGGTCTCCCGACACCCGTAAAATTCCCATCCGCTCAACTGCCAATCCAACCTCCACCCCATCTTGTCATTCTCTCGCGGTCTGGGTGGGTGTCAATTTCACCAAGTGCATTTTCCGATCGTTCCCAATATGGCATCTCTATTAGGCGCAAGCTACGACTCGAGTGACGATGACGCCGCGGTGCCCAACCCTTCTGTGACAACCGCAACCAAGATCGTTGCCGCACCAGAGGTCAATACAGAGGTTTGGTACCCCATATGCCACCCTGCCTACTTTCACTGCCCTGTCCTTTACCACTCGCTTCATACTAGGATGTCCAGATAAGACTAACTCCCCTACAGGACCAAGCGCATATGCAGATGACCCTCGCCAACACCTCGTCGCAAGCCCTCACTTACAACGCCACATACGATGATCTAACGCGACCCTCGCAGGGTCCCGTAAACCCTTTCAAACCAGCAGGCCCCGGCAATGGGGTCAAGCGGAAGAATGTTCCGACCGGATTCGCAGAGGAGGCGGCCATTAGCGAGGCGACGTTCGCCGCGCAACATCGCACCTTCCAGAGTCTAGGATATACACGCAATCCAACCAAGCCGGACCAATTCGTTGGAGATATGAACAAAGTCGCGCAGTTTGGAGGACGGGATGTCGTGCAAATGAAGCCCTCCAAGGAGGCATCTGCTGCATGGCGCGCAAAGCGACAGAGGAAAGGTGACTCCAGTATCGTGGAGGGTGATGGCGCGTACGTGGGGCCGTGGGCGAAATATGAGAATGAACAGCAATACGAGGAAATTGAGATTGGTTCTGGAGAAGAGCGCGAGCTTGCAAGTGACGAGGAGTGGGCGGAGGAGGATGAGACTTTGGCCCCGGCGGCGCCCATGCCGGCCATGAGCAAGGAAGCTACCGAGTACCAAGGGGATACATCGAAGGTAGAGACGACCGAGTTCCACGGCTCCGAGCAGTTCGATTACCAGGGCCGGACGTATATGCATGTACCCCAGGATCTGGATATCGACCTGCGCAAGGAAGTGGGCAGTATTAAGAACTACGTGCCTAAGAAGCTGGTGCACACCTGGAAGTCGCACACCAAGCCTATTACTTCGCTTCGCTTCTTCCCTACGTCCGGCCACTTGCTGCTTTCGTCTGCCGCGGACGGAAAGGCGAAGATCTGGGATGTGTATCACTCTCGGGAGTTGCTTCGCACTTTCTCCGGTCATTCCAAGGCCATCACCGACACTGATTTCGACCCGACTGGAAAGACTTTCCTCACCGGTTCCTACGACCGACAAATCAAGCTCTGGGATACGGAATACGGAAAGTGTCTGGGACGTTTCTCCACCGGCAAGACACCGCATGTCGTGCGCTTCAACCCCGGTGTGGAACACGGGCACGAGTTCCTGGCTGGTATGTCGGACAAGAAGATTGTTCAATTCGACACACGGTCCGGCGAGTTGGTCCAAGAATACGACCACCACCTGGCAGCTATCAATACCATCACCTTTGTTGACGATAACCGCCGCTTCATCTCGACATCAGACGACAAGTCGCTACGCGCTTGGGAGTACGGTATCCCCGTGCCTATCAAGTTCATTGCCGAACCCTACATGTTCGCTCTCACGCGGGCGACCCCTCACCCCAACGGCAAGTACGTCGCCTTCCAGTCCGGCGATAACCAGATCGTTGTCTACGGCGCCACGGACAAGTTCCGACAGAACCGCAAGAAGAGCTTCCAAGGACACAATAATGCCGGATATGGAATTGATATCAAAATCTCACCCGATGGTCAATTCCTCGTCTCCGGTGACAGTGGCGGCTACGTTTGCTTCTGGGACTGGAAGACCGGCAAGATGTATCATAAAATCCTGGCGGGTGGAAAGGAGGGCGGCGCTATTACCTGCTTGGACTGGCATCCGCAGGAGACAAGTAAGGTTGTTACGGGTGGCTTGGAGGGCGTTATCAAGTACTGGGATTAGGGGCTGTCCTACGGTTTCGCGCAAGCTTGGGTTTTGCGGATGTTTATACCGGCCCTTCTCCCTTTATCAGGCGTTCGATATGGAAACCGGGGTACCAGTCATCTATGGCAACCTCTTTTTATCACTTTCTCAAAAACTCCAGTCTTCATTTCGTAACAAGGATATCCAAAATGTGATCTATATAAACAAGATGGGAGAGCTTCTCTTAATATGCAAAAGACGAAACTTTCAAAATGCAGTGCTCCGAAGCTTTTCCCGTCGCTCAAATTTCCCCCAATCTCTTTTGAATACTACCAGATGCTGGCCAAGTACCGCAGCGAAGCACGGAAGAACCGTATCGGGGAAAAGTACCGCGGATACCTCCACATCAGTATCGACGCCGCACCGACACCAGCGAGCAGTGCAGCACTCAGGCCCAGACCGAGCAATTCGCCCTGCCGGGCCACAGCCCGAACAACCTCCGAATACCGCTGATTGCTGAAACTCACACGAGCATACTGTGTCCTCCACCCCAGGGACGGAAGATGCCGATCAAGGGTTTCCTCGAGGGATTTGCGGATCCTGTAAAGCGGGGACTTGACACCCCAGCGCATCTCGAGATAGTTCTCCTTGGATAGATCGTTAATAGCATAGGTATCCTCACAGCGCTGATCAGTATACGCCTGGAAGGCAGCTTGGCGTCTCACGCTCCGCGTGTAGACGCTAACGTCCGAATCATAGACGCCGTGTTTATCGAGATGCTCAAAGAGGACGCGGACGTCTTCGAGACCGGCGTTAAGACCTTGTCCGTAGAAGGGAAGTACGGCATGTGCCGCATCGCCGAGTATAGCCACGCTCGAGCTGAAATGGTGCGGCTTACATTTGATGCTGATCAACGGGAGATGCGGGTTCACGGCGAACTGTTCACTCAGAGCCTCGGGCTCGATGAGTTCCGGACACACGCCGGGGAAGTGTTCATCGAAGAAAGCATGTATATCCTGCGGCGCGTTCTCGAGGGCGGTATAGTGGACCGAGGGCGCGAATAATGTACAGGTGAAAGATTTATCTGCCGATGGCAACGCGATGAACATGAACTCGCGGCCCGGCCAGATATGCAAATGATTTGGAGAGATGCGGAAGTTTCCATCCTCGGAAGGTGGAATTCGAAACTCGCACCATAGCGTATCGATATATTCTTGTTGGTAGTCGACGCGGGCGAATTTCATCATGTGGAATCGGGCGGCGGAGTGTGCTCCATCGGCGCCGATGAGGTAGTCGTAGGAGACTTCAATTTCCGGCACACGACCAGCAATGCCTAGGTTATCCGGCTGGGGTGTCTCGCCGGGGATGCGTCGCTCAAACCAGGCTTTGTTAGTACGGAAGTCCGCACCGGTGAGCTTGTAGTTGAAGAAGAGCTTGACATTGGGAGCACGCTCCAACTCGTCGAGGAGCGCATTGTTCAATGCACTGCGATCCACGGCATTGATGGCCTAGGTTGCAAATAATTAGCCCCAATTCTGCAGTCCAAAATTTAGAGCCATGGCTAATGCGCCCGTGGCCGGCAAATGCAGGTACTATGTAACATAGATCACATCTGTCGGGACCTGTCAGGTACTTACCCGACCATGGACGTCATAAGCTTGCGCAGCCTCCCATAGCTGCCCTCGGTCTCGGCCGTGGATCATCCGCCCATACATGGGGATAGTCTCACGGAGGACATTTTCGATCAGACCTGATCGCTGCGACTGTCGGAGAGAAGTGAGGCCACGCTCTGAAATGGCCAAGTTGATCGACTTGGTAAAGTTTAGCGGAACGGTGGTGGGATCACGGAGATCTACGGATGCACGAAAATTATTATTAGACTTTTGCTTCCGGGAAATTTCGCAACGCGGGGGAATTGAGCGGCCGTCGCGGGGAGTTGTGGATGATTGGAATCAATTTGAAATCGAGTCAACCGATTTTCAAACATTGTATTTCGTATGGGATGTAGGGGACCTTGTGCGACTGTTGAAGGTGGCATGATATAAAATTGACTCGCGCTTCGGAGAGCATTGCACCGCAAGGACATGCATCTTCCATGCATTGATCTTTCACTTTCTTCTTCTTTCTGTCGGGGTCGCGTGGGGAGAACAGGGAAGGGGTCAGAGTTATATCGAACAGAGCCAGAACGTACCGCCACGCAACTCATATACTTCGACTTCATCGCCACGGGATGCAGCGTACAACGCGGCCAGGGCGCCCACGGGCCCGGCACCTACCACCACCACTTTTTGCCGGGGAGTGGCAGCAGCCATGATTCAGAGGCAGACTGGATGAGGATAGTATTGAGCAAAATACAATCTCAACGTGGAAAGAGCAACCCTTTCCCCGGATGAGTCGAATAGACTCTGTCACGTGAACCGACTTCGGCCGTTGCCTGATTGGGAAATCTTTCCAAAAGGATCGACCGGGCGTTTGCTGAGTAATCGCCTCGTCGGAAATTTAACCGCGATGATGCCATTTTCTGTGCCTTGCTGCCTTGCTGCCTTGCTGGCCTGAATCAGCAACTTGAAATCGGCTCGACACGCTAGTCCTATCTGGGACTAGTCGATTACCGCGCGCCCGAGGCCGCGGGGACTTGATTTTCTTTTTTGGGAACTTTTCCCTGGCTCAAGCACCAGATTCAAGATTCGTGATATTAGCCAGTCGGTAGGCCACAGAGTCAACATTACCATGGCCGCCGTCGCAACTCGGAAATGCAGTGGCGTGGACTGCGCCAAGGACGCAGGCACGCTCCAATGTCCCACCTGCCTAAAGATGGGCACCGACAGTTTCTTCTGCTCGCAAGACTGTTTCAAGCGAAGCTGGGTGAGTGATTTTGAAATAATTGATCAGTCTCAACTAGGGGACGGGTGTGATATGTTTCTATTGACTATCAAAATATATCATGGCTAACCGTATACTTCCGTATCTAGAGCGAGCACAAGACCATCCATAAGAAGAGTAATATCCTCACCAACCTCTTTCCTCCGAAGGTAGTTTCTGAACCTGATCCAGCTACCGGTCACTTCAACCCATTCCCCTCGTTCCAATTCACCGGTCCCCTCCGACCCCTCTACCCACTGTCGCCCAAGCGCACCGTTCCTGAGTCAATCCCCCACCCCGACTACGCCAAGGGTGGTATTCCAATCTCCGAGCAGAAGCTATGGGGCCAGCATAAGATTAAGATCCTGAACAAGGAGGAGCAGGAGGGTATGCGTGTAGTCTGCCGTCTGGCTCGTGAGGTTTTGGATATTGCGGCCCGTGCCTTGAAGCCCGGCGTGACCACCGACTATATTGATGAGATTGTTCACAAGGCTTGTGTTGAACGCGACGTAAGATACATCCTTCATGCAAACGGGGAGATTTCTATGCTAACGTGTGGCACTCTCTCCCTCTACAGTCGTATCCCTCGCCGCTGAACTATATGCACTTCCCCAAATCCGTCTGCACATCAGTCAACGAGACCATCTGCCACGGTATTCCCGATCAACGACCCCTCGAGGATGGTGACATTGTCAACATCGACGTTACCTTATATCACAAGGGCTTCCACGGCGATATCAACGAGACCTACTATGTCGGCGACAAGGCCCTCGCCAACCCTGACGCCGTCCGAGTCGTCGAGACCGCGCGCGAGTGTCTGGAAAAGTCAATCGAACTAGTCAAGCCCGGCATGCTCTTCCGAGACCCCGGAAACGTGATCGAGAAGCACGCCAAGACTCGCAACTGCAGCGTCGTCAAGACCTATTGCGGCCACGGCATCAACCAGCTCTTCCACTGCGCCCCCAACGTCCCCCACTATGGCAAGAACAAGGCTGTCGGCACGGCCAAGCCCGGCATGTGCTTCACCATCGAGCCGATGATTAACATTGGTACTCACCGTGACCGTACATGGCCGGATGACTGGACCAGCACTACTGCCGACGGCTCATTGTCGGCGCAGTTCGAGCACACCATGCTGGTGACGGAGGATGGCGTGGAGGTTCTGACGGCTCGTCTTCCTGACTCGCCGGGTGGTCCTGTCCCTATTCCTGTGGTGGAGAATGGAAATTAAGCATACTCTTGGGATTTTGCATCTACGTTCAGATACCTATACCTATCTTGAAGCAAAATATAACGACCTGTCAATGCCCACCATCCTAAACCCGATTTGTGCTGCTGCTCACAATAAAGTAAAAACAACAATAGCGTTTACTCCGTACCACTCACTGTATCAATCACTATGAATCATAGGAATCGTTTGGGGCGGGTTTCGATGTCTTCAAATAGCGCATGTTCGGCTCTGTAAACTCCAATGTGGGGCCACGACAAGGTGTCTCAACCCTCGAGAAGAATGGCGTCAGGCCCTATAAGCGGGTGAAACTGGTAGATTGAAACTTAAATAAGCCTTATAACAATTAATACTCGGTCTGGATCTCGTAGGATGCTTCTACTTTTGGTTATGGCAGTGGTTGTCCTTGGGTTTCAGCTAGAGTACCAAGTTGGAAAGGCTTGCTGGCCGACACTGAGCTTTAAGCTTCTCTATCATAGCCGAGATTGGTTTTGCAAACCTTATATGGTTATCGTTATCCACCCTTGCTTTTAATAATGCCAGCTTAATGTTTGGTTCGCCAACATTCTCTCGACTCTGCAGCTCCGCTGAAGTATACGCACTTAGACTGTTCAGTGTAGAGAGGTCCTTCGGAAATGATTTGATGTTGCCCTTACACCAAGCTCTTTCTTTCGAGCATTCGCTCATGAAATTCTATCGGTTTGGAAGAACATGGATGTTGAACCTCTGCATGTCAAGCTCATGTGGGGCTCACTTTATAGATCGAACTCAAGTTCCCGCATCGCACGTCAAATCTGGAGCTGATAGTTATGAAGTTCCATGGAGTAAGCTCGGTCCTCAATTCAGGCTGAACATGATACGGCCAATAATAGGTATTCAAGGATAAGACAATTGCATTTCATATGTATCCACAGCAGCATAAGCAATGCCGGTTTTCTCGGCTGTTATGACAGCCCCACCTATGGCTCGCCGTCAAGCCTTCTCCACATGTGCACCACATTATTCGCGTCCAGCACTTCTCCCTCTTCTTTGGTTTTTTTTTTCTTGTTGTTTGGTAGCTGTTTCTTTCTTATCAGTGAGAAAGACCTGTTCCTGATATTTTAGTCCCGCAATCATCTGGCAGGACAGTTAGCATATCCAATTCAACAGTTGCTTCCCGTCCAACCGGGATTTCCCCCAAATCAATATGCCCAACCAGCTTCACAGCGCACCGCCCTTCCGGGCCGAGCACATGGGCTCGTTGCTGCGTCCTGATGACCTGCTTGAGGTTCGCGCTAAGATCCGTGACACCGGTATCTCGGATGAGGCTGCTGGTCTGCACGCCGTTGAAGAGGTTGCGGTTAAGAATGTTGTCCAGCTCCAGCGGGACCTTGGTTACAAGGCTGTTTCCTCCGGCGAGTTCAACCGGACCCGTTTCTGGGGTCTTATGTGGGACGAGTTCCAAGGTAGGTCCAATTAGAGCCGCAATACCTTGTTGATAACGCGCATACTAAAGGTATAATGTTCAGGAACCATTCGTCTCCAGGATGCCGATGCCTCTATGTTCAGACTGTACCACCCCGACGTCGTCAGTCTGATCGAGAAGGACCGTAAGGTCATGCCCGGTGACTCGGTCATTGCCGGATCCAAGCTCACCTGGAGTGCCGAGAACTCCGTGTCAAACCTGCACGAGTTGAAGCTCGTTCAGGCTTCTTTGCCCGAGAGTGAGTGGGGCAACATCAAGCTCACCATGATCACTCCCGCTTGGTTCCACATGCGGTACAAGCAGGGCAAGGCGTACACTCCCGAGGCCTATGCCAACGATGAGGAGTACTTCGCGGGCGTTGCCCACGTGTACCAGGCCGAGTTGGATGCTCTGTACAAGGCCGGTCTGCGTAACGTGCAGTTTGACGACCCCGGCATGGCGTACTTCTGCTCCAAGTCCTTCCGCCAGGGCTGGGAGGAAGACAAGGACAACAATGGCACTGTTGACGATTTGTTCGACGCCTATGTCAAGCTGTACAACGATTGTCTTGCCAAGATCCCTGCCGATATGCACACCGGTATCCACCTGTGCCGTGGTAACTTCATTGGCGGCCGCCACTTCGCCGAGGGCTCATACGACATCATCGCCAAGAAGTTGTTTGAGAACCTCAATGTCAACACCTTCTACCTCGAGTATGACACCGAGCGCGCGGGCGGTTTCGAGCCTCTCAAGTTCCTGCCCAAGAACAAGAATGTCGTGGTCGGCGTCATCAGCACCAAGCTTCGTGAGCTGGAGGACAAGGAGGCGATGAAGGAGCGCATCTACAAGGCCGCCGACTTCGTGGCTTCTGGTAGTGGTGAGACCCGTGAGGAGGCCCTGAAGCGTATCTGTGTCAGCCCTCAGTGTGGCTTCAGCACCCACGAGAGCGGATACCCTCTGAGCCTCGAGGACGAGAAGAAGAAGCTGGGTCTTGTTCGGGAGATTGCCGATGAGATCTGGGGTGAGGCTTAGATGGGTGGGTATTCAAAACTCACCCAGTGGCTTGTAATGGTTTCTCGAATATTTCAACAGCGACGGGAAACTTTGATGATGTGACACGACGAGACGTATTTTCTTTCAACAGTTCGTACCCAGGTCTGGAATAACCTTGTGGGTTTGGCATGTACATATCTATATGGACCTAGGTGATTGAGAAGATGAGTGGCGGGCTTCATTGATTAGCCGCTTGAATCTGAATTTGCTTCAATGCTCTTCATTGAATGATTGATCTGGAGTACTGTGTGGGACAAAGCCCCCTCTTTTAAAGGGTCATGCAAGGCCACCAAGGTCCATGATTGCTACACCCTGGTGTACTTTGATTGGTCACTCTCTCCAGAGCTTGATTCTCAACGCCAAATTACGTTAGCAGCTTTTAATCATGGAAATTGTCAGATCTAGGTTTCCGAATAATTTTTTCTATCTCAGATCTATAAAACCCTTCCATGTACTCCTGGCACTCTGACCGCTCTGAAACGTTTACTCTTAATCCACTTCCATCACGCAATTATAGCCCCTATGACATCTGTGTCGGAAGTATCCCAATTGATCTTAGCACACACGAAAAATCTCTGATCGCTATGATTTGCTTACTTGCGAGTTGTCACTGTATGCCTAGGTCTCGGTCTCTCTTATCAACTTCGGCAACAGATTGCCGACGGGGAGGCCCGAGGGGGGCCTTCCGCAGAACAACAGCCGCAATCGACCACGATGATTCGCCCGTCTGCCGGTCGATGGATTTGTCAGAGAGGGGGAGCAACGCTTATCGGCACGTGATCGCCTCCGGGGTCCTGAAAGAGTAAGTCGCGGTTCTTCCTCGGCCATTTGATTGATTTCAACTTTCTTTCGGTTCTTGGAAGCTATTTTCGGGTGACCCTGACTCGTGAGAGACGTTCGTTTTTGATGGCGCCAAAGCGGACTCCCACGGAGACGTCCCCGTTGTTGAGTGAGAGCAACGGGCACGGCACTGCGTCGAACGGGGCGATTGTCGACCACGATGCGGAGTCGGGGGAGCCAGGACAGTCGGCGGAAGAGCAGGGGAAGGAGCCATTTCCTGATGCGAAGAAGCAGCTCAAATACATTCTTCCTGCTATCTCGATAGGTGTATGGATTATTTTTTCCTTTCCTGTTTCCGATTGTACTTGCTCGTGGTTTACAAATTCATGTTGACCTCGCAAGTATCTCGCAACACCTCGGCTAATCCATGAAGTGTAGATTTTCCTGTCTGCGGCGGATCAGACCATTATCATGGCCAGTTATGGTCAGATTGGAAGCGATCTTAAGGCTCTCAATCTAACCAGCTGGATTGCGACATCGTACTTTTTGACTTTGACTTCCTTCCAGCCGTTGTATGGAAAGCTGAGCGATATTTTTGGCCGGAAGCCCTGCCTTCTTTTCGCGTATGCCATTTTTGGTCTTGGATGCTTGTTCTGCGGGCTGGCTCGTAATATTAATGAGCTGATTGCTGCACGTGTATGTCTCTCTTTGATTTGCTCCAGCCCCTCTGGGGATAGTTCACAGTTAACATTTTAATAGGTATTCCAGGGCATTGGCGGTGGAGGTATGACTACGGTGGTTAGTATATTGATGAGTGACATCGTTCCCTTGCGAGATCGAGGGCTATGGCAAGGCATTATCAACATCATCTATGCCACTGGGTCTGGAATCGGCGCACCCCTCGGTGGAATCTTGGCCGATTATATCGGGTGGCGCTGGTATGAGTTATCTAGGAATTCAAAGCGAATTTTCAATTCTAACATGGTTTCTAGGGCATTTCTTGCGCAGTTCCCCATGTGTATCCTTGCTTTTATTGCCGTCTCATTCATGCTCAAGCTGCCAGCTCAGGAGAATTCGCATTGGAAGGACAAGCTTCGCCGCATTGATTTCCTCGGCGCAGTTGTCCTGATCGGTGCAATACTAGGCTTCTTGCTTGGTCTGGACCGCGGAAGCAATGTCTCATGGACTCTACCGCTGACGGTCGCCTCACTGAGTGTTTCGGTGGTTCTCTTCATTGCCTTCATTTTGGTCGAGATCTACCTCGCAGCCGAGCCTTTCGCCCCAGGCCACATTATCTTCAACAGGACATTCTTTGCCCTCTACGGCTGCAATTTCTTCAGCTTTGGAGGGTGGCTTGCCGCATTGTTCTATATTCCGCTCTATTTCCAGGCTGTTCATGGCGTCTCGGCCACGATTGCTGGCCTGCGCCTTCTGCCATGCATCCTGGCTGGTGTTTCCGGCTCCCTCTTTTCTGGATTCGTCATGAGATCGACCGGGAAGTATTATTGGCTGACTATTATTGCTTATTCCCTCCTGACAACCGGTTGCTTCACCATTTACATGTTCTCGGGCGGTGTTGTGGCCAGCGTGATTCCCATGATCCTCGGTACGGTCATGTCGGCATTCGGCAATGGCATCGGTGTCACGACGACTTTGGTCGGATTGAGTGAGTCTTTCCTCTTTGTGTAATTAAGTTGCCTCTGCCCAAATGGCTAATCACTTGTCCAGTATCGAACGCAACTCATGAGGATCAAGCAGTCGTAACTGCTTGTTCTTATCTCTTCCGATCTCTCGGATCCGTTATTGGCCTGTCTTTATCCTCGACCATTGTTCAGCAACTTTTGCGAGAGGGGTTAAGAGAGGGGTTGCGAGACAGCAAGGATATTGATCAGATCGTAAACGGAGTACGAGAAAGTCTCGACTATATCAAGAAGTTGGATCCAGAAATTGCGAGTATCGTGCGTGGCTGCTACGGGTCATCCGTCAATCAGGGCTTCGCATTCATGGTCGTCGTGGTGTTTTTTGCATTGTTCAGCGCCTTTTTTATGCGGGAAGCCAAGCTCACCCGCTAAATGGCCCTCGAGGCTGATTTACTGGTGGTTTTTGGGTTGAAAGGAAACTATTGCGCTGCATGATAGTTATGCCGCATGGTTGATGAAGGTATGAAAAATTGCATAGGAAGTGATGGACTTAGATTGAAGATGCAGCCTCCATGTAGCTGCAGGCCAAAGATTATAGATCAAAAATTTCAAAGATTTAAGCATAACTGCGAGCATTTAAAATACACGGCCAAGGATATCCAATTCAAACGAAACTAAAATCAGCCAAAAATTCCAAATCAAGTTGAGTCGTCCCCAAAACCCCAAGCGCTTGGTAATCAGGGCGGAGGCTTGTTCAGTGGCTGCGGGTGACACCTGGAAATTCTGGGGTTTGCACCCGTGACATCTAAGCTCTCACCTCGTGAACCTTCACCATCGCAACTTTCCAATCCCTCTACCACAACATCGATCCCTCTTCACCGCCCACTCACCTAACCAGGCTTTAACGGCACAAATTCTCCCACATCAAATCTTTGATCTATTTGCGTGACGTCGTCCGCCCAGCTCTACATAGCTCGGCTTCCGCCATGGCCGAGCCGCGCTCGGGGCCGGTATCGTTGACACGATATCGGCCCATCCTTTACCTCTTCACCGGTGTCGCCGCTACCTACGCCCTTCTCTACATTCGCAACAATGTCCTCTCGTCGCAGTCCTCTTCGCAAGCCCCACTCCGACGTCGAAACGCCCTGCGCCGCAGCAGACATTCCGGTGCTGAGGAGCTCAGACTCGTGGACTCGCCATCCTACCGTGCTATAACCCATCTGGAGCTTCTGGAGCGCCAGAATGGGGTGTATGGGACATTCCGCATCGAGACGGAAGATGGGCGACGGGTGGAAAGCGGACTCTTACCCTCACTGCTTGCGACTCGCGACCAGCTGATGGAGGAGGTCGGCGTCCCTGAGGACCACGCGGAACGTATGCGCGAAATGATGGAGGACACATTTCTCGAATCTTTCCTCGCGCTTGATTTTCCCTCTTCGCATATCCTACCAGTGGGTAGCCCCGAACGAGCATATCTGACGGAGCAGTTGCAGCGAAGAGGAATCTCTCGTGCCGGGATCGAGAGAGCGCTGAACCGATTCAACGCCGATGAGAATTATGGCGATGAACTACGCCGTCGACGCCAGAATGGTGAACGTGTTACTCTCTCTACTTCGACTTTCCCCGACACCGCCGCCGCGCCGCCCGAGACTCAGGACCTGGAGGGCGGAGAACCAGCTGTTGATGATCAGAGCGTTTTCTCCTGGAGGGATGGAAATAATGATTCTTCCCCCACACGAGAGGGTCAGAACCTGCTCAACTTGCTTTACCATATTGCAGAAGATCAAGCACGGCGGGATGGCTATATCCATCGGGGAGTGACTTGCAATAGCTGCGGCGCCATGCCTATCCAGGGTATCCGCTATCGCTGCGCCAATTGCATTGATTACGATCTCTGCGAGACTTGTGAGGCAATGCAGGTGCATATCAAGACACATCTATTCTACAAGGTCCGCATCCCAGCCCCATTCCTAGGAAACCCGCGGCAATCTCAGCCTGTCTGGTACCCTGGCAAGCCAGCAATGCTGCCGCGCAGCCTTGCGCGGCCTTTGGCAAAGCGCCTTATGCGCGAGACCAACTTTGAAAATACCGAACTCGATGCTCTCTGGGATCAGTTCCGCTGTCTAGCAAACTACGAGTGGCCTGATGATCCAAACAAGCTGTACATGGCGATTGACCGCAAGACGTTCGACCGATGTTTCGTCCCCAACACCTCTATTCGTCCACCTCCTCCCAGTCTCATCTACGATCGCATGTTTGCGTTTTACGACACCAACGGGGACAACCTCATTGGGTTTGAGGAGTTCCTGAAAGGCCTAGCCAGTCTGAACAACAAAAGCAACGACGAGAGGTTACGCCGCGTCTTCCGTGGCTATGATATTGATGGCGATGGATATGTGGAACGAAAAGATTTCCTTCGAGTATTCAGGGCGTATTATACCCTGAGTCGAGAGCTCACCCGTGATATGGTCGCAGGGTTGGAGGACGATTTCCTCGAAGGTGGTGCTCGTGATGTTGTTCTCGGCAGCCAGCCTATCAGCTCTGCATTTCCCGGCACTATTCCTTCGGGGCAAGTTTCACGAACTGGCGAAGGGAAACGCATCAATACAGAGGGTGATATGGAGATTGTTGACAACGGAGGAATTCTTCGCCAGGACGGTACTGATACTGGGAATCGACACTCCGTTATCGGTGAAGCTTCTGTCAGGGAGCAATTTGGTCGTACCAGGCCATTGTTCCCATCCACATTACGTCTTCCGAACACTGCGATTGAGGTCCAGCAGCCTGACCCCACACAGGGCGATGCGCATGAGCATGATAATGAAGATGAGGATAACGACGCGAGTGGCTCCGACGAGTCAAGTTCATCAGCTGCCAGTGGTAATTGGCCACCAGCGGAGCACATCCATGCGGAAGACATAATTGAAGCTCTTGGAACGTACGTGTCCCCTCAAGAAATAAACGACCCGGTCGACAGAGCTCGTATCGTGACAGCGGTTTACAACAGAATGCGTGACGACGACCGAAGACGGATGGAAGAGACACGCCGACATGGGATCGACGAACGCTGGCGGCGGAGGGCATTCTATACCGATGAGGAGGATGGCGCTACAATTCCAGACGGCTACCAACCCGACCCTACTTTCGACGGTGAGCTGAGCGATGAAGCCTCTACTGACGAACCTTCCGCTCTCGAATCACACCCACCATCTCCACGCTCCCGGTCTTCTTCTAAGGTTCGATTTGAGGATGATATCGCAGATGATTATGATATTCGGTCGAACCCTTCGACGTCTTCTCGCAGCATCCCCGTTGGTGAGCGCTGGGGTGGCTTTGAAATTCCCGAGGTTGAGAGAGATGTCGGTAAGGAGGTTCTGTACCAGTTTACTCAGCAAGGCTTTAATGAGCTTCTCGACGTTCTGTTTAAGCCAAAGGAAGACTTGATCATGGAAGTGTACCGGACTCGGGCTGATCGTAAGATCTGGGCCCATGAGATTGAACAATATGAGAACTCACCATCTCGGAAGGCGTCGCCTCCTGCCAAGGATCGAGTCGTGTTTCCAAAGCACGAGGAGCATCTCCAGGAAATTACGGACAGCAGATCGCTGGATGATCTCTTGAGTTCTGCTGGGTACGCAGTGCACAGTCCGACATTGGAGCCTGTAGATGCTCAACCGGTCTTGGCCCCCCCGTTGCCAGATGGCATGTCACCAGATGATGATGTGCGACCTACTCATCTTGTCGATCCTGATCATGAGGACGGGCTTGGCCAGCATCAGCCATTTGAGGAGGACGATGATGACGACGATGAAACAGCCTCGGACACCAGCTCGTTCAACACGGAAGACCAAGTCCGTTTCTCCGAGTACGCTTCTTTCGAGGCGTCCTCCGATATTGAACCCGGGTTCAGCTTTGAGGAAATACCCGACTACGATCCCACTCTCCCACAATTCCGTCCCGACTCGGATGCGGTGCGTCCGTGTCTCTCTTTCCGAGATGAGCCTACGGTGGTGACTGGCGATGAAGACGGTACCTTGTCATCACCTGAACTCCCAAGTCGACTCCGCCTGCAACCAAATAGCACCACCTCTCTCCCTGCACCCACCTCGCCCCACTCATCCTCCCCAGAGGCCGAGGAAACAGCACCAAAACCCCCTCCTTCACCAATGCAACCACTCCCACCTCCGCCTAGATCAACGAGTGCGCCACGTGAGGCCGTCGTGCCGCGTCAACCCACGCCGGGTACCCTAGCCCGTTGGGCATATCTCAATCGAGTTGAGCGTGAGGCTAAGGAACGTGGCGGTGGAGCCAAGCTCAACTTTGAAGAGTTCTCGCGTCGGATGGCGGCTGATAAGGGCCGCCGTCTGGGCTTCGTGGCGAGTTGGATTGAGATGGCTAGCTTTTAGGGAGGTTTGATCTGAGCGGCTGCTAGGGTCGTTCGATCTCTTGTGTCAGATGTCTATGTATATTATTTGTCTCGAATACCCAGTAATGATCCACGATTCTTCTAGATTATAACGCTTGTAAACTACGATCCAGTGATATGTAGTGTCTCGCCTCTGGTGCATTGGTTCGGTCATCTACCTACTTACCTATTTTATCCTTGTCGTCCTACCTAATAGGTATGGGTACCTGGTATGTAGGCCAGTGAGCTTTCTGTGGCTCTCGGATTTGAACGAGAATAGTTCCCAAGGTAAACCCGAATTTCACCCCAGGGTGACCATTTCCAAACGGTGGGTGATGAAGGCGTGTCTGCCTGCTTGGTAATCTATTTGTGGTCTCTTTTCCGATCACCCGCGGCGTATACCTAGTTGCAAATATATTTTGCCATCAAATAACCCGAACATCGCTCCATTCCATCGATGGTGATTGCTTACCGTTACCACAGCCTTAATTCAGTTCAAAAGTGCCATATCACTCACAATAGAGACCAAATACCCTGCAACGGAACTCGCAGACTTAGTTACCGGTCTTATTTTTGCATAGAATGTGCCGAGATTCCCAATTAATAAAAATTCAGATTGATATAGCATGAGTTCCAGCCAGCATACATCAATTGGCCGGATGGTGTAGTTGGTTATCACGTATCGTTAACACCGATAAGGTCCTGGGATCGAGCCCCAGTCTGGTCAAATTTTTTGGCTTAATCGAATGGTCAATGGATTCATGGTGCTCTTTATAGTGGGTTCATATTTTTGAGGTGGGTCTCGAACTTTAGGTTCTGATACCATCACGTGCCGGCTAACCTAATGCACGGCCGTCACTGGGAATCTGTTAGGTAAGCATGCCCTTGGAGCAGCAAATTAACATGGGCAGGCAAGGTAATCAATCATAGAGTTAGGATGGAGGATCAACATATATTCGACTGCCTTCTGGCTATGATAGTCAATTACTTCGATCGAGGTTCTAAACCCCTCAGCCTATGTTCAAGGGATAATGGGCCAGAGTGCAAGTCCCTGCATCTATAAGTTTATTCATACTGGTACTTTCTTACCTATGTTTTGAGGTAAGGGGTGAAAATGCCATTGTGTGAGCGGCACATGGGGGGTAGAAATAACAACACTTTTGTACAGGTCCCCTGGTCTCCAAAGAAGTACAAAAAAAGAGAATCAAGTACGATTATCGGCAATTCTTTAAGAGGCCAAAAATTTGAGGCGAGAGAGAATCGAACTCCCAATCTTCTGGAACCTCCATTACTGGAATCAGACGCGTTACCATTGCGCCATCACCCCATGTGATTAACGGGTTTTGCAATGTTAGCCTACAGGATGGTAAAACATATTTCTTAGCTAATGATTGGCTATCGACAGCACATACACAAGCTAGTCCTGCCGTGTCATTGCCTCATATCAGGCGGAGTAGGAAATTTGATTGTCTAGCAGCTAGATTGATTGCAGCTTCTTTCTTTCTCTTTGAGATCTTACAGACAATTCTGGTTAATATCTTCCTCAGGTTTATCCAATCGTTTCCATCTCGACCTTGGTCCGGGGTTTGCTGAACCGTTCTGTATCCGAGAAGTAATCGAGACTACTACGATCAAATGCTATGGTGGTATCACAACTCGAGACTTGGCCAGGCTTGGTCGATCTTCTGATGATGTTCGGCATATTCCGCCAATAAATAGCCATTGACATGGTACAAAAATGCATACATCCTTCTCATGCAGGCTTGTAATGTCACGTGATTATGTCATAACCTAAAATTTGCCCGAGATCCACCAACTTCAAAAAGTTTTCAAACCCACCCTGTATATGGGTCCATTGGCTTCTGGCAGAGGCCAAAAAAAATGACCAGACTGGGGCTCGATCCCAGGACCTTATCGGTGTTAACGATACGTGATAACCAACTACACCATCCGGCCAATTGATGTATGCTGACTGGGATCTATGCTACATGATTCCAGTGCCCGATGATATCTCGAATTGGATGAGATCCACTCACTGGCAAGCTATCGTTGCTCTGGTTGTTTTCACCACTATTGCCGCTTCGTCCACTGGAGCTGCAACCAGAGCTCTGCATCTCCCCAGACATTGTCCATGGAGTCATTGACAGACCGCCGTGCCTGACTGGCTTCATTCGTCCACGGGGGTCCCGGGAGTTGGCGCCAGAGTCACGTTCTTCTTGTACAGAGTCCAAGATCGCCCCCTAGATTCATTGTCACCTTCTCCAGCTAGTAACAAGAGTTAAACCTTGACCACGCAAGTCCTATCAGTAGATCCAGGCCGTTACTGGCACAGCTTGGCACACACTTCTGCGCTAGCTATGACCCTGACACGGCCTCCAGAATTAAGGATCAAGGGCCTGGCAATAGTACTCGACCCAATATCGAGCGGATCTCTGCCATCGTCCCATCATCATTTTTTGAGCAGAGGTCCTTATAGTGGGTTTCACTTGTACTCTCTGTAGGAGCGCCTGTCGCCAGCAGGCACTTGAGAGCTTTGCGAGCTCCATAGTGCCTGGAGTGAAAGGATTGCAAGTCAACTCAAGTTATAGGGGAAAGTGTTAATCAGATAGGTTGAGCTGGAATATCGGTGCTGATGTCCGGGGTGTCTGGGCAGCTTTTATAACTTAGGTGAACAGATTCACTATTTTAGCAGCGATATGTCGTTCCGTTATAATTCAGCAAAGCAGGGACAGCCGGAAAGATGAGATCGGGGACTCTATTCAGGGTAGGAGATGCGGAGGAAAAGATGAGGGTATGCGATTTGCTTTGGTTCTACATTGTTCGGTTTTTCTGTCGAGAAAATATGGTTTGCCCGAGCCGAGACTTGGTCACTTCGCTAGACTTAGCTTCTTGATAAATTGAATATATTGTAATCTGGGAATCGCATGTCACCATGGGAGGTCAATAACGTTGCTCATTCGACCTACCGGCTGGTCACCACAGACATATTCATGCTGCGTTCCTTACCCGTCGGTATGTCAAAGCAAGTGCCGGGTGGTAGTCTGTCAACAACCATCCGAAGGAAGCCCTTTCATTCGCTGTCAGAGCTAGTCTGAGAACTAGACCCGTCTTTATCCTTCCATCAATGTCATGGAAGACAACGAGTAGCCTGCAAAGCAAGCAGAATGATAAAATGAGATTTTGTTGACCTATCTCTCGATAGATTGATGGCCAGAATTGATCCGTAAATCGTTCATAACAGTCATGCCAATCAGATAATGCATGAAATCAAGACAGGCAAAAAAGTATAAGACACAGCCAACCCGGTCAAAAACAAAGTACAGAATTCTAGCAAACATCGCATAATCAAAACATATCCATAATCCGAAATCAAGAAGTGTACCGTGTCGTACTTCATATAGCTGGCCATATCCTTGTCGCTGCCGATGGGTCGTATACTAAAATAGGACCCCACGGTCCACGGTTCACCCAAGGTCACATTGGGTGTGAATGAGCGTGGGGATGTGTCGTATCTCAAGTGCTGTTCAAGTGTCCGGGTGTCCGGGCAGCATTCATGAGTTGCAATCCAAGGCTGCGGATAGCCAGTAGTTTTAGGCCAAATCCTGGGATAGTAGAAAGAACTGGAGGCTGGGATAGGGAACGTTCTTCGGTGGCCTTCCGAGTGAACAAGGGATAAAAACACGATGTGATCCGTGGAATTAGCAGAAAGACATCATAAGGCTAGATAGTCCAAGGCAGGATGATCCAGGGGAAAAAATTCAATGCGCAAGCCACATTTAAACCAGGGCTAGGGAAGGGTATCCGTCCGCCGGATTCAGTGGTCCGCAAATCTCACCCTGCGGCGGCGTTCATTGATGAGCTTCTCAGTGTCCACATAAAGACAATCGAAGAACTGCATCGCGCTAGAGTCCTTGAGAATCTTGGCAACTTGCGTGCCTGCAGAAACGAGCTGCAGCACATTACGGTCATCCTTGATGGGTCGAGAGCTATGCTTAGCAGCGTGGCGCATCTCCAGGGAGTTTTCCAGCACGGTGATGAGCTGCTTGATTTGGCCATTGTGAAGGGCATGGCGAGGGATACGCCGGCGAGTTGCCAGTCTCTTCAGCAGGTGCACCCACTCATTCCACTCCCGGTCCGAGGGGACCTGAACCCGCCTCTTATCCTGTTCGATGGGAATAGGGAACTGATATCTCGCAAAGAAGTCAAACGCGCATTGAGACAGGCGGTCGTTGACCTCGTGCAAGATTCGGTCTTGTTCTGCCGCATCGAGGTTAGTAGGGAGCTGGGGCAGTTCCTCCTCCCGGGTTGGAAGGTTCCTGGTGGAAGGCGCATCCAGGATTTGGTGCGGGCCATCAAATTCATCCCGGTTTGAGGACCGTCTCTGGGAAATGTATTGGGTGGATCCACGGCTTGCATCAGAGGCTCGTCGGCTGTTTCTTTCCACGATATAATCCGGACTTTCCGATGGATTGAGTGGCCTAATATCATGACGCATTGGCTCATGCGACATGTGCGGAGATGGGTTCCAGTCAGAGTACATTGAAACCGGTGTAATTGGCTGTCCAGCAGAAGGGTAGGACATTCTTCCAGTGGGCTGAGGAATAATGTGGCCGTGGCTATCCAGAGGGGCTGAAAATCCATGGTATTGGGCACGAGCTTCGAAATCTATGGTTCCCAGTGGTACGAGCTGGCGGTTGTCCCTGACGTAGGCTCGAGGTGCCGAAGGCGCCCTTCTGCCGCTTAGCAAATGTAATGAACGACATTTCGTGTTCTTCTTTTTCAGTCGGACTTGTCGGACTTGGGGGTGAGAAAGGTCGGGACATGTAGTGTGAAAATACCTTGGTCGATGAATGACGGGTGAGCTTCCCGATGGAGCATACATAGGATGCTGAGCCATGACGCTGTAACGAAGTGTGAGTATGAGTATAACCACGGACAGATTATGGAAAATAGAGGCAGGAGGGGGGAGGGATGTGCGCGGGGAGGAGAAGACATTGAGGGATGGGGCTTTTTGATTTGTGCTGACCTAGTGCGAGGTAGAATATCCGGTTTGCTGCTTTTCGAGCCCGCTCGCGAACCGAGGGTTACTTGCGTTGCAGAGAGTGGCTGGTAGCCCACTGGGACAGCAGTGAATGTGTGAGATAGGGCAGGAACCATGAAGACAGGATTAAGGTAACCAGCTAGTTACGGTTTCAAATCAAAGCAGAGGAGGAAGGAAAGTAGGGGGGGTGTCAGGTCTATTTTTAAGGGCAAAAAAGCGAGGATAGATAGCACAAACGAGTCCGCATTGGTACAGAAGCGCTGGATGATCACATCCTAAGTAATATATGGCCAGGAGAGCCCGGGTCGAAAGTTTTGGTAGGTGTGCCTGACGCCTTATCCTGGAGTGGTAAATCCGAGTCCGCAAGTGGATGAGGAGCCGCGCTAGAAGACCTTCAAAGGCGAAGAGTGGAGTAAGTAATTTGGCAAATAATGCACTCGTGGGCTAGATACTTCTCCTCGGTAGCATCAATTTCTGTCAGTCGGACAGGAATCTACCTGGTAGAACTTCTGTGCTCGAAATGGATGCACTTGGAGCAGATCTCGATCGATCGAGTATGACTCCAGTGCAGAAGATGCAATGATTCGACGGGGCCAAACGGGCTGTAGCGGCTCTTGGATACTGGGGAGGAAGGGGGAATGTATCCACTGCGGATCAAATGGGTCATTGGCTTGCTTTCCAGATGTTCTGATCTCCATTGATTAGGGGGGTCGCAAGGACCAACGGCAAGCCAACGCCACTTGAACCTGGTGTGACAATGGACCCGGGCTGCAAGCTTGGGCAGCAAGTTGGGTAGAAAGACGTGATGGAACAGTCAGGCCTCGCATATTGTTGGATGACGAGGACTTGACTGCGCAGGTCGAAGATCTGCATCATCAAGCGGTTGAAGGAAGTGCGAAGAAAGCGAGATGAGCCTGACGGTGGAGGCGAAGCACATGCAGCTCCCGTGACGTCGAAGGCCGCGCTGCTCGGTTTTTTGCTGCTCTTCACGACAATTCTCTGGGGTTTCGGTGGTACATCTCGCATTTCCATGAGCTTCGATCGCACAGGATACCATACGATTGGGCATGCACGGCCGTTGAGGCCCAATCAACGCATGGGCCATTTCTATATCTCAACCGGGATCGACTGGGCCCCAAAATACACTGTTGAGAGCCGCCTGGAGTCATTTCCAGTCGGGGGTCTTGCAGCCCAATGGTCCGCCCGATGTCTTACATTGGAAACAGGAGAACGCGGGTCCGAAGCTCTACCTTCGAGCCTCGACCTCTCGGATGGAGAACGGAGGGATTTGCGACTATTCAGATCGAGTGGCAATTATGGAGCCTGCGCTAAAAAACGCCTCTTAGCCGGCGTAGTCTCGGCGAAAACCATAGTTAGCCATTGGGGTTTATGTACAGAGTACCCATTCCTCCTCAGCCCCAGGACGGAAAGAAAGTTTATCTCAAAGGGTTTATCACTGATCATTGGGCGTACCACCTCGAGTCTTTACGGTCCTCGCGGTGGTAGTTTTACTCCGATACGACGGGCATACTCCTGTTGTGTCTCAGGTCAGCTACCTACTCTCATCACCACTTGACGTCAAACGGACTATGGGAGGAAGGGAGTGAAGGGGCAAAAAAGAGGGGCCGCCTCGGTCTTTGCTTACTTGACAGCTCAATCGGATGCCTTCTTCGATACCAATCCGAGGCTCGTACCCCAGAATGGTACTGGCCTTATCACCGCTAGCATATCGCATGGCGCATGCATCCCGGACGCTTCCTCGACTTAGGGTAGTGGAAGATCCCGTTGCCCAAGTGGCCAATTCACATACTAACCCTGCCACATGCGCTAGGCCTTCCGGGACATGAACCTCGAAGGGCGGAACATGGCCAAACTGTGCCCAGATGGCTAGGCAAAAATCCCGAAAGGTGATCGGTTCATTATTCTGAATGAAGAATGCCTCGCCCGCCGCCGTACGCGAGGTCATTAAGTTTTCCGCTGCGAGAACATGAGCATCGGCAACGTTACTCACGTGGGTGACATCCCACAGATTGAATCCATCCCCGATTATGAAGGGAGTTTCATATTTGGCAATGCATGCGTGGATGGATGGAATTAGCTGGTAATCTCCAGGTCCGAAGAGTACCGAGGGTCGAAGGGCGCATGTCACCATCTTACCGCTGGATGCCTGCAGGACTAGAGCCTCTGCAGCAGCCTAAGTGGCTCTTGTTAGCTTAGATTTCATCTCAACAGTGACACGAAGGTACAAAAAATCACTGTACAGAAGATACTGGGCAACGACCTTAGACTCGCCATATATTAGGGAGGTTGGCGATGTTGGCCATGCCTCATTAATATTGGGGTAAGGGAACCTCATGTCATCAGTTGTCACACAGCATGTGCTAGTGTAGATAAAGGCCTCGACGCCAGATTCGACGGCTGCATCGAGCATGTTCTTTGTGCCTTGGACATTGACTCTCCATACTTCGCGCTCAAGTCGCCGCCCGAAACGGTCGGCAAGAGCTGGCACGATCCCTGCAGTGTGAATGACAAGGTCCGGTTGGATCACTTGGAGAGCCTCGCTGACTTCGGTTCTCGAGCTGACATCGATTTGTATGAAGTTGATCTTCTCTGGCAGTGCATGTTGGGCCCGTGGCGGACTCTGATCAAGAACAGTGATGGCGCAACCCGGGTGTTTCTCTGCGAGGCCGCGCACAGTGGCGGCGCCCACAAACCCCGTGCCTCCCGAGACAAGGATTTTCTTTGATGCTAGTATACTGCCTTCGGCCGTCATCGTATATTTGAAATATCGCAAGCATTGGAGGTGCCGAGGTTGGTTGAAGCTGGCCAGGTTTGGAATGGGCGAACCAGGGATCGGCCAGGGCGCGTGACTGCGACGGACCTTTGAAGAACATCGATCAACATGCACAGTATGAGGGTTTAGGAAAAAGCGTAGAAAGCTAGACAGGATATCTAAACAAGCACACTCCATGGAAAGCAGAGAATCTGGACATGTTTTCAAATCGTAATCTATACACGACGCCGTAATGACACGGCAAACTCTGCAACCACTCCGGGCAGAGTACGGGAAATGCGATACACGCAAACATCTAATATACAGATCCTCCATCGAGGCAATTATCCAAATAGTCGCAAAAAGAAAACAGATCCCAAGAGGAGACCCCGCTGCGACAAGCCGACAAAACTCCAGGGTAAATGCAAAAGGCACGAGAACAAAAGAACCCTAAAAATATTCCTCCAGCACAAAGCGAAGAGGGTTCGGTATTTTCCAACATCAAACAAGCTTATAGCACCCGGCAGAGAACCAGACCACCGAGCTTCTTCTCCACACACTCGCGAGCCTCCAAGACTCCCCGGTCTGTCGACAGGTAGAGACTCTCACCGGGGGATCGAAGGCCAGCCACGAAGCCAGCCTCCTCGCCACGGACGACCCGGCGCAATTCCTCAACATTGAGATGAACCCGGCGCGTGGGCTTGCTAACGAGCTTTAGCTTGCCCAGGACGGACTCGTTCTGCCAGTACTTCAGACCCAGCCAGAGGCGACGGGAGGCGACATTGTCCCGAGTGATAGGCTCAACGCCCTCAACTTCGTCGTTTGCAGTGGGATGACCAAGGATGGGATGTGTAGGAGGAGGTGTCGGGCCTCCGCGCACGACGGAGGAGATGTAGCCGGAGTTCTGGAGGGCCTGGCACAGTTTCAGGTGGAGATTGCTGTTGGGGATCGAGGTGAGACCCAGACGGGCCTTGGTGGCATTGTTCAAGTGGGCGCACACTGAGGCAAGGTTGACGAGAGACATCTTGAGTGATTGTTGCGAGCGATTGGACCTTCCGGGGCCGTAGTACGGGGAAGGAGGAAAGTGCGGAGAGCAGATGTTGGCCGAATGGCACTCAAATGTAGGGTCAGACGAGTCTCACGGATGGTCCGAGGTTGTGAGTTAGATTCACCACACTCTGGCAGCAATGGCGGAATTGGTTGAGCTTGAACTAGTCGGAGGTGATTCTAATCGCGAAGCCGTAGCTCTGCGCGATGGAAATTTTCGGAGAAACCGAGCTTCCGGCCGAGCATTCGCCAGTTCGTTCAATCCCGCCCCATGGGCCGCCTTCCGATCTACTTGGTACTCGGTACTTCTTCTCCACCCATGGGATCATGCGTGTGATTGGTACCCTGGACTTGGTGTTTACTTCGTCCCCCATCCTATCACATCACACTCTCTAAGCGCCCAAGTCTAGCTCGGCGCCTGCTGCACCTCACAGGCTGCGACCATTCAACCCCTCGTTATAAAGGTAGCTGCAGTTCGTAAGTCTACAATCCTTCGATTGATTTTCTCGTATACATCCATATACTGTTTCCCCTCAGCATCTCCGCATCTTCCATTACATACAGGGCAAATATGCCTCCACAACCCGGCGAGGAGCGTCTCGTAACTGTGTGAGTCGAGCTAACGATCCCCGCAGGTGCTCCCCCGCATTGCGCATGAGGTGCTTGTTGGACGACTCTAACAGCTCGAATGCTTTAGCTTCGCCGATATCCATTACTATTTTACTGCTCCCACTCCGAGGCCTCTGCACCACCGATTCGAGAAGGGATCGTACTTATATGTATATCACGATGCGTCCCAGAATAGAGCTCGAATCGAGATTGCGAACAATCCCGGAACGCCAGACCAAGATGCATTCTACGGGGTCTTGAATAACGTACATGTGCGACACTCGACCCACTTCCCAACTCACTGCACCTTGACCGTGGATGGAATTGCTGGGTCGACTCAACAGCAAGTCTCCCAGTATGACTGGCGACTACCAGGTCCGGACTCGCGTAGTGGTCACCATGAGCTGCACCGGTTACACACACTGGATATCTACTTCTGGACATTAGATGACACCAACGACTTCCTGGACACGATCGGCCGTGTGCTGCCCGTCTCCCAGCTTGAGACGGATCGACCGAATGCTCAACCAGAACAGCCGATGAGCTCAGTGGTTCAACAACTTGAGAACGTGGCTATCTCCCACCCGGCCTACCAGAATGGACAGACCCCCAATTCCCGATCCGAGCCCACCGCAGTGACAGCTCCGACTACACAGGGCCCTGCACAAACCATGAGCTTCCCTCCTCCTCCTCCTCCTCCGAGCGGACCAGCAGCGGACCAGCAATCCGTCAATTCTGGATCCCAGTCATCTCCGGAAGACAAGCGAGATTCAGCCAGCTTCGCACCATTGCCATACAATCCAGCGGCTCCCGCAGCCCCAGAACCAATCAAGCATCGCGAGAAGACTCCCCCTCCTCCAGATGATGGCACCGAGGGAACGGGCCTCGCAGCCGCCCTAGCAGCCGACCAAGGTATCCCATATACGCCTCCACACCAGGTGGGCAATGTTCCAGGACTCAGCTCATTTGCACCTCCACCATCTTCTGCCCAAGGCGTACCATACTCCGGCGCCCCAGCCATCGCACCGACGGGCTACGCTTCACCACCACCGAGCGCCGGGCTAACCCATACGAATTCATTCCCAACTCAACAACCCGTCCAAAGCCCCGGAGCTATTCCAGGCTACTCACAGCCCTTCCAAACGGGCCAAACGTGGCCAAGTACTCCAGGCCAGGGCGCAATGTCTTTTGCACCTCCGCCCCAAGATCCTAATGCACACCTCTACGCCCAGCAAGTATACGGAACCCCTCAGTCACCGCCTCAGCAGTTCGGACAGGCAGTTGCAATCGGCGGGTACTCGAACTACTCTTATGCGCAAGCACAAGCGCAGCCGGCCGGTGCTTCCGAGTATAACATCCATAGTCAGTTATACCGGCCGACGGAAGCGGAGGCGGGCGGGCATGGACAGAAGTATGCTCAGAAGGCGATGAAGGCTCCTGGACAGCGGCCGAGGAAGTTGGAAGATAATGCGATGAAGTTGGAGAGTGGGGTGAATCGGTTCTTGAAGAAATTGGAGAAGAAGCTGTGATGGAGGATGGATTGGACTAGGCTGAATATTCCTTTTCTAACGTTTTGTGAATTTCTCTTTGTTTTTGATGTTACCTCATTGCATCTCAGCGTTCCTTGTTTTATTGGCTCTATATCTTCGGGCTTGCTTGCTCTCGGTGGCTGTAGTTGAGATAGGATGAATGGGAAGTCAACACATTCAAGAAACTATGATACATAGTGATGATTACACATCCTCTTTCCAAAAAGAGAGCGACTACAGAAGATGTTTAGCCCCGGAGAAAATGACATTGACCTATTCATACACAAAGACCAAGCATGCTCTCTCGGTAAGAAACAACGGTATGTAAATGAAATGAAATATGCTCAACCGAAGAATGCAAACTTGATCGCTCAATAAAACCATATGCTCTCGATATCGACTCGAAGAATGTAGAGTGCACACAGGAAACTCCCGACCTAGATGCCTTGGGGGTAGACATCTAGTACAAGGAACCTTGAGGACACGCAGAGATAAAGCGACCCTTGGTGAAATGAAGCTGCATGCCCATAGGAACAGTACATCATACAAAACAAAGGGTATGGAAGGCGCTCGAAGCTCCGTGAAGTAGAAAGGCCAAGGGTATAAGTACAGGAGATTACAAAGTGTTTGTCCCAGAAAGTAAAGATGATAGTGAAAGGGACTGTAGATTTAGCTCAGAGCCAGGCTGGCAAAGTTAATGTCGGCCATGTCCGACTTGGCTGGGGCTGCAGATTCTACCACAGGAATCGACTCCTTGGGCTCCTGAATCTTCTCAGAGGGCTGCACCACATTCACATCCTCCGTGATCTCGGGTGCATCATCAACAGAAGCCGAGGCGGTAGTCTCAATCTGCTGAGGGAGACTGGGCTCAACCTTGGAAGTCTCGTTTGCTTCAGTGATGGTGGCAACGATGGGCTCGGTAGGTTCGTCGAAAGCCTCAGAAATATCCTCCTTGGGTGCCTCTGGCTCCGGGTGCGACTCTGAGGACACCTTCTCTTCATTCGGTTCAGTGGCGGTCTCGGCAGACGCCTTTTCCACTTCCTTCACATCAGGCTCATTCTCCTGCTCACCCGATTCATGCGTGGTAGCAGGAGCAGAAACCTCCGGAGAGACCTCAACATCCTCAGATGTGCTGCCCTCTTGTGCAGATGTCTCCGGGGCATTCGTGGCGACAGGTTCTTCAGAATCCTCAACCGTGGCTTCCGTGGCAGTCCGCTCGGTGGGCTTCTCAATCGGTTCTGGCGAGGCCTCAGGCTCAGCCTCCGTGATGGGTTGCTCAATTGGTTTCTCTGTAACATCCTCCACGCCAGTCTCGGACGGGACCTCCGGCTCGGGCTCCTCAACGATGACATCTTCGGCCTCAGTGAAAGAAGGCTCTTCGGGAATCCTAGTACCAACTTCCTCAATGTTCTCCTTCTCACTCTCGTCGTTCTTGTGAGGAATATCCACTTCGGCCTTCTTCGATGGAGCCTCCTTGCTGATAGGCTGAGATTTCTCATTCTGTGGCTTCAGAGCCGCAGGCTTTGCCTTTGTGTGAGTCACACCTCGCTCTACAGCACGTCCCATTGAAGGGCGAGGAGCTTTGGAGACTGTAGGCTTGACATGAGCCTTAGTCTCAGTCTTCTCGTTGGTCTTGCTCGCAGAGCTAGCCGTCGGACGCATCATCCGGGCGAGGAAGCTTTCGTTGACTGGTCTTGTGCCAGTGTCACTAACCCGAGAGCTGGGACGTTCAGGGCCAGACTGGGCAGGGAGGGACGGGCGAGACGGTTGCCGGCGGACGGGCCCCGCTGGAGTTGCCGCACTCTTGAGTGTAGATGGTTTTCTCGTGAGAGTTGCTGCTGGCTTCTCGGTCCGTCCCGTGGCAGGTCCAGTGCTTCCATGTTTGGCATTCGATGATTGAGTTTGTGCGGTCATTGAACCTGGCAGGCGAACAGGTCTCGTGGGTGATTTGGATCGAGGTTTGTTGTTGCCGGTAGATGTCTTGTGGACATCGGCCGATGGGGTAGCACCTCGAGTCGTCCGTGTTTTGGTCTTGATTGCAGGGTTGAGTGAAGGGCGACTAGGTTTGTGGGCAAGAGCATTGGCTCGTTCCTTAGCCACTTCACGGGCTGATGTGGGTTTGGCACTTCCATTGTTGTTGGCTGTTCTTGATGAGGTCGAAGCGGTGGTGTTGGGGGTAGGCTTGGTCGTGGCATGTTTGGCAGTGTGAACATTGGAAGGTCGCTTTGTAACTGTCTTCAGTAACCCTTTCGCGTTCTCGGAGGAAGCCTCAACATCCGCAGTTGTTGGCGCATTTGAAGCTAGCTTTTCCTTCGTTGCCGGCAGGGCCTCCATCGCAGCTCCACCCTCTGCAAGCGCGGGAGTCTCTTGATTGCCACTAATCGTCCGCTCCTTTGTCACCGTCGCGGTTTTCTGGGGTTCACCTTCACCCATCACCCTATCCAGAATGCTTGTGTGAGCCTTTTCATGACCACCGGGCGTTGGAGAGACCACATTATTCTGACGGCGCGACTCGACCTCCTCTGCATTGATCTTAGGTCCAAAGATCCCTGGACTGTCACTTCGACCACTTGTCTTCCTCAGTGGCGATCCCGGGCTGGACTGAATTGCTCCGTCCACGGTCACGAAGCTGGCACGGACTTTGGACAGCGGCCTGGTCGAACCCGGGGTATCTGAGCCCACGGGGGATCGGCCACGCGACGGTGGGGAGGTAATCGGGCTCTGGCTGTTCTCAAACTTGGCCAGCAGGCTACGAACACCAGGATGGGCGTTGTTGTCCGACATATTGTTGGGAATGGCGATACAACGTCAAGTGGTCAGGGGCATGGGGTGTCGGATGTGAGGGGAAATCGGAGGACGCGTTCGACAACACAGGTAGCGCGTCGCTGGACGATGGGACGGGGCTGAATGCAATTATCAATCCCACTAGAACCCCCTCCTGGGGTAGAAGCCGTGAAAGAGGACAGCAATAATGAGAGAACACGGTGTTGCAAATAGCATGGGAAGTACAAAGCGAAGGTTCAAGAAGAGAGGCCGATCCGAGCCACTTACGCTAGCGAACATTAGCGTGTCCAATAGGGTGAAACAATCTCGCCCTACAGTAGGAGGTCCCCTCCTTTTTTCAGGGGCCGACCCGGAGGTCTCGGGGTTCATCTGTCTGTAACGGTGGGTTCATGATCTCATGTCGGTCTTTGCTCCTGGAAACATGGCTTCATCTCGCATGGCTGTTGTGATCTAACCAGTGGTTCCACTGCAGCCAGGCATAGTGCATGTCGCTTCTGCCCAGCGAAACACCAAAGAAAAAAAAGCATATGGGTCACATCCATTTGATCTAGCTTTCGGTCCCATGGTCTAATAGTGCCGCCTCCTTACTGGGACAAGTCAAAGAAAACAAATCCTCCTCGCTTTAGGTAAGTGTAAACAATGGATCGCGTCCCAAACTCTGACCGCGCGAGAAACCATGGTCCGGGGCTTGACCAGGTGGCATTCAAAAAGTCTGTATCTCTTCCCTAGCGACAATCCATGGATATAGGCATGTATTCCCCGATGATCAGGTGCTAGTCATGTTCTAGAAGGTTGCTTAGTGTCAATTTTGAGAATATATCTCCACCGTGTTTCGCGTGATCCTCTGCAAGTCATGCACCCTGGAAAATTGCATGAATGGGGACCATAGCGAAGCGTATCGGTCTCTTTATTTGGGATTCTACATACTCCATACATATCCTTGCAAATGCCTTACGATCAATTTCTAGTCGTCCTAGACATGCAGTACATCTGACAGTTGGCCCTGCTTGCGTGGTTGCGTCGGACCGGTATAACGAAGTACCGATGTTATGTCAGCAGCTGTGAAATGGGGGGCGCTAGGTAGGTAGTTAGGTAGTGCCAAAGTTATACGAGATCTGTCAATCTCATTCTTATCAGCATTGGTGAATGATCAAAGATGGTCGGAGTACCTCATAGTAGCGGCTGTGCTACCTGTGTAAAGCGTCGCATCAAAGTACCTCACTTGCGTCGTGAAAATAAGTAGCATATGTACTGACCATGCTATAGTGTGATGAAAGACTTCCTGGGTGCGCCAAATGCGAGAAATACGGGACGGCATGCCCAGGATATGATAGGGGCTTCAAGTTTATTACTGGAAAGCCTTATCGTACGCCGAGGCAAAGGCCAAAGCCGGATACTAGCTCAACAAGCGAGGAGCGGGCAAAGACTGAGAGTCTAATTACGGGCTCCCGTTTTCAGGCTAGCCTACAGGCGATTGTCTTGAAAGAACAGCCGTGGTCGTTGACGTATGGAGATGCCAATGTCATGCAGAGTATAGAAGCTCTCATTCAGGACTTCTCACAACCAGCCCTGCCTACTCAGAAGCACATCGTTTCCCAATGGTTTGGTTTTCTACCTTCCGTCTACGGGCACAATCAGACGCTGGATGCTTCGATCAAGTCATTTACGGCACACCATTTTGGAAAAGCTCTTCAAAATGGTCAGATGATTGCTTATGCTCGATCTGCCTATGGAGAAGCCCTATACAGGCTCCGGAAAGCTTTGAAGGACCCCTCGGAATGTCTGTCTTCGCATGTCTTCTACTCAGTTGTATTGCTATGCATGTATGAGGTAAGAGCAAACTTTCCTCTACTGAAGAAACATAATTGGCAATACTGACTACTTCAAGCTATTCACTGATACCGAGGACCCTGAATCCTGGATGAAGCACGCAAAAGGACTTGGCCAGTTGGTCAAGATTCGAGGACCGGAGCGTTATCGCAATGACCTGGATATAACTCTACTCAAGGTCTCACGGGGACTCATTGTACGTTTTACCCCATTTCAGATATTCTTTGAACATTTTTGACAATACTAGGTCATGCAATCCATGTTCTCTGGCGAACCGTGTTTCCTCGCCACCGAGGAATGGCATCAGATGATGCGACAGCAGCGTGCTTTGGATATCTCGCTGGAACTCCACAATTCCATCGAGCAATTTTTCGCTTACTTTACTTACGCCCCGAGCCTGGTGCACAAATTCTATCATTTAAAGCACACCGACATTACCACGCCGGAAGCGCTGCAAATTATATCAGCGACAATGGAACAGGCCCTCGACATGCAGAAGAAACTTCTACTGTGGCATGAGCAATTTTCCCAGATTGCTCCACCTCCAGTTGAAAATCTCGCTTCCACTGATGACCCCCTTTATCCGATTATCTTGACATATTCAAACATGACCGATGCGACCATCTATTGCGGCTACTACGCCTACATGGCCATCATTCACGAGGTTTTAAGAACATTTGGCTATCCTGGTCCACACGCTCAAATGGTGATATACTTCCGTGATCAAATCTGTCGATCGGTTGAATATAGCAGTGTCGGCATCCTTGGGCCCAATCGATTGGGTTTCCCTCTACGAATCGCCATCGAGGTTGCCGACTCTGCGACAAGATCTTGGATATTGGCTCGTCTAGATCAATTCTCGAAAGTCTACGCTGCTTCTCAACCCAAGAATTATGAGCCCATTTTGACATCAAATATTTGATTATCACCATAACATGACTTGTCAACATTCTTCGAGCACCCCACCGACTTGAGGAAAAATTGACCAAAAGAAACCTAAATAACCAGATTATTCCATCTCAATTCCTAGGCTGCTCTTCGTCAACGGATGTGATGTGCTTCATACCCGTCGACCCAGAGATTGGCTCAGCTACGGTGCGAGCTGCCATCAGCCAGGCAACGACGGTGATCTCCATCAAAAGCCCCATGCCCGCCAAGATAGCAACATTTCCATACGCAGGGTTGAACTTTGGAGGCCCAAACTCCAAAAGCAAGAAGTAAATGATCCGGACTAGCAAGAAGGGCAAGGCGCAGGATGTCAAGAGGATTCCGCGGTGGCCAGCCAGAGTCAGGATTGTGCGAAACTTCACCGAAAGCCAAGATACCAAGCCGCAGACATAAGCAAAGACGACGATGAGAACAATGGATCCGGCTTTGCCGAGTGCAGGCATTTTGATGATGCCGCCCACGACTCCTAAAACGACGGCGATTGCGACGAAGAATCGGAAGCCGTGCATCATTATTCGCAGTGACTTGGGATACTTTGAGTTTCCTGGTCCATGCTCACCGGCCTGGCCACTAAATTGGAACGTTTAGGTCAGTATTGCTTCATCGATTGTGATCATCGGGCTGTCGCGTACCATCGCAGCAGAACAAGGCTGATCTCAAACATCAGCGGCGAGAGCCCTACACTTTGTAGAGAAGACTCGGCAATGAGCATTGACTCGGTCGGGGTTGAGGTTGAGAGTATCATGGCGGAGCTCGCGATTCGAACTGTGTATGAAAGATTTTGATGGTTAGCTTTCTCGAGTGATTTATACCGAGGTACCTGTTCTACCTACTCTGCGACAATATTCCAACCATGCTGAACCAGGAGTAGAGGAAGCATCGTGGTAAACACTGTCTTTTCCTGTGATGCCAATACTTCCACTCTTGCATGTATCGAATGGACAATTGAATAATGTGAATAAGAGAGAAGATAACGAGTTCCGCAATGGCAATGTTGCGCTTGCTAACCGAGATTGTGGCCTCGGCGGGAGAAAGAGTATCAGACGACATGGTGATTTCAAGCTGGTCCCGATGAAACTTTTGCTGCTTATAATTCCAACATGCAGACGCGGGTTTGACTTAAATAATCTACGAGACACTCATCGAATTTTCATTCTCATTACTTCCAGGTATAGACCTTTGCCTAGTGGAGACACATCGCGGTTACTGACCATTTTAGGTTTAGCGCAGATATTCAGCAGTGTCCAGAACCTTAAAAGTGGTTGGTTCCAGTTCTGCCGAAGGCTTGAAATGGACAGAAAGGGCGACTGAAGCACAATAAAGAGTGGGACTATTAATGGATAAGCAAGATAGCAGAAGAGGGTCATGTCGGGTCCGCCGAGATGTTGCTCGCGGTAACTGTCCCAATTTGGGTAGTTTGCTGGCGATCGGGCTGTAACATTCATTCTCTCGTCACTTAAGTCTCGAATAGGCATATGGATGGCGTGAGTCTCAATCTCCAGTCAGATATCACTATGCGATACACCAAATTATAGTCAGTTTACTTGAGTTTGGAGTCCTTCTAAATCGGTATTCTCTCAGCTGCTGCTCGAGTCACTTCGAATCGCGTGCTTTCCTCCGGACCCCGGAGTGAAGCCGGATCAATAATTTTCCTGTGCCGCATACAAAAGTAATGACTCCGATGACGGCGAGTCATTCGAAGTTAGGAAGCATCCCTCGAATAAATCACCATGGCTGCTGCTGCTCGGACACTCCGCATTGGTACGCATAATCTGCTGCACTGTCTAAAGTGACCGGTTGAATTGACATTAAGCTAACTGAAATTCCACAGGTCTCATCCCCGGAGACGGCATCGGACGGGAAGTCATCCCGGTACGTAGCTCCGACGATAAGCCCGAAAATCACCGCATTGGACATGCAATTGACCTTCTATAGGCCGGTCGTCGCATTCTCGAGGCTCTTCCCTCTTCTCTGAACCTCAACTTCAGCTTCGTCAACCTCGATGCTGGCTTTGAGACCTTCCAGAAGACTGGCACTGCCCTGCCCGACAAGACCGTCGAGACCTTGAAGAAGGAGTGCGATGGTGCTCTGTTCGGTGCTGTCAGGTGAGCAATTGAAACACTCTGGGTTGTAGTCTTCACTGGCTAACTCTAGGCCCATCCACCAGCTCTCCCTCCACCAAGGTCGCTGGGTACTCCTCCCCCATCGTTGCTCTCCGCAAGAAGCTCGACCTGTACGCCAATGTCCGTCCCGTCAAGACCACCGCCGGTAGCAGCAACGGCAAGCCCATTGACTTGGTCATCGTTCGTGAGAACACCGAGGACCTGTACGTGAAGGAGGAGCGCACCGTGGAGGGCCCCAACGGCAAGGTCGCCGAGGCCATCAAGCGCATCTCCGAGCGTGCCTCCCACCGCATCTCCACCATTGCTGGTGAGATTGCTCTGCGCCGCCAGGGTATCCGCACCGCTGTCCCCGGCACCTCTTCCCACAGCCAGCCCATGGTCACTATCACCCACAAGTCGAACGTTCTGTCCCAGACCGACGGCCTGTTCCGCGAGACCGCGCGCAAGGCCCTTGCCGCGGAGAAGTTCTCCTCCATCCACGTCGAGGAGCAGATCGTCGACTCTATGGTCTACAAGCTCTTCCGCCAGCCCGAGTACTACGATGTCATTGTCGCCCCCAACTTGTACGGTGATATCCTGTCCGACGGTGCTGCCGCTCTTGTTGGCAGCCTGGGTCTCGTTCCTAGCGCTAACGTCGGTGATGGCTTCGCCATCGGTGAGCCCTGCCACGGCTCTGCCCCCGATATCGAGGGCAAGGGCATTGCCAACCCTATCGCTACCCTGCGCTCCGTTGCTCTGATGCTCGAGTTCCTGGGTGAGCCTAACGCCGCTGCTAAGATCTACACTGCCGTCGATGCCAACCTGGATGAGGCCAAGTTCCTGTCTCCCGATATGGGCGGCAAGGCCACCACCCAGGAGGTCCTCGATGACGTCCTCAAGAGACTGTAAGAAAAGTAATTTGTATATAGACCTTGGTGGCTGCAGATGAGCTTTACAGATAGTAGCAGGAATCCAAAATTTCGAGTTTGTGTCCAATATTTGTCTTGATTAATAGCTGCATGTGGAGTTTCATTCCTTGACCTGGGAAAGGAATCTCGCTAATGACCATCCGAGATTCATTGTCACTTATTTTCTTCCTATTTACCAGCATCCGAATCCTCATCCTGCTTGACAAGTACAAAGCGTACGACGAGATAGGGTTGACCCGCCTTGGAATCTTTCAGAACGTATCGTAGCTCATGATTATCTTCATCAACCATGCCCGCGACAGGGATATGGATACCTGGAAGATGGATCGAAGTTTCTACAAGACTCGCTTGTGAGATAAGTATTTCTCCTTTCCCATTTGCAGAAACCGGGTGAAGAGCAGACCGTCCACTTACCACTGAATGATAGATACTGATTTCCAAAATCAGCCAGGTAGGTTCGACCGCTCTCAAACTCAAATGAGATACGATGATCCTCTTTCTGGAAGTACTTCCGACGCTCATTCGCAGTCTCGGGAATATGGAGCTGACGGCGTTGCTCCGCGCCTTCACCATCCGCGCCCTCTTCGACGACGTGATCTTTGTCCATCAGAGTGTCCTGCTTCTTATCCTTGTCGCCAATACGCCACTGGCTCCATGTGGCCAGAGCGGGGCTGTAAAGATAAGGTTTATCGGCGTATGCATCGCCATCGAGGGTCGGGTCGATGGTCCATTTCACCACGCGTAGGGCTGCATTGAAGCCCGGGGGCAGACGGTTTCGAAGGGGCTTGTCGAAATCGTTCCCGAAGAGCAGCTCATTGCCGTTGATGGGTTGTTTGGGTGTAAAGGAGAAACAGATCGAGTATTGGTCGTTCGTATGTAGGGGATGCTGGAAATAGGGACTCGTCTTTGGAGAAGAATCCGGGTATCCTGCTTGTTGTTAGTACTTGTCTGCTAGGATTGTGAAGTGTATCATCCATTACCATTGTAATCCTGGATGCGAACGTTTAGGTCGAATCTTGCACGATCATCCTCGAGCCGTATCGTTTTGCCGTTGACCTCGACCGATTGATGTGTCGCGGGGTCGTAACCCAGCCCCGCAGTCACTGCCAGGCGATACGTTGGCTTTTCTGATTGTACCATGGCTGCTTCAAAGATGGGTTTTTGAGTTGATGTTCAAGCTGGGGGGAAATGTGGGTGTAGAGAGTAAATAAATAGTCTAGGTTCAAGCCTCAAGCAAGATGACGATCCACGTAAATTGACGTCGCCCTATCATCAAGGAATTAGACTTTCATCAACAAACATGCACCCGGATTATTTCCCTTTATACTAGCACTTCTGGCATTGATGCGTATGTTTTGATAGGGATCTTTGAGAATGAAGTTATTACCTGAGACAATTACACGATGCTATTTACTGACTCGACCCAAGTGCCTACGAATGTCAATGTAATCCTTATCTCATGCTTCGGCCATCTTTTCGGCGGACCATGACATCATTCTCAAGCTTACTCTGGGTCCACTCGACGACTTGAACTCCATTGGCTGTCTTCTCTATGAAATGTTGGCCTCATCCTCGACCTGGCTCCATAAAGGCGCCGGGCCGGGACTTATTGATACTGTTGATCGGGCCGCTCATTGACGTGGAAGACTGCAGTGAAAGATCATCGAAATGCCGAGTGAGCACGACGACCAAGCAAATAGGGAAGTAGACGATACTGCAGCCCTGTTCAAGCGTGCCGGCATATGTAGTCTAAAGACGTCACAAAGGAAATAGATTCAAACGAAAGGAATAGTATATATATACATCAAGATAATCCGAAAGGAGGCAAGTCCATGTCAGAGTCTACTCCACGGCCCAGATCCGCAAGACTTTCACTTTCAAGAAGATCGTCCTCGGAGAGAATCCCAATTCCACTATCCAGACGACGGCGATTCTTGCCTCTACCCATCTCAACGTCAACAAAGCGAGTCATGCTAACGGGAGTAATAGGCTCGCTGCCCATCATCGTTGTCCCATCGGACATGAGGTCGTCTGATCTAAGCTCCCAGTTTGCAGCGCGCACCTTGGCACGGCGACGCTCTGAATTAATGGACTCTTTCATGAACGCAAATGAGCGCGCTTGCTCGATTGCCCATTTGTCGAGCAGTTCGTCACGGGCTTCCATCTCTATCCGTAATTGCTCTTCAAGACCGTTGTTGACTTGTCCCAGCCGCTGCGCCTCCGACCGTGCGCCTTCGAGCGATGTTGTGAGTTCCGAGATGCGAACGTTGAGAGTCCCAATCTCTTCTTCATAATGTTGGTGTTGCTCGCTTGCTGTTTGCTCTAGACGCTCAAGCACTGCCTGATGCTCTTTCTCCAGAATCTCCATCTCTGTTGTGAGATCACAAGCACGAACTCTGTTCTGCTCCACGGTTTCTTCAAGCTGGCGGATGCGGGCCTCAGTTTCCGAAGTCGAAATTTCAATCGCAGAACGCTGCTGGCGCTCACTCATGACTTGAGCTTTCAATTCGGAGATTCTTTGTCGGTATCTTTCCTTGGTGGCCACGTTCTCGTCTTCCAAACGGCTCACCATCTCTTCCAGACCTCTCACATCGTCGTGGTACTTATCGAGGGCGGCGTTTAATCTGTCAATCCCAATACTTTTCTCCTGGTCTTCGTTTTCGAGATCTTGCAGTCGAATTCTCGTGTGAAGCATATCACTCGCAGATGATGCGATCGAGTCCTCGAGGCTGCTGATCTTATCCGCTGCCGCTTCATACCGGTGTAGGAGGTTATCAAATTGACCACGAAGCGCCTTTTCACGACCAAGCGAGCCTTGATAGTGGTCACGCTCTGCTTTCAAGTCGTTTGCAAGAGACTTGACTCGGTGTACCAATGCACGGAGGGTGGCCTTTCCATCCTCGAGGCTCACGTTTGCGGTTTCACCAGGAATAGCTCGCTCTAGCTCAAGGCGTGCAGCGCGGAAGTGACTTCGCATGTCGTCAATGACTTCATCTGTGCTGGAGCCGGTGAATCCCAGGCTGGAACACTCTTGGCTTATACCCTCCAGGGTTTGGGTGGCATCAGAGGCACGGGAGAGCGCCATCGTCAAGATGTCGATAACATTGTCGAAGAAATCGGGGGGTGGAGATGATTGACGAAGAGTCTCACCGAAGCCAGATGCCTCAAATGTAGAAAGATGCCTGCGGCAGGCATGGAAAAGCTCCCTCTTCTCATTCTTGGCAGTCTCCAAATCAAAGGTGAGAGTCTGTATATCAGAGTTCTCCGTCGTTTTCAAAACGTCTGTTTGAGTCGAGATCTCGGCATTCGTCCGATCAAATCTTGCGGGGCTGTCTGGTACCGGCGAGTGCATAGCACGAAGATCCGGTGAGTTGGAAATGATGACGGCACTATCGTTAAGGGTGAAGGTATCTCCGTCGTTGTCGATTGATGTTTCTTGCACATCGAAGCTCTGATTTGAAGCCACCGAGATTTCATCTCGAATTCTATTAGTTTCACGCTCGAGTTCGCGAACACGGACTTGAGGGGACATCCAGAAAGACTCATATGAAGGCAGCTGTTCCCCCGGAATTTCTTGCCTTTGTTTCAAGGCATTGAGTTCATGTTGGAGAGCATCTCGCTCCTGTCGTAAACCCTCGAGTGTCTTTTCGAAATTCGCCGACTCCCGCTTTTCACGCTGAATGCTATTGATCTCGTCGCTTAGACCAAAGCGTCGTATTCTCCTTTGCGTCCGGGTATCTAAGATTTGACGCAGAGGAGTAAATTGTATCACCCTTCTGGTACTCGATTCATCGAATGCTTCAATGTCATACGACGTCTGGAAGCGCGGTGTGGGGGCTGATCTCCGTCGGTGGGCGCGCCCACTAGGTGTACCATTACCGGACCTCGAGCAACCAATGCCAGACTCTATAAACGAGGTGCGCTTCATTGCAGGCGTGAGGCCAGTCGAGCAAACCGGAGTATCAAGCAGCCGAGGACCAGGATCCGAGAATCGGACCCGCTTTCTTGCCTTCTTTGGGGTACTCGCAGCAGGCTTGTGCATGTTTAGCATTGCTTCTCCAATCATCCCGCCTCTTGTCCGGTGTGAGATGGGTGAAGTGCTTCTTGAATCAGAGATGGAATTGCTTCTGCGCTTGCGCGCAGACTGGCGAGTCTCCATCGTCAATTGTAAGGCTCAGGGGCAGCCGAGTTAGAAATACAGGGTATGTACAAATGTACACAGTATTTCACGCACTACAATCTCGGCATCTGTACGGAGTAGTAGTGAGACAAAGGAATTGCCGGTGGATTGGGCGAATGGCAAAATAAAGACAGATGAAGCAGCCCGATTGGTGTTGTCAAGTCGAGTCCAGGAAAGGGAGTATTTAATACTTTCAACTACAGGAGAACCTTGAGTTATACATCACAACATAAACAAACAAGGTGGGGCTTCTGCAGGCAACAGGCCCCTTCGCGCCTGCCTCGCGTGCCTGGGGCCCTGCTTTCCTATTTGGGCCATGTAAACAAGCTGCTTCTTCCAGAAGTCACGTGAGATAGTGACAGCCTCAGGCAGAGAGTTCAGCCTCCTCCAAAAAGGTACTTGCACAATTAGGAATCATAAAGAAATGCAGTTCTTAGAACACTAAGAAAAAAATCAAAGCTACCGTACAGCCCATGGACTGCTCACGGATCTCCTCAAACCACTCAACATTCCCGCAAAACCGGTGGATCCCAGCCAAACTCATCTTTCCCCCGGATCCTTGCTTTAAGCTGGTCATCTGACTTTTCGATCCGAATCTTGGATTTTGATCCAATGCATTCGCCATTCGGTCGATTGATCCATGAAAGAAAATGCCAATCTGTCCTTTTCTTAAATCCGAGCTAGCCTAAGGCACTTTAAGCCCAGAAATTGCAATGACAGAGTCGATTCGTTGACAGTGTGGAGGCACCCTCCAGTCCGTGGTATCTTATCAACAAAGCCCCCACCACTCAAAGAGCTCCCTCCGCCGCCTCTCTCCAACTCGGTGCATTGTGCCCGGCATTAGAGCCCGTCCATCGGGAGTAGCTTCGTTCATTTTGAACCTCCCCTTCTCCTGAATCTATTCTTTTCTACCCCACAGGTACCACCGACCAGCCATGTGTCCTCACCACCGCGCCTTTCAGTGATGTCATTGCGTGACTGAGGGCGATCGAGTAGTATACGTCCGTTTTGGCCTTCCTTCTTCAACCACCTAGAAGCCACACTGGTGCGATGGCGGGCCTAACTTCTTTCCTCGAGGTGCGCCTTTATGGAACCCTGAATCGGAGCTGACCAGGCTGTGAGAATGAGCGGTCTGTGACCGTATTCTCCCCGGCCTTAACTGATTCGTTGTGCAGCATCCGAGCGACCGCGGCCTTCGTGACCACCAGCAGTTCATCGAGGAGATCCTTCATGAAAGGTCGTGGACCGAGACTGCTGGAGATATATCGATTTTTGATAAACTTCCCGCCGAAATCATTCACCAGATTCTATCCCATCTCTCTGCACAAGACCTGGCCTGCGTGTCCAGCGCATGTCGTATACTCGCCGAACATGGCTCTAACGATCGCTTGTGGGCCAGACTCGTCAATTCACATCTTCACTCCCATATCCACGACCCAGGACCCTTCAAGTCATTCCGTCGACTATATCTCGCCCACCTACCTTACTGGTTCATCCCTCAAAATAAAATCTGGTTCTCGGATGTCGAAGCCCACGGATGTCTGATCCTTGCTCGGTATGACAATCGGCGAGGGGTAATAGAGGCATACCGAGTCATCGCAGATCGACGCACACCAAAGTTCCATATCTGGGAAGCCCATCCGGACGTTATGATTCAATCCTTTGATCCCAAGATCAGCTTGTGGCTGGATGACCCCGTTTTACTGCTCAAGGATGCGGATATGTCAAGCCCGATCGCCGCTTGCCAGACATGGAATGCCGATCGCCGGATGCCCATGGCAGCAGACTCTCAACAAGTATTCAGCTCGCTCATGCTTTGTCCCAAGGAGTACCCAGATCAGAGGACGATGTCCTCGATCAGGCTCTGGCCGCCTGCGATGATTCCTAGTTCGGAACGAATAGCTCGGATTACGACTTCAAGGGATACATTTTTGCCCAGTCGTGCATCAGAAGCATCCACGATTGGGCTCCGCATCAAGCGATGGGCCAACTTTCGGTTTCAGATGACCCCAATTGATAACGAAGCGATATCTAATTATGCGACGCTCGATCCAGCGCTGTACGTTCCCACGAAAGAGAAGCCCTACCAAGGGATATGGGTTGGAGATTATTCTGCCCATGGGTGCGAGTTCCTTCTCATTTACCAAATGACCCAACCTTCCGGGTTTAGTCCCGTCGACGGTCGTGAGGGGACCGACCAGTGGAACACCTTGAAAGCGGTCAAGCTGACAGGAGATCCAAATGTCCCACGTGGGGAAGTCACCTTTGTTGCTCACGATATCGGCCCGAATGGTCTTATACGTGTGGCAGATGAAGAGCCCTTCGTTGGCGCCCGTATAGTCCACTGCTTTGGACACGTAGCGGGCATCGGTTTCCGTGACGGTAAGCTATTTCATCCCCCCTCTTCTTTCATGGTAACTAGTTTAGGATCACTGATACATGCTTTTCTCGTCACAGACGCTTATATTGCCTCTCAACTTATTCTCGTCTCCACTGATTATATCGCACACTACTGGGAGGAGATGGGTCACATCTCGTATTTCCGTCGTGTGGACATTGATGGGCTTTTGAATATTTAAGCGCTGGCTAGGGTTGCCTTGTCTCTGCTCTCTTTTCGATTTGACTCTCTTCTCTCTCCTCATACCCCATTTGTTACTCTCTTAGCATGGATTGATTTGCGTTCTACTCATCGAGTCCTGAATCAATATAAACCTATTTTGACAGTTAGGCAGAAATTCCTTGAATTTAGAACCGTATTAATCTTTTTCAGTCGGGAAATTGACAAAGAAAGATAATTCCGAAAGACTAGTCTTTGGATTTGGCAATGAGACCGTCGTAGGCCAGGATTAGAGCAAGCGGGTCACAAATCAGGTCAAAGGATCAAGTCAAAGAACCGATCATACAATGGACAATGGACCTGTTTCCCCAATATACTCAATCAAAGATAGATCCTTCAGATAGGTAACTCGTCTCCAACGAAGGAAGTTTCCCTCAATATAAAAACCTCGTGTTATCTCTACACCCGTCTCATCTTCGAGCTACACAAGCATTCAAATAATTCCCTGTCAGTCATGGATCACTCCTATACCGCGCCAGCATATGGCCTTCTCATCCCACCTCTCTTCAACGAAGACCCCCGCCGTGGTGTAAAATGGTCCCCGGAGTCATGGTGGACGGACGAAGTACTCGAAGAACTCAAACGTTCGAACCTAACTGTCCCAGACTTCAAACGCTGGCGTGAAATCGTAACCAACAAGCTAGACGAATGGACCCAAAAATGCCAGTGGATCGAAGCTAACGTTAAAGATTTCTCCAAGAACCACTTTCGAATCGAATCTGAGCAAATCGTCTATTTTCTTCAACATGCCATCGCTGGTAAGTTGTCACGATTCCGGCCAGGCTTGAAAGGGGAGTATGGGTGTTATATTAGCCCTTGCTTTGATGGACGGCGTAGAGCTGTTGTTGAGGCTTGTTATGGGTTGGCTAGGCAGGTGGAAATGGAGTGTGAGAGACAGAATGTCATGGTTGAGCCATCTGCGCACTTTGGCGAGAACTTGTGTATGCTGAGGGTGGCTATAGGGAGGCTTTCGCTTGAGGGGTTGAATGTTGACTGTCCGGATGTGGTTGCGATTAACATGACTAGGAAAGGGTTGCAGAAGAGGCAGTGGAGGTATCCGGTTGATCGGTACCTAGCTACTTTTTGGTCTGACCTCAATTATAGCGGAACGGGCTGCGGATGTATTCAGTGCAAGATTGAAGCGGGACAGGAGTCTTGATTCGCGAGAATATTGTTTTGAGGTTTGGGGTATGCTTTGATATAAATGGCTGGAGCTTAGTAAACGTCTAGAATCTTATTTACTCTCGTGACTCTACTCAGAGAGTCAATTTGCACTGAAGGCAAAGCATCATTCCACAACTTTTATTTAGAATGTGATAGCCTCAAGTAGAGGGCATAGGAGTTGCGTATGAGCGTAGTGGAATAGATACAGAGAGTTGATAGGTATCGCACAGAACGAGAAGAGCCAAAGACGCCGTAACTCTGAAGATGAGGCTGGAGAAGCGGAGAAGCCCAGGGGGCGAGAGAGGAGTAGGTCGTCACACGTAAGTCCAGCCATGATGTGTGCCCACATCTCACACCGCCTCAGTTGAATGTCAAGTCGGAAAGTATGTGGATGGAATCATTAATTGCCATTTGCCTGTCGTTCAAAAAAGACAACAGATCACCGTCGGCGCTCGAACCAGCTCGAAGAACCCATCACGGCGACGGACGTATCCATCACCCACTCGCCGACTCCGAGGTAGTTGTCGATCCAGCGCTTCACTTCCTTGCTCTCGGAGATCTGTTCGGATTTGAGACTAGGGCTGGTAACAACCCACACGCACGCGACCCGATAAAGGGGGTGTGCGCGAGGATTAACCGAGTTAGCTGGACTGTCTTCTTGGACGGGCTGTTTGGAAGCTTCTCGGGCTCGAGGTAAACAAGGCGAGAGAGTGGAGGGTGGGAGGGGTTGAAGGGAAGTGGTATTTACGTGAGACCCGTGGAACGCTTGACACCAGCCAAAAAGGCAGAGACTATTGAAGACATTGTCCGTTAGTTCCGGATCAAGTATGATCTTTTGTATGATGGGGATAGCTTACTGAGCACCGCATCGAATGCGTAGTGAGTGAGACGCCCGATCTGTTCAGCAAAGGGAGCTTAGTCAAGCTTTCCTGCTTCCTCCCAGTCTTCAAGTACAAGCAACGGAAGCTTCTTACCATGGTGGAGAGGGTGATCAGAGTAAAGAGCATATAAACGTAGGGCTCATGGGAAGGACGTTGCAGATGATCCACGGCGGAAGACGGGGAAACGTATCACGTGGGTCGCTTTCACATGACTCTGGGCAGCCACTGCCCAAAGGTCAAAGGCCCGGTGGCTGGTGTGATGAGGTAATTGGAGGGAAGCTCCATGATTATGTAATTCAGATCCCTGCCCAAAGCGGCCGGTTATCGATAAGGCTGAATTGCCCACCGAAATCCATTTTGGCCTGGAGGGGCGGCCATCAAATTGGGTGTCGCTATTTGTCACGTTTACTCGATAAAAGGGATCCAATGTACGGCGCGTAGACCAGCACGGGCACCTCCACGGAGAAGCAGTTTTTGTACAGTATTGAATGTATTTTGCGATGCTTCTGCCTTCATAGCGGATGCCGCCGGTGCCGACTGGCTGGGGCTAGTAGTGAGGGATCAAATTCGGTGAGGGGCAGAGTGGGAGAGGCAGTCTACAACAGAAGACGAATTACTTGACTCATCCCGGAGGCGATACAAGATTGAAAGCATTCGAAATGAATAGTAGCTAGTTCTGTTGGATGATTATCTACTACTGGTAAATTTCCAAACAGTTCAATGAGATTGCCAAGCCACCCAAACAATGTAGGAGCAGTGTACACCGGCGAGTAACCTGGGGCAAGACCCGTTCACTAGTTCTTGGGTGCCTGAGAAAAAGCAGAACGGTTGGCGGAGATAGCATCGGCGACCAACATTTTCCCTCCCGCCCCTCACCCTCCATCCTACTTCCCTTTTTCTCCTCCCCTCTCTCGCTCACCTCCATCCCCATCCTCTTCAATTGATTCTCTATCTCTCCCCTCCCCATCTCCCTTCCTCCATTAGCTTTGTCTAGTACATTCACAATGGCGGCCACTACCTCCCTCGACCACCTGTCCAACCGGATGAAGCTGGAGTGGCACTCCAAGCTCAACACCGATATGGTGCCAGCAAAGAACTTCCGCCGCACCTCCATCATCGGTACCATTGGTATGTCATGTCCACGACTGCCCCAAGTCCTTTGACTTCCACCGCTGTTTCCTATGAACTGGCGCATGGTCATTTGGTAGTCCAGAGTTTCCAAAAAAAAAATTGCTAACGGCCAATTGCGATAGGTCCCAAGACCAACTCCGTCCAGAAGATCAACGCTCTCCGCACTGGTACGGACAGCAATCTTATAGAATTATTCTTCGGAGAAGACAGACTAACTCGACTGTAGCCGGTCTTAACGTTGTCCGCATGAACTTCTCCCACGGCTCATATGAGGTAAGACCCCGATGGTCCCGACATGCGGTCAAGAGGTGCCGTTGACCTAACATTAATCAGTACCACCAATCTGTGATCGATAACTCCCGTGAGGCCGCTCGCACCCAGACTGGTCGTCCTCTGGCCATTGCCCTCGACACCAAGGGCCCCGAGATCCGTACCGGTAACACCGTCGATGACAAGGACTTCCCCATCGCTGCCGGTACCGAGCTCAACATCACTACCGATGAGGCCTATGCCACCGCCAGTGACGACAAGAACATGTAAGCATTCCCATCCACCTGTTGACGGGAATTGCTCGATCGGCCGACCGTGGGTCGAAGTTGATGTTGCAGAGACTGACCGTGCGGGACTGTAGGTACCTCGACTACAAGAACATCACCAATGTGATCTCTCCCGGCAAGCTCATCTATGTCGATGATGGCATTCTGTCATTTGAGGTGATCCAGGTTGTGGATGACAAGACCCTGCGCGTCAAGTGCTTGAACAACGGTAACATCTCGTCCCGCAAGGGTGTCAACTTGCCCGGTACCGACGTAGACCTCCCCGCTCTGTCGGAGAAGGATATCAGTGACCTGAAGTTCGGTGTCAAGAACAAGGTCGACATGATCTTCGCCTCCTTCATCCGCCGCGGTAGCGACATCCAAGCCATCCGTGAGGTTCTCGGTGAGGAGGGTAAGGAGATCCAGATCATTGCCAAGGTTGAGAACCAGCAGGGTGTCAACAACTTTGACGAGATCCTGGAGGCCACTGACGGTGTCATGGTTGCCCGTGGTGACCTCGGTATCGAGATCCCCGCCCCCAAGGTGTTCATCGCCCAGAAGATGATGATCGCCAAGTGCAACATCAAGGGCAAGCCCGTGATCTGTGCCACTCAGATGCTCGAGTCCATGACGTACAACCCTCGCCCAACCCGTGCTGAGGTGTCTGACGTTGCCAACGCCGTTCTCGACGGTGCTGACTGTGTCATGCTGTCGGGCGAGACCGCCAAGGGTAACTACCCTTGCGAGGCCGTCAAGATGATGCACGAGACCTGCCTGTTGGCCGAGGTCACCATCCCCCACTTCCAGATCTTCGATGAGCTGCGCAACCTGGCTCCTCGTCCCACCGAGACTTCCGAGTCCATTGCCATGGCTGCTGTCAGCGCCAGTCTGGAGCTGAATGCCGGTGCCATCGTCGTCCTGACCACCAGCGGCAAGACTGCCCGCCTTCTGTCCAAGTACCGCCCCGTCTGCCCCATCCTGATGGTCACTCGTAACGCCACCGCTTCTCGGGTAAGTTCTGTAGCCCCAGTATCGCAAGTCCGTTCCAAGCTAACAAAAGCCCTTCTCAGTACTCGCACCTGTACCGCGGTGTCTGGCCTTTCTACTTCCCCGAGAACAAGCCCGACTTCAACGTCAAGATCTGGCAGGAGGACGTCGACCGCCGCCTCAAGTGGGGTATTAACCACGGTCTCAAGCTCGGCATCATCAACAAGGGCGACCCCATCGTCTGCGTTCAGGGATGGCGCGGCGGCATGGGCCACACCAACACCGTTCGTGTGGTCCCTGCCGAGGAGAACCTCGGTCTGGCCATGGAGTAAATCTTCGACGGTGCCATATGATGAAGGCCACGAATCTGTTGCTCCAATCTTTTTTCCTTTTAGTTCTTTTCTCTTTTTTTTTTCTGGTTATCGCTGGTGCGAGGGGTTGGATACATACCTATTTTCCTTATTTTGTCAAACAGCAAAAATGTTTCTTGCCACTGTTTCAAGGCTAAATCCGTTTCTGCTCCATGGTCTGGACCATCGCTGTTTCTCGAGACGAGATAAATGCATTTCCGCTGTATATGAGAATGGCTTGAATATCCCTATGCTGCGTCCATTTATGTCAGTAACTCTTGATGATCCTCAAACTGAATGAGGAAAATGAAAGTGCCCATGATTTCTGTTCAGATTTTCTAGTTAGTGAGCCGGTTAGTTTTGCATTGGACCTGTCCGGACCTGTCCGTTCCATTAGAAGCGACGGGAGGTTCTGCGCGCGTTCTTGCACGTCTTTTGTTCACGTACGCTCTCACTGGAGAGTCGAGCGCAATCACACGAGCAATGGAACTGGGTTAAAGACTGCGCGAATAAAGCGAAGGAGAAAAAAGAAAGGAGAAAAAGAAACAGCCGACGGTCAAATGGAAACGCCTTCCCTCAATGCGGGGGACCACGAAAACGCGCGACCCGACTCCGACTCCGAGGCTCGGCATGTGTCCTGCAGGCACCCGAGTATGTAACCAGAATATGTATACTCTCTCCGTAGTCGCATGCATTAGCTCTTTTCAACCAAGAGCCATACAACACAGCGAGGGCATGTTCGTCAATTGGACGAGAATAACAAGAGGCAAAGAAAGAAGAAATCCAAAAAGTTCATCCTGTCCGATGGCAGAAGATACTTCCCGAGTGCGGTCCCGTTTAGTCCCGATTTTCGCCGAAGTCACAGGGGTTCGATTCACAGCCTGGTTTACAAGGCATGAACATTTTCGATTTGTGGCAGCGAGTGGAAGAGAACACTACTTTTGTCTTTTATATTCGCGCATCAATACTCGGTTCTATTTCCTCTTTCATAACAATCTAGTCAACAGGTCTTTGCTGATTGCATTGCATCCTACATAATCCCCCATTTGTATCACTCTCTGCCCCCAGCCCAGCTATGACGACGGTCAAGACTTGGCATGGGGTGTGCCTTTGGCTGTGTTAGGCTCGGTCTCACATGCCCCGAGCCTTATAAAAAGGACTACAACCTGTTTGAGGCTCAACTCTCAAGATATCGAAATCTAAATACTCTCATAAAAGGTCTTTTTCTTCACATTCTTCGGCCTCCTCATCATAAACCCCTTTTGTCTTTGAATCCTTCTTCCATCCACAATGTGCTTCGGTTTTGGGGGCTTCAGCTCCGTGAAACCCAAACCACCCCGCCGAGAAAAATATGGGCAAAACGAAGAAAAATATCTTCGTGACTATGCTCGCTACGAAAGCAAATACGAAGAATATATGGACAAGGACAATCGCGGTCGGCGAATGGCTAATTCTAGCACTGGCGCTGTCGCTGGGACATCGGCTGCTATTGGCAACTAAGTCGATGGCTGGCCAAGAGGCAAGCTACATACCCAGACACGGTAGGAAGTATTCAGAATTGAGAACACACACAGTCTATTTAAGTGTGAGAGTTGAAACTGTCATCTCGGAGTGGATTAGTGAACAGCTACCCGCTAATGTCAGACCGCTACTGAAGATGAATAATCTCGCCGACTGCGCGCACCATTCAATGGTCTGGGGAAATTTGTTGAGTTGTCCAGTTGAATAGGTTCAGTTATAACACGTTCTAAATTATACTTCGATTTCTGGGCATCTTTGGCTTCGCCGCTCCATTGTTCCCGTTGATCATGGAGGACGCGCCTGGTAATCATAGGCGAATTTTCCCAGACCAAGATCTTTAGGTCTCCTCTAAGCGTAAACTACCTAAGCATGCAGCTAAACTGCCTAGACGGTGATAATTGACCCGTGGCGTGTATCGTATATTGAAATAGACGACAAAGATGAATGGGGGAAATTGGAAGGGCTACTGGTGTTACTCCAAGGCTTAGAAGAGCATCAAATTAAACTCAACGATTAATCGTCGTCACATCCTAAAAGGAGAACACATGATAGAAACAATACAAGTGTTCTCAAATGATCTTGAGCATAGTATTTGGCTGGGGGTGAAAAATATTAATTCCTTCCGTCAGGTAAATCTGGTTCATCCCCAACGGACGACACACAACCCTCAACGATATCGGCTCCACAGTCCACTTGAATGGACTTCTCAACCACCACTTAACTTGTATCTCCAGTCCTTCATCCAACTATATAACTCCTGATAGGAGCGTCATAACCTTCAATCCAACTTGACTTCATCTACCGGAAAGACGGATAATCACGACAAGAAAAGCCAGGGCTCCAAATCCGACACTTTACGAATACCGCAATGGCTATATCTCAGAGTACTAAGACAGCAGGCCCAATCGATCATGACACAGGTGTCACCTACGAGGGAAGCTGTCATTGCAAAGCTGTGCTTTATTCTGTGAAACTGCCGTCGCCGTTATCACAGTTGCCCGTGGTGTCATGTAACTGTACGTGAGAAAGTTTTCATGTCGCCCTGCTTTGCTACATTCTATGAGAATGGAAATGGGAATTTGGCTAACAATATAATAGGTAGCTATTGCCACAGCTCAGGTAGTCTGCATGCGTTTGCGGGTGATATCGAGATTCATCAAGGAGCACAATCTCTTACGGTATGAATCAGCTACCGCCCAAGCCCTTCTCCAAAAATTGCCGGATGACTAAAGTTCTGTAGGAATATCGGTTTGGCTCGCACTCTATAAAAATCTTCTTTTGCAAAACCTGTGGTGCCAATGTGTACAACAGATCGGTGAACCCAAAGTTCATCTATGGCAAATGTGCTATCAATGTAAGTCAAATGGAATCTCACTGGACGATCATGACTACATTATGTACGGTCTAGGCCAGTACAACTCTATCCGTGCAAAAGTATACATGATCTAACATAAATCATCTCAGGTGCGCCTACTGCAGGGGGTTGATTTGGAAGCCATAGAAGTCACTAAGCGTGATGGCAAGGACTTCTATCCGCCACCTCTAGAGGGAGATTCTCTCTAGATCATATCTAGACTATTAGTACTTTAATACCAGTGATTCCATCCCGCCTCCAATTTGCCTGTTATTAGAATGGCATAATTCGTATAGTATGACATGTAGGGATATCTTTGAAGCCGTGAAAAACTGTTTGGCTCTCGCCAGCTATTGAAAGATTGCAGCATGACAAGGCTTCAACCAAGACACGGCGCTTATCGCAATCAAAGACCTCTAAACTGATGTGAGACGCAGATCATTCAGTTGTATCAGATGTGCCTAAGCCTGACAAGCTGGCAGTATCTGGTAGTTCCGGAAAAGGAACAGATTAGCCATCAATAGAAGAAGTAATCTAAGAAAATGAACTTTTGCTATCTGGAAATTCTTATTGTATGATCCAAGCAGTTTTTGGCGGAAGCCACAATGTCGGGGTGAGAACTGTCGTCAAAAGACTATTTCAATAACAAAGTCTGCGACTGTAGAGCCATCAGCGTTTTTAATACGCGGACCAACTCCGTGCTCTAGCAGAACTTTGAGATTGTCTTGAGTATCTACCAGCAAGAAATTTCATAGTCCAGCCTCGGACCACTGTGTCGCCTGTGGCATCAACATCGGAATAGCCTCAGGGCAGGAACCATGACAATTTGATGCAAAATGCTTCACATCTCACAGGATAGGTCTTGAGAGAATTTATATGAGATTTCTCCGAGTCTGATATGGCCTATTTAGATCAATGCTCGGGTTAGAAAGAAGATTCCAGTGGATGTCAATACACTGTTAGGAAACTCCGCCGAGTAGTTTTGCACGTGCTTCGATCGGATGTAGTTTCAATATGTATTTCCAAGGTGCAGCACAGCATGAATCTAATCATTTAACAGTACGGCTATTATCACCATTCATGGGATTAAACAAAATAAACACTACTTGACGAATGAAACTGTTCATGTCTCCGAAACTCCGTTCATTTATGCCTGCTACCACACGCGCTAGTAAACGGAAATTCATTGTGTATGTGCAATGCTTCTGGGACCATCGAAGGAAAAATTCGTGGGCATCAAGTATGGTCGTTAAGTCGTCAATCATTACGGGAATTTGAGGTTTGGTTGTGTATCGTGTTCGTCAATGAAAAGCACCTTTTTCGGGTCCATCGATGATGTCCTGCTCTGTTGCATTGGCAATCTGGTGTTCACCGGGTGGATACCGGTGCATGGCACTTGGTTGAAATTGGTGCCAGCAACTAAATTGGTCAGAATCAATTGGTCAAAGAAAAGGGTGTCTGTGAGACATACCTTGGGGCCTGCAGGACATATCTTGCCATCGCTTCACGGAAGCGACTCTTGTACTCCCTCGGACTCGTTACTGTTGGACGATTGCGACCGCCGCCAGCAAAGCCACGATCCTTGATCCAAGACTCGAGTTTCTTGTCCCATGTGTATGTGCGGATGCAATCGATGATTCCGACAACCAACTCGCTGCGCATTTCGTCGATCGCTATCATCAACGAGTAGTCCATGACGTTCTGACGGCCAAGGAATAAGGTATCGTTCCATACGCTCTGGCTCAAAAGCTTCTTTGAATGCTCTCGGGCAAACAAGGGGGTTTCATAGATGAAGTCTACCATGTTCTCATCTAGTAGGACTTCGTCCTGCTCGCCGGTGCTCTCTACCTTGCGGTTGCGCATCGAGCCCTTCAAATCGAATATGCGATTGGGCGCACGATCGTAGAATAGATTCTCCATCAGAAGCAGGAACCAGTTCTGCTCAATTCCAGTCACTGGGTTCTTGATAATGATTTGGTAGAAACCAAACATTTTGGCGATAGCCGAGGGCAGGTCATGGAAGAGAGCTTCTGACATGATCTGGAAGTACGCCGGTGCGAACTTGAGGAAGGCCTGGGTCTCGACGGGTGCTAGTGACTTGAGCACAAATCGGTCATCTAGAGTCTTGAGGAAGATTGACTTTGTTTTGCCGCCTTTGGAGTCCCACTTCAAGCAACGGGACAGTGACTCCACAATACGATCGGCAACACCACATTTTTTGCGAAGTGCCTCGAATTGTTCGGCATAGAATACTTTGCAGAGCATTTTTGCCTGGCCTTCCTGGAATTGATACTTGAGATGAGTCCCGGTTTGCCGCAGGAGAGCGTGCTCTAGTCGAGCTTCATTTGCGGCTTCTGTATCGTGGTCAAACTCTGCGGGTTGATCCTCCATCTCATTGTACCGTTCCTGAATGCTTGCCAATTTGTCCTTGTAGTCGGACGAGTCTAACGCAAACGCGATAAGAGAACTTGGCTCGTCCTCGCGCACGATAATATCGCAGTCAGAGAAGACGTGGTCTCCTGCGCTAAGAGGATAATCAAGAGCAGTCCATCCGCTGGCAGATCGTTCAGACCAGAAGTTGGTCAGCATCTTCAATAGAGTCGTTCGTTCGTGCTTTGGAAGATCTTTGAAATCGATCGAGTCATCATCCGGTAGCGTTTTAGAATCGTCCTGAGAGTCCACATGATGGAGATCGTCGGCAGTACTGCGTTCTTCGTCACTCCGTCCATCATCTGCCTCACCCTCAGACATGAGCTGAGAATCAGAGCGGACAATGCCTCCAGGCTCGAATGATCCCGAGGGGTTCACCTGCGCTGGAGACTTTGCAGCCAGTTCCTCGGAATCTCCCTGGTTGATAGAGTCGTCACTCTTTCGTCCCGCTTCCTCTGAAGTATGCGGTGGAGCTGCGGGCTGAGAATAATCCCCATCAGCGTGCGGTTCTCGTTCTTCGACAGCTTCTTTCACATTACGATAAACCTCAACGATCGGCTTCGAAGATGCAAGGGGGAATGCGCGAGAATAAGCGCCTCGTGCAGCTCGCTGTCGTCTTTCCCGTTGTCGTTCCTTTTCAAACTCGCGACTCAATTGTTCAAAGTGTCTGGCGAGGTTTGACACACGAGAGCTGCCACGTTTGGGAGTTGAACGGGGTATCAGCGAATGTCCCGGAGTAAACCGGCCATTCTTTAGGGCAGTCAGCCCAAGGCGTTCAGTGAACTTCTTCTCCGATGTCTTTGTCGAATCTCCCCGAGAAGATCCGGAGTCGTTGGAATTTGTGTGGCTTAGTTTCAATCCAAAAGACTTCTCCCTAATGAGGTGGGCAGGTTGGGATTGAGCACGCATCAAAGGAGGAGAACGAGCCTTCCCAGAGCGCCGGGAGAAAGCACCTTCGGCAAGCCTTGGAATTGCAGAGGGTCGATTTGGAGGTGTGTTTGAAACATCAGTAGCTGGATTATCTTCGTTGGCCTTGCTTTTTGCTCCAGAGAAAGATTCACCGTCGTCAGGAGGTGATGGAGTGGAGACATCCCTATCATCACGTAAAAGCACAGGTTCTGTAAGCGCCACTGGATCGTCCAGAACGGACATGGGTTGATCGAGAGGCGAGCAGGAGCTGGGCGGCGAGCGTTCAGACTGACTTGCAGGAACAGCCAAGTCAAGATGCCGAACCTCTTCTTGCAGTACGGTTTCGTCTTGCGTAGAAGACCTCTGACCATTGACAACATTGGCTGAAAGCACCGCTTCGTCGGTTGGGGTAGGCGATGGAGTCAGCTCAGTAGAATCAGGCGGAGCATCTCGCGGCATTCTGCCAGTGTGCTCCTCAACGACTGAGACTAGCACATTCTGGGCCTTTTCGGGAGAAAGTGTCATCCGTCGCATGAGCCTTGGTTTCTCATCAGTGGGAGTAGTCTCCTCATCCATGCCAGTCGGTGTATGAACCCCATCCTCGGTAGTCATCGACGTTGCATCCTTGTCCAAGAAAATCTTTTTGAGTTGTAAGGTTGCCAGTCGTTTGATATCCTTCTCCGACGGGAAGAAATTCCTCTCAAAGTCCGCAAAGATAGTGTCCCATTCCACTACCTTCTCCTGGACTGCTCGGAGGACCTCGTTCAATGGAATGACCTCCCAGTAACGCGAGCCGGTATACTTATCCTGCAGGCGCTTATTCAAAGCGGCGTGGTCTTCTTGAGCTTTCTTAATCAAAGTCTCAATTTCTTTCTTACATTCGTTCAGGAGTTCTGGTAGAACGCTTTCCACATTGATGCCCTTCAATCGGACATGAACGGATCTCATGAATTTGTTGAGCCGATCCCCAGTGTCAGAGTAGACTTGGTTTCTGAGCTTCAAGTCGTTATCCACTTTCCAGGTGACACGAGGGCGTGGAACAACAATCTCAAGAAGATGAATTGTATCATATTGAATGCGAATGGCAACGTCCTTGAAGCCAAAGTAGCGGAGATAATCTCTCTGGAGGTCATGCGGGCATACTCCGGCACGGGCATGCATGTTTCGGCCCCAAAAAGAGACTTCCAAGTATTTTCCAAAGGAGTATTTCCATGTGTTTTCGGACATCGAGGTGACCTGAGTGTCGTTGTTGCAGATTTTACAGGTGCTCCACATCAGCACCGTATCCTGCATCCCTCGAAGCTTTGAAGGATATGGCTGGACGAATACACTGATTTGAGCGTCGCCGTGAACGTATTGTCGATGATGCTCAGACATACGCTTTTCGCAACCATTGATATTGCAAACGGCATTCGCTGTGTGGCAGAGATCCTCAACATATTGTCCAATTGTACAGTCAGGCTCGAAGATTGTATCGTCCCCGTGTTCGTTGTAGAACTCCAGAGCGAAGATATCAGGGCCAGAGCAGGGTATTGATGTTGTGGTGCACACCAGACTGTAAAGCACAACGATATTTTGGTGAGCATAAGGATCAAACAGGTTGGAATTCCCAGAGACATAGGCCTCCCACTGTCGTTTTTGGGTTTGATAGTGGTAAAGGGCGCGATCATATTCTGCGTCATGCGCTGCACGCAGGACCTCTCTGACTTTTGGAGGAGCATCATGTGGAGAAGCATGGACCATCTCAGGTGTGATGAGAATGAACTTCTGAGCCTTTGCCTTTTCCTCCGAGCTCTCTTCTGTAGACTCAACTTGATCACGAAGACGTTTGAGATACGCCAAACGACGTTCCATCTCTCTGGTTCGCATGAGCAGGTAAGGAGGTTCGAATTTGACAGAAGGCGAGGCGGATATGATCTTTGTTTGGTGATCATGAACCATGTCATCATGATATGTTGGCATGGGAACATCATCGGGCACTTCGATAATCCCTGTAGACGTTGAAACTGTGTGTTCGGAATCCTCGGTGGGGGTTTCCTTCACAGGCGCGGACTCTGTGGCACCAGCAATGTTTGTATGAGCTGCCGGCTGGGATTTCTCCTTCTTTTCCTCGGTACAGACGAGTTGGTTTGCATCAATTTCAGAGGTTATTGGCAATTTGGCAAACTCGTCTCGCATCAGATACGTTTCAAGACGGAGGCTGTACACAACATAGACCATAAATTCAGTGATTTGCTTCACTTTGCCGAGAATTTCTTCGTCGCCACCTCGTAGGACGATAGTACACCCAAGCTCCTTGGGACAGCCAGAAATATACATGTAGGTCTTTTTCCGACCGCCGTTCACATAGGTTTTGACGTCGAAGCTACTGCAGTCGCTGTGCAGTGTGGTTGTCAGGAGCTTGTCCATAGAAGTCACGATTCTGGTCTGAGTACACCTCGATATGGCTTCAAGAACAGACGGCTTCACATTATATGCAGTGGCAATTCCCGCTTGTTCAAGGAGAGCAAGAGCCAGACCTGATACATTTGTTTCAACAAGCAGCAGATTCGGATGCAAGGCTGCGATCCGACTAACAAGGTTCTCGAGAAACTCGCGCTCTTGCCGGATGACGGGTTCAAGACTCATGAATTGTTGCTGTTGACGGGCATACTCAAGAGGAAAGGTGATGATCAAGATGTTCGGACGCGGGATACTTCTTGGCATGCTCTTGAGAGCCAGATTTTTGGTGAAAACAAGACCTGAGACGTAAGAGGTATCACCTGGTCTGCCACCGGGGATCTTTTTCAGTTTGATGTAATGCCGGATATCCATGTCATCTCCGCGCTGTACATCTGGGTCCACTTCATCGGCTGCTTTCAGGATGATTGGCATGAGGGACCTCTCCCAGCTCTCACTGTTGGGTAGAAATGCTTCTACCAGTAGTTGACGTAAAAGCTTTTGCACATGTTCACGACTGGCCTTGTTGAGCTCAATTGGCGGTGCCCCAGTTCCTCTCATTGACGAGCTTCTGGTCATCTTGAAGCCCGATTGTTTGATGCTAGAAATAAAAGGCACCCCTGGGAAAGTGGGTTCATGAGGAAACATACTCTCTTTCGACGTCCGTGGTGAGTTGCGCACGTGGATGCTGCTCGCAACACTCAAATTCCGACGACGTGAAGAGCGCGGCAAGTTGACAGCCCTCGAACTGCTGATGCTAGCCTCATCTGCATCTCGACCCGATTGTACCACGCTGAAGGTGTTTCGATCACCGAATGCAGACCGGCCCTTTTTCATTGCAGCAATAAATCCGCCGAGCCCCGCTGCTCTTTCCGTGTCCCCACCACTCTTGGAGAGGTTGCCTTCGGACACTGCAGAGAGAAGGCTAGGCTGCTCATCGCCGCTGGAAGCATCATCTGACAAATATTGGGCTAGGTCAGGGTCGATGATGTTGTCTTTGTGGAAGGCGGGGAGCCGCGACTCGGCAGTCGAATCCTCTGGGTGCCGCCGCTGGAAAGGGGCGCGGTCGTCGTGAGAGGGCTTAAAGCTCCGGATATACTGCTGACGCGAATGATGTCTCTTGTGACTGATGGAATGCGGTCGAACTCCCAATGAGGCGCGTAATGACCGTGACGAGGTAGGTCTCGTCAGTGGACGATCGGAGTTTATTTCCAGAACTGCCGATCGGCTATTGTGACCTTCGCCTGCACGTCGAGTGGCCGGAATAGCCATGGTCGGAGTCCTAAGGACGTGATCGATAGATTGAGACACAATGGAGCATGCATCGTCGTCCTCGCCAACAGGCCGAGCACTACTGCTGCCCCAGCCGAACTCGGAGACTCGTGGATTCACGATGATCGGGCTCTGTTCACTATCAGAATATTCAGATGAATCGTCATCGTGTGCGTTGATCATTGCTTCACAAGGCTTGCAAACACGGATGGTTCCAGGTTGACCAAACCTCGTGCCAGGGACCAAAAGGGTACACTTGGAATCAAAGATCTGACCACAAGTGCGACAGTGGTGTTTCCTGCGAAATGTAGTGAATGGCTCTCCACAGTGAAAACAGTCCTTGGCAGTTTCGTCGCGCATCCAGAAATCTCTACTCAGCAATCTACTTCTTAGCTGAGATAGAACACCATCGCCTGAAGGCTGTATGCGGTTGCTAGTGGAGTCTTGGGTGGTAATTCGTGGAACAGCCGTATTTAATGGCGGCAAAGAAGACACGGTGGTGGCTGTTTCAGCTGTAGATGCTCGCGACATTACATAGCCTGGCAATCGGTTCTTGGCAGCCGGTGGATGCGTTTTCCCAGGGAGAGCTGTTGGAGATATAGGGATCGAAGTCTTCGCTGATCCGCCAACGGTAACTTCATCCAGAGGAGCCGGTACTGTGCTATCAGACGCCAAGTCAACAGCATAGGAGCCTCCAGCTTGAGTTGTCGTCTTCGAAAGATTCTTGGAAAGCAAGGTCGGTGCCGTGGACTCATCGCGTCCACCAACAGACAGCCTCGACCTTGGCCCACTCTCCGGGGCCTGTGTTTTTGAGTCCCGGGTAAGCTCAGAAAGCTTTGCGCTTCGTGTTGCAATAGGATGGGACATGTCGTCTGAGGCCCTTGATTGGTCCGCATTTGAAGACTTCCGCGAGTGATTATCCAGTAGATGATTAGTCGAAACGATAGACCCACTAGCCTCCAATGAGCTAGACTCTTCTTGCAGGCTTCCATGTGTTTTTGGGGACAGAACTGGTGATTGAGAGTAACCCGCGTTTAGCACAGAAGAAATTTGACTAGTGCCCATATCCGTAGGGGTATCCCTACTGCCAATACTGGAGGACTCTGTACTTTGAAATCCCTGAGGAGGTACGTTGACTGAATCGCTTCGCGAATGGCGGGGTTGCCCTGTGGCGCCCACGTTCAGTTGGGTGATTGCTGGGTCTGCCGCAACAGAGTTCCCAGACGACTTTGTGAGTGGGGCGAGGTTGGCTTTTCCTGCTGGAGCAGGAGAGACGGGGGCTTTGGAAGTGACGCTAGGGCTTTTCGAAGAGAGTTTGGAGCTCTTGCTGCCAGCTGTCTGCTGTGTGGGTTCCTGACTAGGATGAAAATTTGGTACGACTGGAGAATGCAGCCTCGAGCCTTGCGAGGAGCTTGGAAATGACGGTATGTGGTCGGCCGAGCTGATGGTAAGGTCTGAGAAAGACTTGGTCATGGATCGCTCGGAGGCAGGACTCTTGACCGCAAAACTATCCGCACCGCTCTTGTCTGCGATTTTCGATCCACCACTGACGATATCCCTCATTCCTCCAACCGATGTCCTGAAACGACTGTACAGGCCACTGAGACCCCCCTGCAGCTCCTCCGATAGACCTTTATCGTCCGACGCCGACGCCGGTGCAGGCGGGCTAGTGAACTCGTTAAAAAGCGTCAGTGAATCGGACTGGTAAGCTGCATTGTGAATCTGGTCGAGAGCCGTGTTCATGTTCTCTCGATCGGTTTGTGTTGTGGATAGGGAGCCCCTTGACCCTCGCCGTCCAAGTGGAAGGAATCCGGACGACGTGGAGGGGCTTGGAGTCTCTTGCGACTTTTGCTCCATCGGTGAGTTTGACTCTGTAGTTGATGCGGTCAGGCCGAAAGCTCATGGATGATGCCCGAATGCGAATCGGGGGTCTGCTGGTCGCGGAGCATGCGGGGCTAGAACATGGAAAGATGGCGGATAATGAGCAAGACGTCCAGCCTGGCAGGATGTCCAGGAGGTTGTCAAGAAGAGGTACTGAGCAGAAAGCTAGACCGCAGCTCACTGCGAACTGCTCTGAGCATGGACGCCCAATGACGTGGTGGGATGCTGAGTCATCAGATCGCGTCCCCACACTGGAAACGCGTCTTATCGGTTATCGAAGGCCGTTCGCTCCTGACCATCTCTTGAGTATGCAAAAATTCCGGACGACAACGCCCTGGACAGGGTCTCCCTGCCAGACATGATTCTTGTTGACCCTACGTCTTGTAATACACTGAAAACAGGTTAACAATGAGTCTTCCTGCTCCATGGATTGCCACGCTCGTGGAGCAATGCCTAGGCTCCTATTGCGACCAAAGCCAGTCTGCGCCCGATGGCATGGAAGTGGAGGACAACGGAACGACAGTGTGCTTCAGGAGGCGTGATCTCACGTCCGTGGCTGCTGTTTTTGAAGTATGCTTTCCATTTCTTGAACGGCGAGATGTAGCAAGGCTGACAGTTCGGTCGATCTGAATCAGTGGGGTCTAGGATCCTCGCATGATGGCGCACGGTTGATCGATGCCGAAAACCAGATACTCGCGAGGTTCCCTCACGACTTAACGAATGCGAGCCTTTTGACACCGAATACACCCTCGAGAGGAACGAATCCAAAGAAGCATCGGTTACAGCTACTGGACTTCGCGCTGGTCTTCACATACTCGACGTCTCCTCCCGATATTTGGTTGAACGTCTACCGTTTTCGCATCAACTGGGAGGAAGGAATGATCAAAGGGTTGACGAACAAAAAGACACTGAGAAGGAATCCGGCTGTCAAAGTACTACTAGACAGAGCTCTTCAGAAAGCAAAAAGCAAGAGACTCTCTTCCAAGCCAATGGAGGCAAGCACCCTACCCTCAAAATCACCGAAACCTCTTGATCAGCAACTTCCCCAGTCCCAAGGTCATCCTCATCATGACACGCAATCACAGCAGATGTTCTCACAAATACTCTCCCGCGATCATGATGTGATGCAACATAGTTCGAATACGAACCGCCGACTACTTCATGGAACCAATGAGCTTCTTCAGCATCTTAATCCATCATCTCGGTCAAGCTCAAGGAACTCAGTAGGACCGTCATTGCAGCTTCCGGGGCAGACGATACGTTCTTCGATGACTAGGGGTCCTCTTTATGTCCCTGATGACGGAGAACCCACTGCGAATGGCATCCGGCGGTCAGCGTCTCCAGTCGATGATCGCTCTGATCGAGAGGACTCGGTCTCGTCTCAGCCACAAAATAACACAGTGAACACCTACGAAAGCTTAGAGGTGCCCACTTCTCTATCTAGAAAAAGTTCTCATTCACAAAATGTTCGACAACGAACAACATCTCCCTTGCTGAACCCGGACGAGCGTGCTGACACTCGGCTCTCTTCTAACGTTGTCAGTCACTCGCCTTCGCGAAAACGGCACCGTGATAATGTGGAACTCCAATCAAACCTCGCGTGTGGTGATGGTGACTCTCTTCCATCAACTCAAGGAGTCAACCCCACTGCTTTATCGAGGAAAAGGCAGCGCATCAATGAGACTGTCCAGGAGAAGTCGCCAATGGTTTCACCTGATCAGCCGAAGTCTGAACTGTCGCCCCTTGATAGGAACCAAAGTGCTGAGCGAAATCTTAAAACTGCAATCGATCCCCCGCGAGGTTTAAGGAACCCGTGGCAAGGACTCGCCCAGATCCGTGTGTGTGATATCAATATCCCTAAAGACCAGCTCGAACTTCTGGACAGAGACCTTTGCTGGATCCCACCAGCTCCAGGCAAACCTCAACCTTGTGGGCATGTGCCGGCTTGGCTTCTCCAGAAATGGAATCATATTGCTCGGCTTAGACATGAACGACAGCTTGGAGACACCGGGAAACCCCCGATTGAAGAAGATCCCACAACTCCAATTTCGAGTCGACAGACGAGTCCATCTTCTGAAGACGAGTCAGTTGAAGAGCTTTGTTCGAATTGGAGTACTTCCCCTGTGAGAGGTCCCCCAGACTTGCCACCAGAAAGCAGCCCAATTAGGCAGAAGATGCCATTACGGAGGGTTGCAACTCCCAAGGCAAACAGTGAGAAAGAGGCGCTTAGTGATTCGTCCCGAATGACAATCTCGAAAAAGAACTCACAAACACTGGTTCAAATTCCTGGACAGCCTCAGAGGACGCGGGAAACATCGACGCCCGATATTCCTCTGCCAAGTGAACTTGAAAAATCGAAATCAGGTAATCCAATGATCTCTGTTGAAGACACCGTGAAAAATCCAGAACCTTTCAGCGATGGGATGGTACACCGCTCCCCGGCTTTTTCTAGGGTCAAATCCCTTGATTCAACACCGTTGGGCTCTGACGCAGGCGAACCTACAACCCCAGACTCCCCAGGATCTGCTGCCGAGAACTCCGAGGATGAGAATCAGTCTGACGATGCCAGTGATGAAGAGTCGGTGATGGAAAACTCGGTACCTTATGCACTTGGTGAAAGCTTGCCGCAGACCCAACTGGAGCAGGAACTCATAGCCTCTACTCAAACTCTCTCGCAGGGCAATAGAGATCATGTTCAAGTCTCTGTAACTCCTTCCGTGGTGAACAATCGACCCCTGGGAAATATAGGTAATAGTTTGAAGAAATCGGACTCTTCGCAGCCGCAATTCTCCTCTCAAAGCAACAAATATTCTTCGCAATCTCGAGTCCCAAACACATATCCTTATCTAGGAAGCTCCGAGAAGAGTCAGTCATGTGATGACCCAACGACTTCATCCTCGCTTTGTTCGGGACTTGATGCGTCTCGAGCCCAAACTGCTGTATCCCAGACTCAGACCAGTGGCATAAACTCCCAGTCACAAGACACATATGACTCCTCATCACACGAAGTGGTGTTTGAGTCTTCGGAGCCAAGCCAACACCGCCTCGATATTCCTTCTCTGGATTCAAACCCTCCTGTCGAGCCGTTGAATCACCCATTCGCGAGTTCTGCCGGCTCGACTTCCTCACAACCTCCCGATCAAACCCATGAGTCCATGAGCCAGCTCTCTTTCAATGAACAAACAAGTTCACCACAATTGTTCTCAATGAGGCAGTTCGTTTCCTCAGCCGCCGACCCATATGAATCTCCGATCAAAAGCCCACTGGCAATCACAGAAGAGACACAGCAGGATTGTCAAGCTATTCCCGCCACACAGAGTGCTGAACTAGTTGCTCGGCGGTCGGGCTTCATCGGTGACTCTCAAAAGTCAGTTGAAGCGCAGGAAGTATACAAAAAGTTCTGCAATGACTACCCTGGCTATGAAGGGGATTATGGCCATTTCACTGAGCTTTGCTGGAAATTACAGGCTGTTCGAACCGAAGGCTTGCTACGCCGGTCCAACCTGTGGGATGATTTCATTATCATGCACATTCAGCGGTACCCCTCCTATCTGAACAGCTGCACAACCCAGATGTCTACTGAGCCACAGAGCTATGAGGATTATTTCACGTCGACTGTCTCTAAATCAGAGAACAGGAAACGCAGTCTGTCGGGTTACACTATTGAAGTTGTTGCATCCCAGTTCGCCCCACCTGCGGCGACACCTACACAGGCTGGCAGCCAGCCAGATCCTCCCCTCTCTCAGACTTATCGAGGAGAAGACATGAACACCTCACTCGCAGCAAGCTTTGTGGACAAGTTTTCCCAATTTCACACCTACTCTTTCGAAGAACCTCTCAGAAACGGTCTCCCTGTGTTCCAATCCGGTCTCCCTGCGCTAGACAGTCATGCCCCATCTTCCATGGACACAGGCTCGTCATCAGTACTCATCAAGCTCGAAGGCTCAGAGTTTGATCCGAATGAGGTACTTTGTACTCAAATCGCCCCCCTGGGTTCATTCAACGACATCTCTGCTGCCTGCAACCCCGGTCCAGGTACTGCAGAGGGTCAACCCACGGACACTCATAGTATCACAAACAGCCAGAACATCAACGTCCAAGACGAACGGGATGATGTTAGTATGGCCGAGGTTGAAGAAACGGATCATGAGGAGCTCGACGCCGATGACACCCGTCATGAGACTGCCAGTGTTGAGCTCGGTGATGAGACCTTTATCTCAGCTGTCCCTCAACCACAAACAGATGAAGCCGGTGAAATGCAGCCCGAATGCGAAGACGAGGATGAAGGAGAGAACTGGTTCGCCTCGCTGCGACATATTCGATCCAGAGATAAACCCGTCTGGTCCGACCACCCCAGAACCCCATTCAAAACTTGGGCCGAGGCTGATCAGAATGTGCTGAGCGAGCGACGGCGTCGCGGGGGAGCTAAGATCCTTCTAGACGAGAACGGTGTAATTCGCCGGCCAACTCATCGTTGATTTAGTTTGCTTGGCATTTTGGTCCTCGATTGGACCTGTCCATCGAGGAATGAGCTCCCAATATTAGTTCTCCACGCGACGCTGGCGACGCTATCAGAATCAGGAACAAATTTCGGGGTTTTGACCAAGCGGTGAATCAAGTCCAAGTTTCCATTTTTTATTGTACATTAACAATGTTATCCTCTACGTCATAAGAGCCATGCCCTGTCCGTAGCGTCGCAATCCATGACGCTAGCAGTATGTCTATTGTAAATAGCTGCGCCATTATTAACGGAACGCAAGCCATCATCAAGGTGGATGTGAAATGAGTGAGATCCACAATGGAGCCAGGGGGTCTAACGGGTTCAGTGGACAAATTATTGAAATCAATGACTAGCCATTGAACTCTATAATAGATTTTCATCGATCCACGATGGGGTCCCGGAAGAATATTCAGCAACGTAGACTTCAGCCAGGGCGTTGGGATTTACGCTATTATGCTTTCTACGTTGGAAAGTTGATATCTGATTGGATCATATAGTGGAAGGGAATTTTTCGTAAGGCACAATATAAACATATTCAGGGTCCATCAGCAATGTCGCTGGTAAGCATTCGAGTCATGAGGGAGAAAAGGAAAGTCGTCGTTAGAATATCATGCAAAAGACCAAGCCCATATAACCAGAGAAAGTGACGAGACAAAACGCCGCGGTATCCCAGTCTAAAAACGCTTCACGAGTGATTGTATACAAAAAGACAATGGAGGATTTGAAGCATGTCGCTTTGCGCTTAGCTTAGGAGTGGCGGAAGGGCTCGTAGGCGTTCGATCGCTGGTTGGTGTTGGTCATGGGGTACTCGCCGCCGTGAGCGGCGGGGGCTGGGTACGAGGTGTGCTGGTGGTGGCCATAGGGGACCTGGCCGGCACCGACAGGTTCGTAGGTGTAGGGTGCCTTTTCGGCGGTGACCCCGCGAATGGCATTGTTGTTGCGATTGCCGTATGGCGAGCGACCGGAGCAGCAGCAGACGCTGAAGGTCCAGAAGATCAGAGCGGCGAGGGAGAAGACAACGGCCAACCAAGTAGCAGCGAAGATGTTCTTGCCCATTGATAGGCTAATTCCGTAGGCCTTGAGAGTTGTGCCCAGGGAAGACTTGAAAATGGAGAAGAGGACGGTCGAGGTGACCGAGGCAGCGGTTGTGAAGAGGAAGGCAAGCAGGGCAAAGAGAGTGGTGACACAGCTGCCCCAGCGGCTGCAAATGGCAAAGAAACCAAGCACAATTTCAACGATGGTGACGATGAAGGCGACCAGGTAGGCGATGAACATCCATTTCGAGACCGTCTTGTAGGTCTTCAGGACCTTGGTGTAGTCGCTGGGCAGTTCGTCCGTGATATCCGAGGAGTTCAGGCCCCAGACGGAGAAGGGGTCGAAGTAGAACTCGCTCTTAGGCTTGGAGCATTCCGTCACGTTCGCCTTGTTGTTGCTAATATCACCATCGCAGTAGCCCCAGAGACCGATCTGGTAGAAATCCGCCAGTGTGCTGTCTTCCTGGAGTTTGCTGAGGACATCGGAGACATTCTTGGCGCTGACGCTCGTGATTCCATACTCTTCAAGGAGATTCTCGATTTCGGTTGTTGTTTTAGATCCTTCGCTGCTGATATTTTGGAGATTGATCTATAAGAGTCTTATCGTTAGTCGCATGCTCGCAAGGCACTAGTGAGAGATAACCGAAGAAACTCACCCGCATAAAGTAAAGGTCGTTTAAAGTGTTAGAGCTGGACTTGGTGCAGCCCAGGCCAACGAAAATAATACAGATCAGCGAGGCGATCGTAAGCACATAAGGCGTGAAGATACACGCGACACGGCCCGCTTTTCCCATTGTGGCTTGATTTTGGATGGGTGTCAGTTAGAGAGAGAGAGAGAGATAGGCGTAAAGGGGTGACGGAAAGAGGGTTAGATGGAGAAGAGAGAATTTGAAACTGGGGGAGGACGGTGGATTTATCCTTTTTCATGATCGGCACTTGAGACGGTGAATACCGGACAACTGGGCAGTGTACAGCCTCGTCCAACGCCCACACTGGCGACGACGACTCCAGCCTCCAGCCTCCCTGGTGCGTTAGGTAAGAGGCGCAGGGAAGGAACACGACCCCCTTCTGGACTTATTGCGCCAATCAGAAATAAGCATAATCAGACCCACTTTTAGGCCACGCCACGTTTGTTTCTATTCGTGTAGACGCTAAACCCAAAAGGGTAATTCAGGTTGCCCTTCCAACATCATCGTCATCAGGAGGTCAAAGTGTAATCTATCTCGAATTTCCCCATCCGAGCAGTTGTGACGGACGATTGAATTTGGTAGGAAGCATTCCAGTGTACAATATCCGTATAATTGATTAACGTCACATAATCTTGACGACAACGCAACGGTAAGGAATCAAATCCATTCCAGGCTTATCCCCTGGAAAACCCCCTGGCCGACCAAACTTCATCAGAATCTTTACCCGAAAATTCATGTGTCCCACGGTCGAGCGCAGGATCGCCAGACCACCCTCCCAAATGAAGCAGCCCACCCTGTACAAGCCTCGTCATCATCCAGCCCTGTGCACCGTCTGAATTTTTCTGATGTCTGCTACTTTATGAAGAATTTCGTACTAGCGACCTAGAATCCTACGGTAGTTAGCCCCGGCCGGCCAGCAACCCTCAGCCCTGCGGCCCATATGCCCGTATCTACACCAGATATGTCCTCCTTGCCAGGCTTCCTCATTTTGGGCTTGGCATAGGTGCAGATTTTTGCACATAACGGACGCAGCAGTCTCCACTCTATATAGCCTTTACAGACTTAATCTGCTACTCAATTCCACTAAGATACAATGTCTCCATCTTCGTGATCCGAAGATTACCCACTCCCCCCTGTCCCTGTTCTATATTTATTTTTTGAGATAAAGTTTTCTGGGGCTTAGATCACAGCAGCTCTCTGCTGAAGATAATGTTCCAGTGTGGACAATCCAGATCATAGAAATGCCGGTGCCTGGTGTCTAGGGATATGGGCAATCAACTGGTGCGTACGCACTAGCCACAGGCGATGACGGAAAATCCTGTCGGGCCGCGTTGTTGCTAAGACCTGATGTGTCGGTCGCTCCACTGTCCACATACTTTGCTCATCTTGTTGTCTCCAAATGAAAGAGTTATTATCCCTTCCTCATGGCGGCAGACAATGGCAAAATATTATAATTAGATATCAATGATCACTTACAATCGTTATCCTTAAACCTTTCGATTGATATAAAACACATCCTTTATTCTGTTCAATCACTCTTTGAACTCGCTACCAATCCGAAAGCGGGTAGCCCAAAATATATATTCTGGCCTGTCAATTGTACACTGATATCCACGTACATCATATTCAAGCTCACGGGAAATACGACTTTAGAGTCGCCAGCATGCCAGTATAGGCAACACCACTTGGCGGCTCCATGCTGTAAATGTAAGTTCCCCACCAAGGACCAGCTGCCCACCACATGGCGCCCTTCCATACACTAGAGTTCTCTGCGAGATAGTCCAGCATACCAGTGATAGCAGTCTTGCACTGGTCGTTTACACCACCTGCGAACTCGCCCAGAACACCGACCTTGCCATTGTCAATGAGCCACTGCGTTGCGTCGGTGACTCGCTCCTGGCCGATCGTTATTGAAACGCATGTTTCGCTGGTGCCAGATCCGTCAGAGTCAAGGTACTGGTGCATCTCGTAGACAATCTTGTCTTGCGGGTCTGTCAAATCCTTGAGGTTATCGTTCACCGTAGTCCACGTCCAGGCGCCCGTGTATGAGTTGCCCTCGACGAAGATGTACTGCGATGTCGCGCCGGCAGCACGAATACCATTGATGGCTGCTTGGTTGAGGTTGAGCACCAAGGTTTGGTCCATGTCATGGTACTCGTTGTCTAGATCAAAGGAATTAGAAAACAATCTTGCCTGATTGGCTGGTAGATGAACTCACTCGTGTCAAAGATCACGAGACTGTTGGTTTTGAACTGCCCAGCAACGTTCGTCCAGAAAGTCTGGAAGTCCGAGGTGCTCGTAATAATCGCACCATTACTGCTAAAGTGGTTAGTATGTTTGAAGTGACAGAGGGACTGGGAAGAAGGCCGAACAATCTTCCATAGTTGTGGGGGTCAATGACAGCATGAGCGCCGGCTTCAGTGATGTAGTTCACCACCTATTTTTATTAGCCATCAATATCAACGCTCGCGTGGTATATGGTTCTCACCGTCGTCAAGTTCTTCAAATAGTCACTGTCAAAAGATCCAGTCATGCCACTGGGCGTCAGCCGCTCCATCAAGAACTGTACTCGGAAGATGTTCATGCCATCATCGATCAGCGTTTGAATGGTACTAGTGTCGGGGAAAATGTAGTCGGTCCCCTTCAAGATGGTTGAGCACTATTAGCATTCAACGCAAGCCTTTGTTTGTATGATTGAGTCTGCTCACCCAGACACCGGGCAGGTTGCCCTCACCAAACTCGGCCCCGGACTCGCTTGTTCCAAACCCTGTATTTATGATTGTTAGTGGTTCCGAAACTGGATTCCAAGACAAGATTAAACATACATTCAAAAGAAGAGGCTCTCTTTGCATTTTTGAGAGGAGCTGCCACCGCGGAGCCTGCCGCAGCAGCCAGCAAGATAACAGTATTCAGCTTCATGTTGGATATGTCGGTGGAAAGATAGCAGTGAAGGCAATGAAAATTGAACTGGGCTATGAAGGAGTAGTCTGAATTCAACTTACCCGGGAATCATGGTTTTATATCATAGATGAGACTCATCTACCCGAAGGCTACCCAAACCAACCGACCGATTCTATCAAATTACCGGGTTAGAGAAAGAAACAGACACGGGGTACGGAACATTCAGACGGGACCTACCCCGTTGATGCTCTGACCAGGCCTGTATCAGTGCAGGAAACAGAAAAGTTAAGGGTCTATCATTGCCAGGACGTTTTGCGGAGTTTCCCATGGCCAGATTCCCCACCAAAGGGAAGAGCCGGTATAGCTCCACTCTTCTACTACATATGGCGAAGATTGGCCACGTATGGCCGATTCCGGTGTAAAACAGAATTCATCAAGTCACGCAGACCTACATGACGATCATGGCCCTACAAAATCCATAGGGACGAATTGATCTAAAGTCAATGAGAGCAAAGTCGGCACGCTCTCGCTACATACCACCTCATGGAATGGTTTGGCTATTCTGCAGGACTCTTCCCCACACTCGTCAGGCACCGGTGGCTTGAGCTCGGCTGGTTTAGTTCCACGAAGGCGTGTTTAGAGGGCCCCGTGGCGCTTCGGGAATCGATCGGCACGCGGACTCGGAGACAAGTGGTATATCACTACCCTATGTAGAAGCCAGGCCGATTTTCTGTTCATTGTGAGTCTGCATCACTCAAATCGCAGTAGAGACGAGCCCATGGCAGCAGCCCTCGGTGGAACTTGATGAATATTAAGTTTGGGATTTATCAAATCCACAGAAGGACGGGGATTCCTGATGTTGAAGCTGAAACAGGGGCCATATCCACCTGAGGGCATCTACCCTGAGACATAACAGGAATCAAACATTTTACAGCGTCTGGTATCTCTACCAGAGATATTATTGCAGTCATCCGATCTTTCATTGCTAACGCCCACAGGTCACTACATGACTTCCATGACATCAGTCTACCAAGCCCTAAAGCGATGCAGGGACTGCTTCATATCAGCCGCCTGCAATCTGTGGTATTTCTGTCCGGGGTGATAGTTGTTCCACCAGACACAGCTTTCCCCATCGTCATTGATACAAGTGGAGTTTGGATATCCGTAAGCCTGCGGGTTATCCAAGATCTTGGTCATGAAACTCCAGGAGTCGTAGAGGACAGTCTCAACCTAGACCCAATTAGATTTCTGCCAGACACCGCACATGAGAAATACTCACATCTTTATGAGCAGCAATGAAGTCCGCGCGCATTGTGGCAAGCCCGTCATTATACACAGTAGTCCATGCGGCGTGACTGTCTGAAACACTTTCCCCTTGGTCGAGGATGTATGGACTCCGACTTACGGAAGGAACGTTCACAAATAGGAATTTGCGCCCGCCATCCGCATAAATTTCCTCGACGAGGGACCTGTACTGGGCCATAAGTGTTGGGACGAGAACGCTGGAATTATAGCCTCCGAAGCCCCAACCGACGCTAGAATCGATCAATAAGTGTGGCCCATGTCTAATGGTTTCACGAAGTCTTACTCATTGACTCCAATCCAGAAGCCAAATACTGAATCAGAGGAAGCCCAAGGAGCAGTAGCGGGCTTCTTGCTATAGTTTCCTTGGAATGTGGCAACTTGACTGGTCATGTCTGGGTATCCGGAGTTTAGGATAGTATTGTCGATAGTTGCACCGCCTATAGCCAAGTTGTAGCTTAGAACGAGAGAGGCGTTATCTACAGTGGTCAAGTATCCAATCCAATTAATACCCCCTCCAGTCGCACCAGTACCTTATTGATCAACGTCAGAACGATAGATCGAGCGTTGCAGAAGAAATTGCATCAACGTACCAAGCGTAGGGTTTCCCATTGGATCCGAAGCCGATGGCTGTGTGCCTTCGACATTGAAACTCGTCATCGAATAGGAGTCACCACTTTAGGATTTTGGTTAGTATTATTTCTCCTTGATCGAACTTCAGTGCACCATTTCATATTTGGTTCCCCTACAAGGTGAAGAAATAAGTTGGTGATGACCGCCGGTGCGTGGGCGCCGCAGCTGTTACCGCGATGCCCATAAGAATAGTGAAGACGGAATGCTTCATTGTAGGGTCAAAGACTGGTTCAAACCCAAACCCAGCCAATGTAGAAAAAGCTAGCCTTTTAAAGTATCATAGGGTAGCCACTTACTCCTGAACATGACAGGTATAGACTCATATTGACCTAAAGGTGACGGACCCCTTTCATCGGGAGGCGTCGCCGCTTTATTACGGGCTAAGAGGGGCTTTCTGAAGAACAATTGCGGGGAATCCTCGCCTTGAAGTAATTGTAATGATACCAAGCAACATTCAGCTCACTTCATTGAGTAACATTCAGGATGTGCGCGCGAAATGATTACAGTGTTTAGTGATGCTTTAGGACCATTTAACACGATACCTACATCTCGATGACCGTTGCTATGTATGATTACTACAGAACCTTTACTGAAGCTCCACTTCAACCTGCTCACAAACACGATTCTTTGATGGGTATATCCCGTCTTAATTTAGATGTTGGAACTCAGAGGTATAGTGAGACGGTGGCTCTCATTTGCATTGAAATCTCCGACCTCGGCGCAGTCGTTTGACCTCGAGCATTCCTGATTATCAGATTGCTGAAGGCTGTTTCCATTTCCTTAACACCTCATGGTATCACCTGTTCTTCCAGCGCTTTTGCCAAGTGGATTTTTATTGTAGTGTCCTGACATATGTTCTCACATTTTGGCTCTGCCAAGCATTAAGTGCAAGAACGATATAGTTCTTCTAACGGCCCAGGAGCCCGTATATTATTATAGACGCTTAGCTTTGAGTTCTTATGTATTACTTGATGATTGTGAATACGTGTTCAACTTTACAGAGGTTGCTCCTCATGATCCCAATCCTAAAAGCGGCAGGGGGTAAAGACTCAAAAGGTAACGGGGCTTGCAAGTTTGTCTACCACTAGGCAGAAAGGTCCTAGTTATGCAGTATTCCATCCTTCCGCCGCCAATTAGGACTCTGCAATGGCTGCTTCGCGAGACTTGAGTGGCTCATTATAATTTTGCACTATGTATGAATCAATGTTCAATGGAAGGAAGCAAATACTCCGCAAGTGCGGGGTTTCAGATTTCAGGTTTACCGGGGTAACCTCCGCCATTTTTCGGGTAGTCCCAATGACATAATTTCATGAGTATAGCAAGTCTTCATCAGCTCGACTCGATATGAAAGCTTTACCTATTCAAGCACGGAGCTTAGTAATTGATTGAGTAGGGGCTAACTACCCTTGGTGTCCTAGAGCTTGGAGGGCAGGGTTGCCATGAATCTACAAACGAGGCAGCCATCATAACACTGATGATGTTCTTGCTTTGTGTTTTGTCACGCGAAAGCTGAAATAGGCAAGCGAATGGTATTTACAGAAATCATGATGTGTCATCACGCAGTCGGAGGCCTCACCACAGCCTGGTCTCCAAAATTTCCATCCCAGCACCGCCGACGAGGAGCTTTCCTTCTGTTTCCTCTTCCAAAATGTAGTCAGAATTTCCCTTTGAAACGGAATCCGGCAGGAAACTTAGAGAGGCAATATCAGCCACAGCACTATATCTGTCCAACAGAAATTCCACATTAATCCCTTCTGTGCCCTGTTTCGTGGGATCCACGACAATGGACCAGAACTTGAGGCGATGGTCATTACCAGAAGTGACCAAAGTCATCTTCGAGACTTGTGAGCCGGAGCCAGCAGCTGTGATGCCTTCTCGGCGAAGAACTTTCAGGGCTGTCACAGATGCTGCATGAGCGTCTGGGACGGATATGGTAGAGACTTGCGCGTTGACACCACTCTCATTGATATCAAAATCCGTAGGGTGAGTTCTCAAGAGTGATGCAGTTACTGAGCTGTCATCACTTGTGGTCACAATGAGGGCGTCGGTATCAGAAAGAGGTACCACCTCCATTGCTTTAATACTGTTTGAGTGGACTTGGTACCTGTTCTCACATGTAATATCCTCGGCTATGACAGAGGAAATTTCAAATGACTGTTTCGCTTTGAGGCTTGATGAAGAGATGTCATAGAATGATTCGAGTATGTCGGTCAAATCCCAAATGGTGAAGTAGCCATCGGTTGCTGCTGTAATCAGACTCACCGATGAGTCCTTCATCCAAATCTTTGTTTGGGTTAAGCAGTTCGTCATATATCTACCCTGAGCCAACAGAGTAAATCGAAAATTCTCAGAGGGTGAAAAGTGGAATATCTATTTCTGATTAGTGTACTGAATTAGGGCGAAGGGAATGGCTGATACCTTGATCGCGGAGTTGGACAGAGCCAAACAGAGAAGGAACCCCTTTGCAGCATTGGATTCTTCCACTTCCACCAAGTCGAAACTTGTGATCCGCATTTCGGAGTCTGGGTCACTCTTTGGACATTCTGCAACCAATTTGACGCATATGTCAGATGAAGGAAGCCAGCGAATTCCCCACACAAAAAGCTCCTCCTGTCCAGCACAGGTGAAGAGATATTGACCGTCCTTTGACCACATTACTTGTTGGATCCCAGATCTGTGCTTGTCCAAGATTCGCAGACACTTGAATGAACCCCACGGGCCTTCACTTGCTTGACCCGAAACCGCAAAGATGCGTACGATCGTGTCCTCTGCTCCAGTAGCAAGTAATGCTCCTCCATTGACAGCACGCAGAGAGTCCATAGTTCTGAGTTCTCGCCCGTGTCCACCGGCCCGAATGGAACGGTTGATGTCAGTTTGAATTCGCATGACTTGCAGATTGGGCTTGTCTAGCCAGGCCAGCAGAGCCTCGGTTGTTTTGGTGCTAGGTCTGTATGACCAGATCCTTCGAGCGCCGCCCGAAGCGATGGAAATGACGTCTTGCTGCCTCGTCTCATTTCGTAAAACAAAATTTTGCGATCGAAATCCGTACACCATAAGATCACCGGTTGTGTCTTCCAGGTAAACACCCCAAAGGTCCTGGCCGAGGCCAGAAGAGGTCCGATCGAGTGTTTCAAGAGAGACTGTGTCACTTTCACACTTGCCCACTGTTAATTGGTGGTAGCAGTAATTGCCATCACGCCCGCATGTTATTATGTGTTCCTGCCCACCCGTGGCCGGCTCTACAGCTCGGATACAAGTAGTGCCCTCATGGCCATGGATTCGCCTCTCGTCCACCAAGGGCTTGGAAGAAAGACCAAGGCCTGTAAGCTGGTACACTGCCACACCTCCAAGCTCAGAACCAAGCAGCAAGTATTTGCCGTTGAGCATCAAACAAGCGGCGCTTAGTATATATGGTGCTTTCGGTAGGCTGAAGGGTATCACCTCAGCTTGCAAGCAACCGCTGTTCCAACCTGAAACGGTCACCAAACTGGCTTCCTCGCCAGCATAATAGTTCACAATGACCGAAAAGTGATCGGGATGTGTCTTCTCGTGAGCAACCAGAATGCGTCGAGGGCGCTGGCCCAGATTCACTAATTCTGTGATCGATCTGGTGCTATGATTGTATAACCTGACTAACCCCTGCGAGTTGGCAATCAAAGCCAATTCTTGCTGAGGAATGCCGGTAATCAGAGAATATGACCGGAGATCTTCTGCAGTACAGAGAGTCTCCCATATAACGTTCGCGTTATCCATCGGGCTGATATATCCAAGGCGGAGCTCACTGCGCAAAGAGCAAACAATGAGATAGTCTGAAGTGACAAAATCAAATGTCTTGGGCGCGTCAGGGTCAGAAGATCTTTTTTGGGTTGAAAGATTTTGTTGGCCAGGGGTGTTGTACTTCGACGGGGCAAACACATGCTTCCTGACTTTGAAACTTTTCAGAGCCCCATCAGCACCGCCAGTATAGACATTCGTCTCTTCACCCTGCTCACAAAGATCAAGAGCCCAGATGTGCCTTCCCAAATGGGGTTGAGATGAAGACATCTCCCGAAGCCGATACTGTGTGGCACCAGAAGACAGTGTTTCCCAGCCAAGTTCCCACACTACACAGGTCCGATCTTCACCTCGGGACACTAAACCCAGGGTGTTCGGATTACTCTCTTCCACTGGGCATAGGTTCACGCTCCAGATACGAGCGGCATGACCAAAAGCTCTCGCAACACATGACTCGGATCCAAGGCCGCTGCCATATCCAGTACTTCTGAGCTCAAAGCCATCTGTAGAGTAGGCAGATGGGTCTCGAGAAGACTTGAACTCGCAGTCGGTAATATCCCAGATTCGGACAGTCCGATCATCGCTGCAGCTTGCTAGCAACCTCCCAGAGCGACCGCCGTTGAGGGAAGAAATATTCGGAGAAATTCGCACTCCAAAGACTGACCCATAGTGGCCAGTGAAGTAATGGTGAATGGAACCCACTGCCTTGAGTTGAGTTGGGTCTCTCTCGGTTATAAAACAAGACCAAACAACAATCTCACCAAAAGCAGTTCCCGAGGCAATCAGGATATGCGAAGGGGAAAGAGCCACGAGGTCAGCAGCGTATAAGATGCACTTCACGCTCGTTGCAAGCTGGTAAATACAGATCGCCTTGCCATAGGAGGCACAATCGTCATCTTCAAATCTAGCCATTAAAAGAGCATTGTTTGCAGTGATGAGGAACGCTGTATTGGACTGTCCTGCAACAGCAGCGCATCCGCTCATAAGCCAATCCGGAGTAAGAAACTCGGCGCTAGACAGGGCCAATGTGACTCTATAATTTCGGTCAAGTGAGAGTTTAATGACTCTTAATGATTTTCCACCCCAGACCATGATTGACTCGCAGTACACGCCATCATGGCTTTCCTGTGGGCTCGGGAAACTGATGAAGCCGTGAACATGATTGCGCTTGAATACCTGGACTTGGGCAGAGAGGTCGCCGGACTGCTCATCGATCACTTGGAAAAATGGCCCCTGTCCTTCAAAAATGAAAGTACGTCCGTGGCACTGGAACACCTTCAAGGCTGCTATTGGGAGACATGCATCCACATGCTGCCATTTTTGAGTCAGCAAGATATCCGATGCATCGAAGTTTTCCATATATACGAGTACTAACCTTCAGAGAGACGGGCATCTCCCCAGACACCACTGCGTGATTGAATATGGCTGAATCACACACTCTCTCTCACTGACCAAATGTCAATTGATCTCATTTCAAACAGGCGCACATTGTCGAAGTGTGTCTTCCACAATCAAATGCTTACCTAATTTCGATGCCCGCACTAACCCGAAGAGAGGTATTATAGGACACGTGATACCGCGCAGCCAAAACGCGGCGAAGCGGGAAACTGACGTAACTCACATTCCCGCAGTGACTCCAACCTCATGAGCCTCACCTCGGTGAGCCACCAGTGAGCTTGCTCACAGCGCTCGAATTCAATTAGATACCACCCAGTATCTGAACCACCATGGGCGTTACTGGCCTTTGGACAGTGTTGCAGCCTTGTGCCCGGCCTGTTAAACTAGAGACACTCAACAAGAAACGGCTGGCCGTCGACGCGTCAATTTGGATTTACCAATTCCTGAAAGCAGTTCGCGATAAGGAAGGTAATGCGCTCCGCAACTCACATATTGTCGGCTTCTTTCGACGGATATGCAAGCTTTTATACTTTGGAATCAAGCCAGTATTCATCTTCGATGGCGGCGCACCGGTTCTGAAACGGCAGACGATCGCGGCGCGGAAAAAAAGAAGAGAGGGCAGACGGGAAGATGCGACAAGGACTGCGGGCAAGTTACTTGCTATTCAGATGCAGCGGACTGCAGAGGAAGAAGCAGACGCGCGCCGACGGAATAAAAAACCTCCCCGAAATGAAGAGGAGGTGGTGCCTGACGCCCCCGTCTACGCAGACGAGGCTCTCATGAACGAGCAGGAAAGACAAAAAAATCGAAAGTTCAAGAAAAAAGATCAATACCACCTGCCAAACCTGAATGTCTCGCTTGAAGAAATGGGTGCCCCGAACGACCCTCGAATCATGTCACAGGAAGAGTTGGAAGAGTATGCACGACAATTCCACCAGGGCCAAGATATCAACCTCTACGACTTTTCTAAAATAGACTTTGACAGTCCCTTCTTCCTCAGTCTCCCGGCCACAGATCGATACAATATTCTAAATGCGGCCCGGCTCAGGAGTCGATTGAGGATGGGATATTCCAAAGAACAACTTGATACCATGTTTCCAGACCGCATGGCCTTTTCAAGATTTCAGATTGAACGAGTTACTGAACGAAATGATTTAACGCAACGACTAATGAATATCAACGGCATGAACGGAGAGGAGGCATTCTACAAGTCTGGACAACGGATTGCCGGCGAGCGTGGTCGAGAGTATGTCCTGGTCAAAGATAGCCAAAATGAGGGTGGCTGGGTTTTGGGCGTTGTGGGGAACAAACAAGCAGGACATGAAGACAAGCCAATTGATGTAGACCAATATGGCCTGCCGGACCCGGTCTCAGAGTCCGACGAGGTGTCGGACGATGACGAATTCGAAGATGTGCCTATCGAAGGGATCAACAGACTACCAAAACTGCCCGCCCTTCAAGAAGGAGTGTTCGATAACTCGCTGCAGCAAGTTCAGGAAGATCTAGACTTGCAAAGAGCATTGTTTGAGTCACGCAGAAACCTACCCACTGCCTCTACACAGAATGCCGATGAGAATGCGCTCTTTGTTCAAGGAGACGAGAACGCTTTTTTACCGCCACAGCATCAAAATTCTGACATTTTTGAAGACGAAGAAGAACAAGACGAGCTCGCGAGAGCCCTCGCACTCTCAATGCAGCCCGATGACGATGCAGACGAAGACATGCCTGATATTACTATTAATCGGCCTTTGCAGACCGTAGCTGCTCCTGAGCCTTTGCAAGAACCGGCATCTGACGAAAGTGACGACGAGATGGACTTTTCGGCTGCAGTTGCCCAGACAAAGGTCTCCGAGAAGAAATCTCTCATTGAGAATCCTTTCTCTGGGCCGCTTCCTTTTGAGTCTATCACCCTCGATAGAGCCACCCAGAAGCCCGAAGGGACTCCTGAGCTGGACGAAGATGCCGGAGGTTTCATTAAGGAGTCTACAAGTAAAAAGAAGAAGACCGAACCGCTTCCCCCGTGGTTCTTCGGAGAGAAGTTGAGTGAGGACTTTATCACGGAGCCAACCTTCGAGAACAACGGCAAGGATCAGGGTGACGCTCAGCAAGACCACTTATTCCTCTCAAATCGACGATCGCCGGATATTATTGAGGTTGATGGCACGCCAGAGACTAAAGAAGTGATCGATCTAGAGGCGGAGTCGGAGCAAAAGAGCCCCGAGGTCCCTCTGTCAATTGAAGCCGTCTCATCGGTAGAAACAGAGCCAATAAAGGCGGCATCTCCCCTTCAACCATCTGTGACTGCAGAGTCTGCCGGGGGTGAAACTGTTCATGATTCGCTCGAGGTCAAAGCTCCAGCGGAAGAACCTCATGTAGTGACACTCGAAGACTTGAAAGAGGCTAGTGCACCAGATCGGTCTTCCCAGGAAGAGGCGTCTCCCGAGCCCGAGTTTGAAGATGTCGTGCCTCCATCTCCCGCTCCTGTCTCAGCGCCGGGCCCACCTCCCGAGATTACTGTCATCACCGACCGCCATCCCGAACCGCAAGCTCCGCTTGCGCCTTCCGAACTGCTTGTTCAAGATGACGGTGAATTTAGTGATCCCGAGGATGAAGATCTCATGCGGCAACTAGCCGCCGAAGGGGAGGAGCACGTTCGTTTTGCACAAACTCTCAACTCGGAGGTCCTGCTTAATCAGGCGGACTATGAGAACGAACTCAAGCAGCTACGAAACCAGCAGCGGAAAGATCGACGAGATGCAGACGAAGTGACTCAAATCATGATTAACGAATGCCAGCAGCTTCTACAATTATTTGGGCTGCCATATATCACCGCGCCCATGGAGGCTGAGGCACAATGTGCCGAGCTCGTCGCCTTAGGACTCGTGGATGGGATTGTTACCGACGATAGTGATACATTCCTCTTTGGCGGCACCCGCGTCTACAAGAACATGTTCAATCAGAGCAAATTCGTGGAGTGCTATCTATCCTCCGACTTTGAGAAGGAGTATGCGCTTCACAGGCGCAAGCTCATCAGTTTTGCACATCTTCTCGGCAGTGATTATACCGAAGGGATTCCGGGCATTGGCCCCGTCAAAGCCCTCGAGATTATCACCGAGTTCCCGAGCCTGGAAGAGTTTCGGGAGTGGTGGACGGAGCTCCAGACGGGCGTCAACAAGCCAGATGATGTCCACCTAGCTTTTCGGAAGAAATTCCGTAAACAAGCCTCCAAGATCTTCCTTCCACCGTCATTCCCCAACACCAATGTCGATACCGCTTATCTGGAGCCAGAAGTCGATGCGGACCCGTCACCATTTCAATGGGGCGTCCCAGATCTGAATGGTCTTCGGCATTTCCTCATGACAACGATCGGCTGGAGTCAAGAGCGCACCGATGAAGTCCTGGTGCCGGTCATTCGAGACATGAACCGGCGGGCGCAGGAAGGCACACAGTCGAACATTACACATTTCATGCAAGGCCCTCTAGGGGCGGGCGCGTTTGCGCCCCGCGTCCGCGGCAACGGTCCCAGCCGAATGGAAAAGGCCTTTGGCCGACTGCGGCAGGAGGCGCGTGGTGGGCGACAGACGTCACAGGGTGAGGGGCGTGCAGCAGAAACGGCCACCAACGATCTGGCCGAGGGCTCGAGCTCTGGCAAACGTGGGAAAGCCACCAAAGAAGGCGCCAGTAAGAAGCGAAAGACTCGGGTAGACTCGTCAGGTGCATGAACAGGTGGAGAGGATGAGTGGCATGTCTGGCATACCATCCGGTCTTTTAATTAGGTTATTTTCACAGCGAAGTATTGAAATCTATGCATGCATACGAAGTGCTGCGCGTTACCCTAATGGAATTGATGGATCAACATGAACCAGACTGGCGGTGCCCGTCCTTAGTGTACCACGGGAGCTTTCTCGTGATTAGAGTAGAAGCATCTTTGCTTAGCTGATTTGCAGGCGACCCCCCACCGAATAAGCAGCGTTTCCAGCATTCCTCCCCCACTGACGATCAACCGCCATGATCCACGATATCCAGGAACTGCATATCTCAATTGCCCTTTTGATTGTCTCTACTCGCCTTCTTCTCGATCCCACATTGATTCCAGTTTTCCATGAAAGCCGAAAAGGAAAAGTCATCATCCCAGCAATGCAACGCTAGACAATTGATGACATGGTGGTCCAACTTGCCGGGCGATGACATCAGCATCCTCGGGAACCTGGCCGATGACGTCGGCGATCGTAGCTTCTTTTCGTTTCTCCATCAGAATGCAACTCACCATCGGCGCTATTGGATCTGCATGAAGAAGTGCCCCATTGAGCTGTACTCTCTAACTCATCTGGGGGTTAGTGCTTCGTTCTATCCTTAGCCGGACCTGCTTCATCCTCACTGCTAACTGGGAGGCGCAGCAAATTCCACAGTGGCCGCCAGTGTCCGAAGCTGGAGTCTATTCCCATCAAGCTCTGTTGACTCCATCGTTCGCAATTACTGGATTGGATCTGCATGATTTACCCTTCCGCATCATCCACAGCATCCACCTCGTCGTCTGTGGCTTCGAACTCTCTCCAATCTCCCCCAAGTTCTCCACCGAAACGAGTAAGGTGCCCCCATAAAAAAAGTTGTCGACGTCACCAGGGGAGACCATCCACCGCAAGTCACCAACTGGAGATATTAGCCCCGACATCTGCTCCCCAAAAGCTCACCACGACGAAAATCTGTACCAAATCTCTTCCTCTATCTCCCAGGCCATCTCCTGCACCTCCTGATTTTTTACCCCTGTGTCGATCTCCGGTTGCATTACTCTTCCGTCACATCCCGTCAGTGCTTCACAGCTCCCCCAAGCCCCCGGCCCCCCTCTTTTTAGCTCACGTCACTACTGCGCAAGGCACCATCGACTTTTTTTCTTCTCTTTTTCCCACTCTTAACTTCTAACTCTGCTGGCTGCAGGCAACTCCAATCTCGATTATCTTCTCTTCTCATTGTCTCTCCGTGCCCCCCTCGAAACCTAATCCTCCTCTAATCGGCTCCTACCACCGCCATCATGCATCGCACCTATTCTATGCGCCAGTCGCGCGCCCCGACCGCCTCGCAGATCGAGAATCCCCCACCCCCAATGTCCTCCACTAAGTCGAACCGGTGGCTCGGAAAGGGTGGCATTGGTGAGTAGCACACTACAAAACACGTAATTTCCGTGAGCTCAATCGCTCTTGGCGGTCGGTTGCTCCCAACGGAGTCTCCGAGGAGCCCGAAGCTGCCTGATCGAGGCATACTCACGGCGCCTCGGACATCCCAAATGAGAAACCAAGCAGCTAGAAGCGAGCAGCGGGGGAATTACTAGTCATACAATGGTCGCTAACATTGCATGGTTATAGGCCACGCATTCCGTAAAAATGCCGCTGGTGCCTTTGGTCCTGATCTCTCCCGCAAGCTGTCACAGCTAGTCAAGATGGAGAAGAACGTTATGCGCAGCATGGAGCTGGTCGCACGGGAGCGTATGGAGGTTGCTGTACGTATACAATTAGGCCGCCATGCAATGGCCAAGCAGACCATCGTTCGAAACTAACCGATGACCTTTTTTTTTCAACAGCAACAACTTTCGATTTGGGGTGAAGCCGCCGACGAAGACGTCTCCGACGTGACGGACAAGCTGGGCGTTCTGATCTACGAGATTGGCGAGCTGGAAGATCTGTTCGTCGACCGCTATGACCAGTACCGCGTGACCATCAAGAGCATCCGCAACATCGAGGCCTCGGTCCAACCCAGCCGCGATCGCAAGCAGAAGATCACCGATGAAATCGCCAAGCTCAAGTACAAGGATCCCAACTCTCCTCGCATCGTCGTGCTGGAGCAGGAACTCGTCCGTGCCGAAGCCGAGTCCCTCGTCGCCGAGGCTCAGTTGTCCAACATCACCCGCGAGAAGGTCAAGGCTGCCTTCCAGTACCAGTTCGATGCGCTCCGCGAGCACTGCGAGAAGGTCGCCATCGTCGCCGGCTACGGCAAGCACCTGCTCGATCTGATCGATGACACCCCCGTCACTCCCGGTGAGACCCGCCACGCGTACGATGGCTATGAGGCTAGCAAGGCCATCATCCAGGACTGCGAGGACGCTCTGAGCAACTGGGTTACCTCCAAGGCGGTTGTCAAGTCCAACATGTCTCAGCGCTCGCGCACCCTCTCTCAGCGCCACCGTAGCAATGTCAGCAAGAACCGCGAAGGTGTCGATCTCTCCGGCCAGGACCAGCCCATGACTGGTGACCGTGACTCTTGGCTGCCCGCTGACCAGCACCCGAACTACGAGGATGACGTCGAGGACGATCTCAGCCACGTGGATCACGAGGCACGCGGCCGCGAGGAAGCGCGGGAGCCTATCGCCGCCTAAGCGACGGTGATACGATGATCTACATTTTCATTGTGTTTTCCTTGTCATCTCCTTGTTTACGAATTTGACGGCTTCTTTTCTCGTCCAGCTTCTGGAGTGTGGAGGGGGAAGGCATGAAAGAAGAGTTCCAGCTCGGGGGTCTTCTGCTTGACCTCGGACCTGGTTTTGGCCTCTATCCCCTCGACTTTCATTATCCCGATTCTCCAAATACCACACTCATTTCTGCGTCTTCGCTGTCTTGCGTTAGGGTTCTGCATGGCTTTGAGAAGGGAATGGTCTTGGCATTGCATGCGGATTTTACCACCATTCCGCCCTCTATAATTCGACGAGCCCCGCGGAGCATGTCAGCCGCCTCATTAATAACTTTCCATGCCGGGCCATCACTTCTCGAAACCATCCACGGATTCTTGCGTTGAGTCAGCCTGATGATCTCCTGCCCATGTCGTGATACAGCACCCGTTGCTCGTGCTTGCCTGCGACCCCGATTCCTTTGTGTCCTATCTAGGTCCTAGGTTGTGGAGCCCGATGCTCCAGTCGGTTTCTCACCCGATTCTCCAGGGTCTACTCAGGGTCTACTCTAGGAGATTAGCGAGAGTCGGGCGAAACTGCAGCTCTACACGGCCGAAGAAAACGTTTGGGACATTTTATCATGGGATCTCCTAGTTCTCGTCTTCTTCTCTTTTCCTTCTTGTTTGTTCGTTTCCTTAATGTAATACCATCTTGTGCTGTCCCGTTATTCTCCATTTCGTCGTGGGTTTTATATTGATTGAAGCCTCCCTCATTCGGGGATGAGAATCAGAATATGGATATGATAGGATATGGTCTAGGGTAATCAATTAGGTGTTAATGAAATCTGTTTTACTGTACACGTTCCCAAATTCATTTATACCCACAACCACTCACCAGATCACCTCCTCCTCCCTCACTTCCTAGCCAAAACCCAATAAAACTCAACCTTCTTCACACTCCCATCCTCCTCCCCTTCCTCATCAGCACGAACCTCATCAACCTCAATCACAAACCCAACATCCCTCAACACCTGCCTCGTCCCATCAACCCCCCACCCACTCCAATGCACAACCCCCTCCCGCCCCCCCAGCCACGTCTCATTACTCACACTCTCAAACTCCCCCGCCGAAAAATTAGCCAACACCCACCCGCCCGGCTTCAACCACCCATACACCCGCTCCAACATCGTCACCTGTTCGTCCCGCGGGAGATGGAAAATCGAATACATAGCCAGCACCGCCGTAAACGATCCATCCGCAAAGCTCAATCCCATCATATCGCCCTGGATCAGCGTGACGCTGGCCGGTAGCCGTTCTCGAGCCAGCGCGATTTGCGTCTCGGAGATGTCGTTTGCGGTGATGCGAGTGTTTGGCACGGTCGTTAGGTGTTGGGTGACTGGCACGCCGGCGCCACAGCCTAGTTCGAGGATTGGGTTGGATCCTTCTTCGGTGTTGAGGGTGAGGTTTGCGAGGAGCTTTTGGAGATAGGAGAGCCGGACTGTGTGGGTGTTCTCGGTCCAGGTTAGGTATTTGGGCGCGATTGCGTCGTAGGCCTTTTTGATGTCTGCTTTGATTTTGTGGGACATTTTTGAGGGTTTGGAGGTTGGGATTTGGGGCTTGGGGCTGGAGCTTAGAATTGGAAAGTCCGATGAAATGATATTTTGTGCAATTGATATCGTGGAGTACTCTAGATTTAATTCCGGGGTATTTATAGGGGGAATCTAGAAGCGGAGATTTACTCCGCGTAAATAATCGTTCGCCGTGACTCATCGTGGGGAATCAACCTAGACTCCTTTCGGACGCCGCATTTATGATCGTATAATTCCAGAGTCACAGTCTGATGAGAGTGTTCAGAGAGTCATGTCAGAAGTAAAGTAAGGTGCGATGAGGCGGCTGAGGCGGCGGGGGGTGTCAAATTGATGGAGGTAGGGCAGAGCAAAGTCTCCACGCAATCGGAGATCGGATGTGGATTGGTGGTCTAGCGCTGCTGGACAAAGTACCCCGTACCTAGCGGATACTCTACCTATATATCGTAATTTCGCATCAATACGATGGTACGTAAGTCGAGGGCATCAAGTTATGAGTCCTCTAGAGCACATAAAATGCACCCATGCCTCTCTCTAGCTCGATACTTGTTAGTCCGAATCATCCCAATATCGTCAACGGGGTGTTGTTAGGGTTAGCATCAGTTCCAAATAAGGTCTACAAAGCCAATTACGGGATAGAGAGAAGCAAAAGTCAAGGAGTCGGAACGCAAGCATCCAGTACGCATGGAGTATAGTATGCAAGCCGCACATTTCAGGCCCAGGAATGACTAAAAACAACAGAAAACAAATTCCCAAAGCAAGAACATCAGATAAATCAGACCCATCCGAGAACCGAACCAATCCAACCCAGGAAAGGGTCCTACGGCAAACAACACCATTGCCCAACCACATCAATCTCCCACCAGGGAGCATAGAAACCACGTGACATGCATATACTCTAATTCAGAGCAATGATTGGCATAGAAGCCAGGAATAAAGAGAACTCAAGGACCCGAGGGTAAAATTCGGGTATGACAGAGGTATATATGAGCGATACAGAGAGTAGAGTAGACCGATGATAGCAAAGAAACCAAGCATAAACCAAGCAAAAGTCCCACAGAGGCAAAAACCATCTCTGAGAATCGCAGGAGCCACGGCCGGACCACCGTCTTGAGCCGTGGAAAAACGAGAAGGAGAAAGGTCGTGACATCGTCATGGGGAGTAGATTTTCCACCCTTCCTTTCCCATCCGGACACCCGTCATTCAACTCATGTACTTGATATAAATGAATGCGGGTCATAACGGGGGAAGGTGGAATCACACTCAAATAAAACAGCAAAGGGGTTGAGTAGACGAAACGCATAACGGATCTCTCGAGGATGTCCGAAGTCGAGGACCGCAAGATGAGAGCTGATACACAGCCCAGGCCAAACGCAGCGGCAGCAAACATTAAAATGCCAAGTTAAAGCGCAAGCACAAAAGAGAGCCAACTTTCCATTTGAGGCCTACTCATCGGTGCCGACGCCCTTCTTTTTAGGCTGAATATGTTTTTGGCCGGAGCGTGTGCTGCTCGCTTTCGACTCGAGCGGCGTGCTATCCTGTGGTGGAGGGGGCATGCGCGTGGTTGTTGCTTCGTGCTTCTCAGTAAGCAAGTTCTTCAGCCAGCGATTCTCCATCTCCAGCTGGGCGACGCGAGCCTCGAGAGAGGCATTCTTCTCGGTCGTCTCACGCACGGTGCGCTCGAGGACTTGCTCGCGCTGCTTCTTCTTCTGACGGAAGCGAGCCGAGGCGGCGGTGTTGCGGCGGCGGCGATCTTCTTCGGCTGCGACCCGTACACCTTCCTCCTGGTTCAGGGCAGCCGCAATGCGGTCTCCCGAGATGGAGGTGGAGTACTTGGTGTTACCCATTTGTCCGTTGGGCGGGGAGATGGACGAAGAGACGTCCGAAGGGGTCATCGCTCCGGGTGCATGGCCCAGGTCATCGGGCGCAAAGGGGACCGGAGGATAGATAGAGTGTGCCGAGTACGGCATAATGTGGTCGGGAATGGAGTAGTTGATTGATTTATCGCCGGTTGGGCCTGGGGGATGGAGTAAGCGATCAAGTTTGCGAGGCATGATTGTGAATGTATATAGTAGGAGGACGACGAAGAAGAAGAGGGAGGAGAGGAGGGACAGTGTAACCCTAGCTAAATCACCAGGGAGTCGGTTGATATAGCGATAGAGGGTGATAATAGGGTTGCAAGAAGGGACGAGGCAGCAACGAGGAGAAATGGGAAGAAAGCCGAGCAGAATGAAGTGATTCAGCAGACAAAGTGACAGACCGCCTCCCTCGCTGGGGTCGAGGCGAAGAAATCCACACGATCATTCCTCCGCGTAGCCCAGGAATAAGAAAAGAAGGGTCCATATTGGGGGGGATAAGCAGGAGACAAATAAGGGCCAGCAAGCAAATGGGGAAGNAGCAGATGAGCACAACCGCAGGCATTATGAGCAAATAGAGAAGCCCCGGGCAGCCATGGCGGAGCGACTGCAGTTTAGGGTCTGTAAATCGGCTGGTTGGGTCTGCAGGTTGTCGTTGCCATCTGCTTGCGGGATTGCGTGCTCGCTATCGAACGGGCAGGGGGGCGGTGATCTCATCTCATTCCGAGCACCTCCAGGACCGATCACCCTTTCTGGAGGAGCGTTCGAAACTCAAATCCGAGGTATCGGACTCTCACAAATATGAGAATAGTATCCAGAGAGAGGATAATCGGTCCGTGGAGGGGGGGAAGACCCGGAAAGGAAAGAGCAATTTTCCCAATGACCATAGAACGCAGCAACGCATACGAGCAAATCATAATGGAATTCAAAAAAAATAAGGAAGCAAAAATCATAGACCAGGGGAGGGGTGTGCATAGGTGAGGGGGGTGAAAAGCTCAATCACTTCATTCTGCTCAAATTCGGCCTCATCTCTATACCTCTCTCGCGCGCGCAAAACCCACGATGCGGCTGCTGGCGGCTGCCAGCAGCAGGTTGATCGAAAAAAAAGCCGTCAAGGGTGCACGCCCAGACGCGGGCACACGAACCATAAGGCCCAGCGATGGCGCAACAGATGCAACCTCTCGCACCAAGTCAAAAAAGCTTGGGGTATCAAGATGGGGAAAAATGCGAAAATTTTAAATAAATCCAGAGATATATGCACGTACCATGATAGGGATATCCTCGCAGATCGAGGGAACCACGTTCATCCTCGATACTATCGTACGAGCTGACCGAAAGGCCACCCATACCTTCGGTCTGATCGTAATCCATGTTCACGTTGGCGAGCGGGACCAGCCCTGTATCCGTGTCAAAGGAATATTGGCGCGCCGCCTTGGCCGTGGGATCAGTGCGCGACAGCAGAAAGTTGAAGTTTTCGAGCTTGTCAAAGGTAGCACCTGGGAGATGAGGTTGGAATTCCTCGGGCATGATGAGGGGGGGGAAGAGAGAGGGAGGAGAAAGGGGAAAAGAGAAGATAGAAATAGAAAAAAAAAAGAGCCGGAACCACAGTGATCGCGGAGGACCGTCTAGCGTTTAGGGCGGAGGAGGGGGGAATAGGATGATGTGCGCAACGGCCAGTGACAATGGCCGTGGATGGTGAGTCCCGACGTCCCAGAAGAAGCGTGGTTGGTAGCTTTGACCTGGAGAGGGGAGATGGTAGAACAGTGAATGTCCTTTTCTACGAGCACCCCCGGACTGGACGAGAGAATCCGACGATCCTCGGGAGAACCAATGGAAAAAGAAATGAGCACCAAAGAGTGAGGAAAAGAGTAAAGGAAAAGAGAACCGAGGGAACCTGTGAGATTGAAATGGGCCCGGTAATGTGGCGGCGGTGGTGGTGATGATGCCGGGGCCGCGATGGGTGGTGGTGAGAGTTTGAGCGGGTTGGCCGGTGTAGCGTCGCGGTCTCGATCAGCTCTCCACCATCAGTCGCATAGCGCGCCACGTACAACACGAATCAGACTCAAGGGGCACGAGGATGAAGAACGTTCGAACAAGGGGGTTGGACAAGGAACATAAGCAGCGACCGGCAGCCAGCCGTAAAGAGGCGAAAAATAATCAAACCAAGAAAAAGGACGAAGTTGGTTTAGGGGGAGAGAAGCGGTTGAGCGGGGAGGAAAGTTGGACCAGTCGGGAGGCAGGACGAGGAGGAATGACGATACGGTGCACTCGCTGGTATGGCGGAGGTATTGCGGAAAGGAGAGACGAGAGGGAGAGAGAGAGAGAGAGAGAAAAGATGGAGCAATGGGAGGAGAAGGGAGAAGGACAACCTCGGTATGTGGCCGTAATGAAACGGTATATTGACTCTGGCACGACGGAGAATCCGACCAGGAATATCCAGCAACACGCTCCAAGGCACGGGAAGAGGACAAGCCACGCAGCAGATCGCTGATGATCTGATCAGATGGAGAAATGTCGTGATCGCGCCGTCTGGTTGGTCCGTTTCGGCCAGGCCCCAAAAAGGGAGTATTCACCGCTTTAGTGGACGAGAGCGATGGGGAGAGCGAAGGACTACTCGATGCAAGCTGGAGCGGATAAAGTAGAGTTCAATTGGGGAGCTAAAATGATAAAAATGGTCGCATCAAAGAATAGAAAACGGTTTCAAACGGATAGCATGGTCAGTTCTCGGGCATGCAGAGAGCGGCTAAATTGCTTCCCCAGATTCGGCGGGAGTCCACTGTCCGCTCGCCATCGATCTTTCGGGCCTCCAGCGTGGTCCTGTCAACGATGACAGGACGGAGTCCTTGTAAGAAACTCCAGAGCAAGCTATCCGCTTGGACAGAGCGCAGAGTGGTCTAATCAGGGGACTCTCCCTCGATCGTCACGGACTGACGACTATCCACTTTGGTATCCACGACCATCCTTCCGTCCCTCTCCACTTCGTCCAGTCCGATGACGCGGTCGGAACCGACCCGTTGCACTCCTGTAATTCCGCAGCTTGGCATTTTTCGTATGTCCACACGAGTCGAAAGCCATACGCAGAATGCAAAAGAAGCCGCGAAAAGAACGGGTTGCCCATGGTTCACTTATATCAAATCTCCTCCCCGATGACATCGCAGCGATGTCGTGCTCAATCCCCCTAGGCTAAAATCATGCTTAGTTTCGGCCGCAGACTGGCCCTTCCCCCGGTACTTTCGTCCCAAGTGCCATCCACATCCCTCCGTCACTAACCCGACAAGCACTAATGCACGAGCGCTTCTCATCGCCCTGTCCGTAACCCGGACAGAGATCGGGACGGAAAAAACAAGAATAATCTAGATCTCTCAATTTTAAGTCTGGGTCTGGACTTGACAGGAGAATCATCCCTGGACCAACCACACAATCTCTTTCCTTCTGGAAAAAATCACAGTCCTGGCTCCTCCCCATCGTCTCGCCGCCCTCGATTCGCAATGAGCAGCGCAGCATCCTCAGCACTCGTCCCACGCTCACGAGCCCCAACCCGTTCCTTCCCTAACACCGTATCCTCCGCAACGGTGCGATAAATTTCGGCGAATCCGCCGTAAACACTGGCCCCAACTCCACCCCATCCACCCTGCGTATCCAACGCCTCGCCGATTCCGCGCATCTCCTCCTCCCACCGGTATGCCTTCGGGCTCATCCCGATCACACCTCTGCGCGTTAGTCCCGCCGTTGCAGGCGAGTACTCGTCCAAATGGGCTAGTAACTCCGGGAGGAGTGCTTCTCGCTGCGCGGTGGAGAAGGATAGAATGGACAAGGCCGTGAGGCCCTTGGTCAAGGCGGCGAAGGTGAGCTTGAGCGTGGATGCGGCGCCGATCCGGGGCGAGACGAATTTGGCGTTCAGCGCGGATGCCAGCGCCGCAAAGGTTGGCGGGAGCTGGTCCAGCTCCGGACCGGAGAGGACCACGCTGGGCCTTTTCCATGAGCTGGGGGTGGTGTCTATGTCCGTGTCTAGCGTGGGCGATGCAGATACCAGGACGGGCGGACCCCCAATGATCCCGCCGTCCAGAAAGTGGCACCGCACGAACGGGGTGGACGTGGTGGACTCGTCCGCGACCACGAACAGTGCTGCCAACTCCTCCGCTAGTCGAGGCGGGGTCGCGTTGAGATCGAGGAAGTAGAGCGGGCTACGGTGCGGGTGGCCGTTGACGTCGTCGATCGCCGCCCGCTGAGGGACCGTATCAGAATGTGTGCATGCTTCCGCAATGCGTCGGGCGGTGGCTAAGGCGTCCCGTGGTGGGACGATGGATAAGATGTAATCCGCCTGCGTGACGAGGGCTTGGTCCGAGGGGAGGGTCTCGATGTTGGCCGCGTGGATGCGCGAGAGGGTGTGCTCACTAGTGGGGGAATTGTGAGAGGATGGCTTTGTAGCGGAGGGGTACGCTGGTGGTTGGTAAATATTGTAGAAGAGTGATCGGTGTTGGGTGTACGTTACCTTCGGCCTTCACTGACGGTGACAACGCGGTAGTCATGGGCTTGGAGGAGTTTGGCCATGCCCAGGCCCATATCTCCGATCGAGATAATTCCCACAGTTACGGCACGCATAGTCGTAGATGTTGATGGTAGGAGGGGTAGATAGGTAGGTCGACAAGGGAGAAATGGGTGTCTATGTAGTAGAGAGGACCTAGCACAGCACGCAAGACTCCCTTATCAAGCTGATGCTGGCGTCATGTCCATGCGGACTTTCATCAGCATCGTCTCCATAGGGCCTATCTAGAGTGTTGAATGGTGGGATCAGTGCGGGGATCATTTGTCAGCTCGAGACTGGGGAAGATTACTTAGTTAGGTTGACTATCTTGGGGTATCTTAGTCTACGGGCTACTCCGTAGAGTTAAGCTTATTTGCTCCTTGATATCTTTTTGATCAGCCTGAGGTTCGTCCATTCTGTTCGACTAGCAAATCTGGTGGTCAATGACTGGTGTCCGCTGTCCACTATCGAGGTATTGTTGGCGATAGCCCAGCTAGTGGTCGTGTGGGCGAGACTGCGTGCACTGTATAAACATGAATAGACATATCGTTAAAAAAAGCCATTAGATGGCAAGCATCAAACTCAAGGCTGGCTAGAGGGCATTGCCACAATGGCTTATTCTGAATGGATAGATTCTCCGACATCAAGCCCAGAGAGTTCATAGTTGGGCGTTATTTTCAGATACAGATACAGTACTTCGAGACTCTACGTTTACCAGCAGTAGGATCAGGTACCGTGTAGGTACCATCAAACCATCCTCAGCGCCGGGACAGCAACGTGCCGGACTCCCGAGTGCCCGACGGACCATCCAACTCCGCCGCCGAGTCACTAACTCCGACCTCATGGAAGAAGCTCACAAATCACCACCTCAATCAAAAGCCATCTTAGCCACAAATCTTCCGAAACAAAAACTCACTTTGTCCTTTCTCGCGTCTACTCCGCGCTAATAGCCCCTCATACCCGCCGATAAACCCGGCCGCCCGCTGGGAAGAAAAAAAAGTCTTGGCATGAACATTTGCGGTTGAACTCCGGGGGCAAATGCACAACGCAATGCAGCAAACGGTTGGCATAACTCCCCACGATGACATGAACGTGGATAAGTCCGTCTATGCAATGGCCAACTCTATGCCGTCGCTTAGGCGGAGACGAAGTCAGAGGGTATGTGATATACACACTGTTTTGCTGGAGCCGAGAGTCTCGATGTCCCCGTGGGGTCCCGCTTTCGTTCGATGTGGGCTTGCTCAGATCGATGGGCCCAGACGGGTGATGCCATCTGGTGAACATTGCTGACCTGCTTTGGTAGGCCTGTGAGATGTGTTATCGGAAGAAGACTCGGTGTGAAGTCGAGGGGTCTGCTTCGATGTGTGTCCAGTGTGTCAGGCGTCGGACGAATTGTGTATTTCCCGCGGTGCCAGAGCTGAGTGAGGATGAGCAAAGGTATGTGTCAGGACATAGTTCTCTTTTCTAATATTCTATATCCCGTCTATCCCAGTGCTAGAGATTGTGGAACTCGAGGCTAACAAGTTCTCAGAGATGAATATGTGGCTGCTTTGAAAGATCGTCTCTCCAGGATCGAAGCCTTGCTCAAGGCAGCCGGTATCTTGCATGAAGATTATGTTAGCCCGGATGAGTTTTCAGATGATGACTATGATCCATCGGATGAAAAGGGGAATCTCTCCTCTCAACGTCCTCAATCTTCGGGTCAAACATCACAAGTCTCCTTCGCCTCGCGTGCGTCTTCTGGGGAGGTGGACTACTTCCCCAGCGTAGGCGATATGGAGGCTGCCCGCATTTTCAGGGCTCACGAGCGAGATGATTCCCGATATTTTGGTTCGTCACACTTTCCAGGCTCTGTATTCCACTAGAGGGTCACTAATTGTGAGACACAGGTCGCTCATGTTCATTGTCAATGCTTTCGCGAGGCGGAATTGAATGGATCAAGAGCAAGACGGGCGATGTCAGCTTTTTGAAAATCTTAAACACCGACTCTATCCATGATAATCCATGGACTCAATGGCGTCCCGATGTATTTCACGACCTGTTCGCCTCTCGGGTCTACAAACCTTTACCACCCAGGTCAGAGGTCTTCTCCCTTATAAAAGATTATTTTAATACAGCCAACCGGCTGTTCCCCATTTATCACGAAGAAACTTTCATGAAGATGGTGGAGTGGCAATACACACAGCAAACCTGTGATGATTCGGCTCGATGGGCGAGTATCAATATGGTGCTCTGTCTGGCATACGAGTTTCGATTCTCAAATAGCTTGAAGCCGGAAAAGGATCGAGAGAAGGCCCGACTATATTTCAAGAATGCCATGTCGGTGTTTACGGAGCTGGCCTTGCGCCGTACAGATCTCTTGAGTGTGCAGGCTTTGCTAAGCATGGTCAGTCCCCCCTTCATTGAGGTTGTTCTTGATAATGTTCTGACACTTTTTGATAGGCTTTCTTCTTGCGTGGTAATTCTGGTACCCAGTCTGCATTACCGTTCATTACAGCAGCGATGCGGTCAAGCCAGCGAATGGGACTGCATCGAGATGTCCCAAGGCCAGAGCTGAGCCTCGTCGAGCAAGAACAGAGGCGGCGAGTGTTCTGGGTGGCTTTAACCGTGGATCAGAGGTGAGCGAACCTCTGTCAAAATATTTGCATTTCTAGCCAAGTCTAACGAGAACCCCTAGTACATGCTTGCGTGTCGGAAACGCTCCCTCTCAACATCCTGAGGACTTCGATGTGCCTCTGCCTGAAGAACTCGAAGATGACCGCAACTCCACTTCTTCAACCAATATCCCCTTCTTCCGGCAGCTATGTCGCATGTCTCTCATTAAAAGTCGTATCTTCTATCAATTATATTCCGCCAAGGCACTGCTCAAGTCGCCTCATGAGATTTATCAATCAGTCAAAGAGCTTGATGCAGAACTCAGAGAGTGGAGACGCGACTATCCCTTCGATGACGATCCGCGGCAGAAAGTTGCTGAACCCAATTTTCTGATGGGATTTGCGGCTATTGGCCTCCATTTCGCCTATTTTAATGCTCTGATCATGGTTCACCGAATACCTCTCCTACTCAATTACCTTATTAACGAACGGGAGGAGCCGCCAGACTTAAAGGCACTCAGCAAGGCACATGCAGCCAAGTCCAGTGTCATCTGTGTGACTGCTGCGCGGAACACTCTTCGGATGGTCAACAATATGCCCTGGGGAGATATTGCATGGGTGTGGTATGTAAACGCTCATATTGCTCCTACCGTTTCCTAGACTGGCTAACAAATGTTGCAGGTCATTGCTATACTACATCTTCCTGGCTGCAGCAACCATCTTCTCGCACATCATCCGCGACACCCGCCACGCCCAAATTCAAGAAGACCTTCAATCTCTCAACATGGTGGCAACATTCTTCGCAACCCTATCCCACCCAGGCGACGGGCCCGTCCATTATGCTGGCTTCATGACCCGCATGAGTGCCAATCTCGAACGTATTGCCAAACTGGCGATTGAGAGAGGAGAAAAACGGGCCTGGGGTCCCGATGATCACGGCCACCAGAGCCAACAGCCCGGCACAAAGAGGCATAACCAACGGTCTTCAAGATCACACGCAAAAGCCCGTCATCAACCCTCAACCCTCCGCACATCGATAACTCCCGACTCCACGCGCTCCCATCCCCACTTCTCCTCCACAGCTCCACATGTATCAAACGTCTCGACCACAAATTACCCCCACATGTCCGCACTTAGTATCCCCGAAGCCATCGAGGGATTGCCACCCATCAACTCGGAAGGCTACGTCGTACCACTAAGCCCAAGCGTCACGAACCCCTTCCCTTCATCCATACCCTCGCAGCCTTCAATCCCACCTGCAAACTATCCGATCGGCTTGGGCCTCCAAGATCTCAATGGTACATCACCCACAGACTTCCCATCCAACACAATCCCCACCTGGCAACTGGGACAAGACACCACGGCACAAACAACCGAATCTCCGCCACTAGAAAGCACCCAATCCCCCTTCTCAACCAGCAGCACTACACCAGGCACAACCACGTTCCCCGCATCATGGCAAGTCCCCCTGACAGCGGACTGGCAATTTGGTGACAACATCTGGTCCGGTCTCTTCCCAAACGAGACCATCGCCGCCTCCGCAATCGCAGAAAATGTCCAGCTCCCCATTCTATCTGCAGAATCATTCCTGGACGTCCCTCCCGAGACGGAACTGGATATGAGTGCCTCGGAGACGGGGTATACGGGAGTGGGGATGGGGTATAATGATTACATGCCGCCGAGGACGGCGCAGGATCAAAGGGCGGGGCAGGATGCGGCGGAGATGAGTTGGCCGAATGGGTTTTTGGGATTATTTTAGTGAGCAGTCAAACTTAGCGTCTGTACATATTGGGTTCATTGTTCTTTCTGCACCTGCACAGGGTTTCTACTTGTATATGGAATAGCCTGTTCCTCGCCTAGGTTACGATGACCTGCTGGCCATTCGCTGAATTGCATGGGTTGGATGAAGCGAGTGTTTTCTTCGAGGGACGTTACCACTCAATAATTACAGTGTACCTTCATTTCGAGATACAAGGGGTTGAAATGGTGGGAAAATGCATAATCATTCAAACAATAAATCGCTCAAGCCCAAGAGATACAATGATAATCCCTCCATAACCACCTCGACCAGAAACGCCGTTGCTCGAGACCCATACCCCCTAGAACCGTCCCAATCCCATCCATTCCAGCCACCTAGAAAGTAAACATAACGATATATCATAAGTCCTCCGTTAAAACACCGATCCAGTGAGCATCTGTACAGCCTTGCACCAGACCCCATTTCCAAGAGTCTGTCCTTCATCCCGGACCATTCCCTTGCCCAAGATACTCTGCATCTCTTTGCCTGAGAGACCCGACTTATTACCGGCACCAAACCCGTAGACTTTTGTGGCAACGACATCAACGTCAAAGTCGAGAGACCCAATCTCTTTCAAATCTTTGACCTCGGTATCAATCCGCGTGCGAACAGTAAAGTCAACGTCGATGCGCTTGGCACCGTTGTTCTTTGCTGCGGCGCCTTTACGACCTGGAGTGGAGGATACGGCTGCATTGCCGAGAAGAGTGCAGCGAGCACGCAGGAAGAGCGAAGTGTCACTGGGATCCGACAGGTTGAGGCGGGTTAGACCGCAGAACTCGAGCATACGAGCCTCGTTCTCGAGGCCGGTAGTGCGGTCCCAGGCATTTGAGATGAAGCGCAAAAGTTGCCTCGGGGTGATTTTGGATTGCTGGATCGTGGCCAGATGCTGCTGCAATGATTGCAAGACCAGAGATGCGATGAGAGAGATCGATTTGCCCTTGGTAGAAGTCAACTCCAGAGGCAGGTTGGTCTTCTCAGCGGACAAAGTCTTTGTAGCAAATGCACCAGGGTGGAATTTAATTTGCAGCTGGCCACGATATGACATGGTCAACATCGGGCTAGCCGAAGACTCCTCAGGGGTCGACGCTAGAATAATTGACCAGCCGGTCTGGTGCTCGATTTTCTGGACAGAAGCCTTAAGCTCGCGAATATCCCGAGCACTCCATCCGCGACACTCTTCCTTGACACGCTCCGCCTCTTGGATTTGTGCAAGGTACTCATCCCGCAGCTCGCTTCCGGCTTCAATGATGTTGGTCTTCTCCTGCGCCTCCGCTTGCAATTGCTCGAGTTCTCGTTTCCTGGCTTCGATCTCCTCCTCAACACTAGAAAGCTGTTCACGTGCGCCTCGCAGTTCGTCCTGGTCACAGCTTTCCATCTCTTCGACCAGTTGCTGCAGATTGGTGGCCTCTTGCTGAAGAGATGCGTGCTTCTCGACCAAAGGTGGTACGGTGCTCTCAAGGAGCGACTCGCTTTTAGATAGCAGCTCATCATCCGCCTTCATATCCTTCACATGGCGGTGAAGTCCTTCCTTCAGACCCTCAAGGAGCTTCATGCGCCATTCGTACCAGGTGGCCTTGCTGAGCAGGCGTGCATGGGTCTTCACATTTCGAAACTGATTGTCCATAATCACTCGAATATCTGGCGGGGCCGTCATATACTCATGGAAGAGAGGAGGGTTGTCCTCATACGTCTCAACTTCAATGGACCGAATCACTTGGCGACCTTCTGAGATATACGACTTCAGTTCACGGCAAGACTAGATTTTGAATTAGCAAGCCAGTTCTATCAAGGACGTCTGAGCACAACTTACGTGTTGGTACAACTCCAGCATGGGTACCGTGCAGAAGCCCGCGGCCACGCAGTCGTCAAACGTAATCACGCCTTGTTTGGCAACGTTCTCCAAAGAAGCCCTACTCAGCCGCTTGGAAGCACTCCCTGGGGCGGTGGTGTGCCGCCTTTTCGTCGTGGTGAGCTCCATAAAGTGAACATTGGTCATGTTAAGGAAATCTTGCAGTTGGATAGGCTCGGCTTCCTCGGCCTGGTCCTCGACAGTAGCCTCCGCCTCTTCTTCCTCCGGCTGCTGAGGATCAGAAGCCAGATGCAGGGCATCAATACCTCTCTTCAGAGGCGTTGTTCCATTATTAGAAACATTTCTGGGCTCTTGCGTAGGAGTAGTGCTACCCTTAAGAGGGGATGAGCTGCGAGCTCTACGAACTGGAGATCTAATGGACCGGTGACCAGTAGTACTCTCATGGCTTGGGCCTGGTAACCTTACACCCTTGACTGGACTCACGGTATGGCCACGCAGTCGCTTGGGTGAGTTCTCTGCCTCTTCTTCGTCCAAGTCGAGCTCAGCAGGACGCTTGCCAAGTATACCACGAGCAGCACCGACGTGAAGACTCTTGCGATTTCCAATCTTACCCTTCTTCGGGCTCATACGTGAGATCAGATCTTTCAAACTCGACGTGGGATCTCGGCTCGTAGGGTTGACTGAGGGAATATGACCATCTTCTCGGAGCTCCTCCTCCTCGCGTTCTCGATCCTCATCTTCCTGCATCTTCAACGGGTCTTCAAAGCGTACACCACCAACACGGGGCCGCTCTTGAGGTATAAATTGCGGTGTATTCTCACCCAGTGATAGTCGTTTATCTAGAAGGGCCGCAACGCGAGGCGAACCAAGGCCTTCCTTATCGATCCCTAGGCCAGAAGAGAGACGCCCTTCGCGAGGTTGAAGAACAATCCGGGGTGTCGACTGGCCAGTGAAAATATCCTGCTCAAAGATGCTCAGCCGAGAAGATTTCTGTTTCTCTGCTGACTGCTTGATCTCAGGCTTGAATAGCTTCTTAGGAGAGGCACTGCGGAATGTAACATTGGCAGAAGGCGGAGTTTTGCTGGGCGTTGTTGGTCGAGGCTGAGGTGTCAACTGTTGCGAGGGCGTAGTTGGTCTTTCCAATAGCGATTGCTGGCGAGTGGCCAGTTCCGGGGTTCGGGATGCTTCCAGCACGGAGCTACGTCGCGATGAGCGTCTGGGGGGAACGCTCGCCAAACTGGGGCTGCCATTCTCCGAGGCAACAGTAGCAACCTGTAATGCGAGAGACGATTTTGCAGGAGACTTGGGAGGAGATTGCTGGTCAGCGTTCTGGAATGGTGAGCTTCCCAGCTGGCCAGATTCGGCCTCAAGCTCCATGATCCTCTTGGCCTGAGCTTTATCTGGGGTCTCCAATCCCGAGGGCAATATACCACCAATATTACCAGTGATCTCCATTTCCATACCCCCATCGGAGCCATCATCCCCATCCGGAGACATGCGATCAGATTTGGGGGTGTAGGAGCCTGGCTGTTCCGTGCTGGTATCCGCAAGTGGTTGGAGTGGTGGTCCCTTGTTCAAAACACCACCAACGACTGATGTGAACTCCATAGTCATCTCTTCATCTTCGTTGCCCTCGTCGAAGGGCCTCATGGGAGACTCTGTGGCCGCAATGCCGCCAACCATGGCAGTCATCTCCATGGTCTGATCGCCGTAGTTGGTTTCTTGGCCCAGGGATTTGCGACTGACAGCGCTCTGGCGAAGTCGAGTTGCTCTACCCAAAATTCCACCAACAACGTTAGTCACATCCATACTCAGATCCTCGTCCTCATCCATGCCATCCGAGGCAGGAAAGTCCTGGGTCGAGACGGACTTGGCGGGGTTGACATTCTCTTGATCATGGCGAGCACTTAGGTCGTCCCAGTCGAAACTCTGTCTCTGGCCCTTCTGGATCCATGGCTTGAATGCACCAGTGATTTCTTGGTCTGCTATTTCCATTGAAATTTCACCGGTATCATCAATTGCTTGAGTTCCAGCTTCCTTTGCGGCCTGGCGGAGTGCGTCGTTGAGTCTGGCGCTGGAGCTAGAGCTGGAAGAAACATCTGACTGGGCGGTGGCAGAGGAATGACCAGTCATGTTATCCATGCTCATAGCAGTGCTCTCGGCATCAAATTCGTCGTCGGATGCCGAGGTGTCGCCATCTTCTTCCTCTTCAACCACGCTGTGAGCGCCAGTATCTTCGCTCGCAGCTGAGCTTCCGCTGAAAGGACTTGAAGAAAGGTCTGCATGGCTATCTTCTGTGCCATCTGAGACCGAACGATCCCTCATTTGCTGCAAGTCTTGCTCGCGAACAGGAGAGAATCCGAAATCCGATTCAGCATCATCCGGCGACGAGGGCGCCTCCCTTGCGGGGGTCGGTGCGGGTTGTTGGGCATGGCTGTTCGTAAGGGATGACGACCGGCGAGTAGAGTTCGATGCTGATGACGAAGTTGCATCCTCGGGAATCTCGACAACGTTCCAGGTGTGCAGTGTGGCCTCGGGGGCAAATGAGACACGACGATTTGCTATAATATTCCAAGTAAGCAATGAGTCCTGCTTGCTTGTATCTGATGGTGTACATACCCATCGACTTTCGTCGGGCTTCTCGCTTCTCCAGGATAGTTTGTCGTTCCCGCTCCCGACGCTCCTTCTCGTCGCGTTCTTTCGTTGCAGCCATCTCGTCGCGAATGGCAGATGTCGCATTGAAGGTGTCGAATGGGTTGTCGAGCTTCTCGTTTCCTGTATTAGGGGGCTGTTGTGGCGTTTCGAAGTCGATCAGAAGCCCCTCCTTTCCTGGATCGTTGCCGGCGGCACTGGCTTTCTGAGTAGATGTATCGCGAGCAGGGGTGCGCCGGCGTGTCTCCTCGAATGATGGGATAGTCCTTACTGGAGACACGGGGACTGTTGGTTTGAGAATTGATTTGAGAGGAAACGAGGCAGTTGACTGCAGAGGGATTCAAATTAGCTTGGCTTGTCGTCTATGCGCGCGGGGAGAACTCTGGGCGACAGCTACCTTCCGACGATTCCCATTAGAATGCTGCAGCGCATCCAATCCTCCAGGTCCTAGACTCTTGCTTCTGGATTTCTTGTCCTTCGCGGCAGGCCTGGTACCGGGTCCAGAGGATGCCATGGCTCCAATGTCTGTCGTCGCATTCTCCTTATCCAGGCCAGACGTCATCTTAGATCGCGGAACATGGGCAATAGAGCGGCGCGAGCGCGGTCGCGTAGCCGTGGAGTCCGATCGAGTGGACATTCTGGCTGCATCCACAGACTATGGCAATCAGCCGAGCATGATACACGTACAGGGTGGGCGTGGGTCGAAGACTAAAGCTGGTCGCATCCCCTCAATCATACTTCATCTACTCCGTACACGTCCCGGGATCCGCGGCGCGTTGAAAGATATCACGTGATAACCCAAAACGTAAACAAACGGCAAGCCCTAACCCGCACTTGCGCTAGTCCCAAAATAGTCTAGCGGCCACACACACAAGAATCCACGCCTTTAGCGAATCTTTCTCATCCTCGACGTCCTTATCCCGATACCCGACACGCCAACTTTTCACCCAGTTCGACAACGCTTCCGAGTCGACACACACCGCAGCCATGGCGACCGAGTTGAACGTCCAGTCCGAGCGCGCTTTCCAGAAGCAGCCTCACATCTTCCAGAACTCGAAGTCTCAGGCCAAGTCTAAGAAGGCTGGCCAGACTCGCCGCTGGTACAAGGATGTCGGTCTCGGTTTCCGTACCCCCAAGACCGCCATTGAGGGCACCTACATCGGTATGCACGACCTGCGATACGAAATTCTGGCGAACCGGCGAGATCTACGACATTTAATGGTCTTTTTCAACGAGTGTGGAGATCGTGAACAGCAAGCGGCCAAGGCAGCGTCATGGGGTCCGTGAAATGTGATGTGAATGGCATCAAGCATTTGCGATGAACTCGCGGAAGCAGATATCTTCTCCTCTATTTTCAGCCGCTTGTGAAGACCGTATTCTCCGCTCTCGGGAGCATGACCTGCGATATTGAAGATCTTGCTCGGCCCGCTATATCCCTTTGGAACCATCAAACCACTAACGGAATCGATCATGCAGACAAGAAGTGCCCCTTCACCGGTCTCGTCTCCATCCGTGGCCGTATCCTGACCGGCCGTGTTGTGTCCACCAAGATGCACCGCACCATCGTCATCCGCCGTGAATACCTCCACTACGTCCCCAAGTACAACCGTTACGAGAAGCGCCACAAGAACCTGGCTGCTCACGTCTCCCCCGCTTTCCGTGTTGAGGAGGGTGACTGGGTCACCGTCGGCCAGTGCCGTCCCCTCTCCAAGACTGTACGTTCTTAATCTCGAACTTCCTCATCACGCAATCCCTATCCAACCCTGCTCTGGTGGTGACTGGCTGGTCATTTTCGACTTTTGTCTCAACATCTGGCCGCACACATTACCCGCCCTCACATTGCTCTATTGCAATTTGCCACTGAATCTCTGACTAACTTGAATTTCCTATAGGTCCGCTTCAACGTCCTGCGCGTCCTGCCCCGCACTGGCAAGGCCGTCAAGTCTTTCGCCAAGTTCTAAGCGTTGAATTGATCTGGGTGCTCGGAATGGACGATACGGCGAAGGAAGCGGTTTGAACTGGATATAAAGGAATTTCTTGGACGGGGGTCGGGATAGTTTACGAGTTTCCATGTCCCAGATACCTTGCTGAAGAATGTGTATCCACACAAAAAGCAAAAATATTTCATCGATCCTCCTGCCATGGAAACCGTACACCCACCCTGATTAAGAGCTATCTCCGAAATCACTGGGACGAAATTGTTCTCAGTGCTGCATGCCAGGCTTAATCTGTTGTCATTGATACGATAGGAGGAATCGATATTTCCATTTCTGCATGTCCTTGTGGTATATGGATGTTTCGTGTTGTTCGACCTGGTTCTATATTTGCTTGTAGACGATAGTAGAGGCTGCGTTCGGAGGGACTACTGCCTGATGTCCACGTCTATATCTAATTTACCCCATGGCTTGGCCATACCAACGAGGTGTGTGGATGTATGTACAAGCATGGCGCTGGGCCTTGGATGGTCCCGAGCATCTGAAGATGTCGGGGTTTCTGCTCTTCCTGCGAATACCAGACAGTTAAGTGGGCTTGTACATGGGGGCTGCTGGGTCAACACATCTTCAGTTATGAGTTGGACCCATGGGTATACCCAAACAAGCTCAATGGTCTTGTTCTGCTGTTCAAGAATGGCACCATGTAATTCAAACCCCACATGTTCAAGCCGGTTGCTTTCTCCTAAAGTCCTGCTGGGCAATTTTTGGGACACTGCTATTATACTGGACATTGTCACTTCCTCTTACATATAACGAGCCTTCGGGATATAATGAATCATGAGGTATAAGGTTATGGATTATTGTCGCTCCAGGAAACTCAATGGCAGGATCTAAAACTACCTACTACCGCCACCGTGGTCCGAGCAGGTATGGCTCGCTATATATATTGGATGGCATTAATGACACGACATAAAAGTTCATGGCACGACAAGGCTAGTCCTAATGAGGATAAGTTACCTACCGAGCCCTTCTGTATAATTCACATCAACGCTTCTCGCTATTAAATTTAGTGACTATCTACGCGACCTCTATCTATATATCCCTATAATAGACTAAGTTAATATTCCACTTCCCCTCCTACTATATCGCCCTCTTCTACGGTATTTTCTATAGTCTTTTCAATGGTCTTCTCTAAAGATAGGGCTATACATCCATATGGACTCGGTAGGTAAATTGTGTATTTCGAATGTAGTATTCTGTATCGAAGGGGCGGCCTTCCTCATTAGAAATAGCCTTGTCGTGCCATGAACTTTTTTGTCGTGTCAATAATGCCATCCTATATATTTCTACGAGGTGTACATGGATATACCTACCAATAGTCCAATGTATAAGATTATGGAAACGTGCAAGCCTTTGAACGAGGATCTCACAGTCTCCTATCATAAGTAATAATCCATGTCTTTCCATAAAGTACACAGTCTATCAACCGACAACGTTAGCTTGCGATACCATGCACATACAGCCGATCCTCGTGCTGGGGAACGGCGCTATACCCGATTGGGTGTTGGGAGCCCGATGCCCAAGCTCCGCCCGCCGGCCTTGGTTGTCCTTTAGGATCACGACCTCTCGACCCTATTCTTAATCCTACATTCCTATCGTCGTGCTCGTGGGTCTGCCCTGACTGCCAATCAACAGCCCGGTCAATCCGATTGCCCTGTCCTCCTTTCCCGCAAAGCGCCGTCGTCTCTCCTTCCCAGGCTCCCGTGATGGCCGAATGAGTTCCCCCCCGTACCCGATACCAGTGATGATTGAGACTCTACAAGCACATTTCAATCACACTGACATATGAAGCGGGCTCTTCAGTCTTCTTTTCGGTTCCTGTCTATTTAGACTCTTTTCCCTCGCCAACTCAATCTCAATCGATATTGACAGGAGCGGGCCCGACCTGCAGTCCCCACGGCAATGACCAACTTTGAGAAGTCGGTAAAGGGGGCTACTAAGCTCAAGGTGAGTTATTGGTTTCAATCAATGGAGATTTGATGTATCCAAGTAATAACAAACCTTTGCGTACAGCTTGCGGCCCCTAAGTCGAAATACGTTGAAACAATTCTGGTGGCGACTCACACGGGCGAGGCGGGCGTCGCAGAGATCTTCCGAACACTTCAACACAGGCTCCGAGACTCAGCATGGACAATCGTGTTCAAGGCGCTGATCATCGTCCACCTTATGATTCGGGAGGGCCAGCAGGACGCAGCGCTGTCATATCTGTCAGACAACCCGAAGAAGATCGCCCCCAGCAACTTCTCTGAAGGTGAGTAGTTAACAACAAATTCGGCTTGGCTACCGTGTACTGATTATATGAGCAGCGCAATCCCAGGGACATAACATCCGGCGATATGCCGAGTATCTCATGACGCGCGCCAAAGCATTCGATGCCACCAAGACCGACTACGTGCGGAGCGGACCCGGGCGTTTAAAGCGACTAAGCGTGGATAAAGGTCTTTTAAGAGAAACGGAGGTTGTACAGAAGCAAATCCGTGCGTTGTTGCGGTGTGATGTAGGTGACACCTGGGAGGTGGATTGCGACGCAGCTACTGACAGAAAACGCAGCTGTTGACAGATGAACCCGAGAACGAGATCAGTTTGACCGCATTCCGCCTCCTTACACTAGATCTGCTGACGCTGTACTCCGTTATGAACGAGGGTACCATCAATGTTTTGGGTAGGCATAGCCATTCCCAGCCCCCGGGCGTTGCTGCAATTTCTGACGGTTTCCTTCAATAGAGCATTATTTTGAAATGTCAAGACCGGATAGTGAACGCGCCTTGGCAATCTACAAGACTTTTACGAAGCAGACGGAGGAAGTGGTTCAGTTTTTGGGTGTTGCGCGGCACTTTCAGTCCGCCACCCGGCTGGAGATTCCGAAGCTCAAGCATGCCTCCACCGACTTGGCGCGCCTTCTTGAAGATGACTTGAACGACCCTGACTTTGACCTTCGGAGGCGAGAATACTTGGCCGGTAAAGGGATCAAGAAAGATGGGCGTGCGCAGACTTCTGGTGCCGAGTCCGCCTTCGCGGAGCCTTCCTCTAGCAACCAACCCAAGCCCGTGTCAAATCCGCCCAGGCAGCCTGAAACGCAGAAGCATGCCCCTGCAGATCTGATTGATTTCTTCGACTCTATTGAACAGAACCAACAGCCAATGGCCCAGCCCGGCGGAATGTCGTATCAACAAACAGGCTTCCAGCAGCAGCAGCAGCAACAGCCACAACAGGCATTCTTCCCTCAACAGACTGGGTTCCCTCAGCAGCCCCAACCCACCGGATTTGGCCAGCAGAACCCATATGGCCAGGGTCTCCCCCAGCAAAACACTGGTAACCCCTTCGGCCAGCAGCAAATACAGCCGCAGCCGCAGCCACAGCCACTCCAGTCGATGCCCACCGGTGCCGGATTTGGTGGATATACGGCGCAGCCACAGTCCTATGGATACCAATCACAGCTGGCTCCTATCCCGCAAAATGCGATTCCTTCATTCTCTCAACAGCAACAACAGCTCCAACAGCCTCAGGCCTTGCAACCGCAACATACGGGGACCAACCCATTCCGACAATCAATGATGCTGAGTAACCCCACGGGTGGTGCACCCCCTGCCCCTGCCCCTGCCGCCCCTCTACAACGGCAGAACACAAACCCATTTGCCAAGCGCCTTTCCATGGCACAGCCCAATTATAACCAGGGCGCCCCCGACCCCGTACCTCAAGTCCCCCAGATTCCCCAAGCGCAAGCACAGCCACAAGCCCTGCAGCCCCAGCGCACGGGAACCAACCCGTTCGCTCGGAGCTCATCAGTGCCGCCTCCTCAGAACGGGGGGCTGCAACCTCCAGCTACAGCTCCTCTGCGGCCCAACCCGACTGGAAGTACCAACCCCTTCCGGCAGAGTCAATTTATCAATCAGCAAACTGGTCAAGGGTGGCAAATCGGGCAAAATGGCACACTGGGTGGGTTAGAACAGATGGAGACAGTTCCCGTCTTCCCGCGACCGGGCATGGCATAAGGATCAGGATCCAGGGCATGGAGGGAGCCGGGAAGTGTTGATGGTAGCACTGCTCTTTGCAACTTGGCCCTTTCTTCCTCTCGTTCTTGTTATATTTTCCAATTCCTCTTTTCTCATTCGATATTGCCTACTAACCTTCTCCCCCCCCCCCCCCCCCCCCCCCCCCCCCCCCCCCCCCCCCAATGCTGAGCAGGCTGCTGGCACGTCGCTCTGCGGCTCCGCGGCTGAGCCGTGGAGCCGCCGACACACTGCGCTGTGACGCAATAGATAGAAGTTGCATTCAGCCCTGGTAATGAAGTTCATATAATCTAGCGAGATCTTCCCCGTTGCTTTTGGTCTCACAATGGACACTTGCCGGTATCCGGCTGAGTGGCAAAGAGTAATCCAACGTCACTACCGCACGGAGGTGGAAGGACGGACATCATTGCAGATCTTCGTCGTAGTGCTTATCTCAGACGAGATCAGCCTTATGCGCCACATGCCTCATACACCTGAGATGATTGCCACTGACGACCGGCGAATTCATTGATGGTCAGCTCGACAAAGGCATGTATGTGTGTAATCAGTATAGAGTACAAACTACTAATGGTACTTTCATTTGGCCCCCAACCCGCTCGACCGGTAAGAAGTTCCCTCATTCCATCGTGGTCCTGCAGGGGGCAAATTTACCGATGTACTGGAAAATGTTCCTGAATCTGATCAATTGATATCGACCGACAAGAATTCCGCAATGGACTCAACTCACTCTGAAGTGCTGCATTAACGGCTAGTTATGCTTCATGGAATTGCCGAATTCTCAGACAACGGAAAAAGCCGAGCTGTACAATTATACATAGCAGGACCACGGGGTGCAATCTTCCACTAGCGTGCCTGGACGGACCCGACAGAAAGGCTCAGACGCGGCGGCCTCATGCACCGTTCATTGGGTTTTGCACCGGCGTCCCACGCCCGTTTAGCACGAGAGTCCGGTCGGGATTTGATATTAGACCGGGGGTTCGGATAATGGGCAACACTCGGACGAGATGATTTGGAATAAACGAGAATCGATGTGGCAACACATATAGCTCCGAGTTTGGGGTAAGAGAATGATCGATGGATTTGGAGATTTGAATTGGATAATCTTGAATAATGTGGATTCGGGGGAGGTCCAAGAGGGTCGAGACTCGGTGGGCCGAGACCCAATGATATCGCCCTGTCTGGGACGAGGACCCAGTCAACATCCTGGATGTGCCAATTGAAGCCCGTCCCATCCAAGAGTGGTCTCCAGTGAAGGTCTCCAGTCGGCGTTGCTGGGTCGCTAGAGGCGTAAACCGGGGGGTAAAGACAGGGTGGTGATCAGTTGTACAAAAGATGCTGGAGAAGAAAAGGGGATGAATAGTCAAAGAATAATAGCTAACAGCGCCCATGGACAGAAGTTCAGAGGACAAGGCAGACGAATTTGCCAGTTGTCTAGAAATTAAGCTAGAGAATAGACCCCTTCCCCCCCTCCTGTGAGGCGCAAACATTCAACTTCTTCAACGGCTTTAGGGTTTCGGAGCCGCCGCAAAGAAGTAAGCAACGGCAACTTCTCGTCCTCCTCCTTCTTTTCTCCTGCACATTCCTTTTGGGCCCTCCGGGGGGTACTATCTCCACTTTCTTTGTGCCAGCCAAGGGAGAGAAAAAAAAAGACGCGATCTTGCAGGTATTCCACCTGGTGCTCGGTGTCGCCCCGACTCCTCACTAGCGACTTTAGCGGCAGTTCATGATTCGTCGGACAATGCGATGATAAACGTGAAGAAATCAGTCTTCTATTAAGCGGATAGCCAGGGATATCTTCCCCGGGCGTGACAAGTCACTGGTGTACCTTCTGTTTTCTTTGTCTCCGAGCAACCTCCCTTTCTTCTACCCCGCCAAAAATTCCCCTCGTGCTCACAAGCTCTTCCTCGTCTTCTTGCTCTCGCCTCCCTCCACCGGACGGTGTCCGATTAAGCTCGTCCCATGGATGCCAAGCAATCCTTCCCCGGGGGCTATGAGCAGACTCTCCCCGTGCTCACTCGGTCTCCAGTTTCCGCTCCCTCGACATGGCCCGAAGCTGATCCGAACCTTCACACGGACCCCTATACAACATCGATGCCGTCGCATCCTTTAACTACGAGTACACCGCCATCCCAGACCACAGCGCTGGCTTCGGCACCTAATGCGACAATCCAGCCGCCGGCTCAGGCGACTACCACGGCTGCTACCACCACCACCACGGAGCGCAATGCCCCTTCCAAGGTCCGCAAGCCCCGTAAGGCGGCCAATGCCTCGGCGGGAAAGTCCACGCTGTTCTGGGTCCATACCGACCCGGATTCCGCCGCCTCGGGAACAAAGGAAGAAACCCTGAAGCGCATTCGGTCCCATGTCATGTCAGAACATAATCGCAAAAAGCGATTGGAGAACACTAAAAAATATAAAGGCAAATCCTGGAAGCACCTGGCCTTTCAGCCACCAGAGACGATCTCGGGGCCTATGGGTCCGCCCCAACCCCCGGCATCTACGCCCTCATCTTCATCTAGCAGCAGTCGCTGGGGCTCACATGTTAGCGAGTCGCCGCCATCGAAGCACGAATTAGTGCCCACTACGACCGCCGTGGATTACTATCCGCCCGTGACTGCCGACACGGCAACTTGGGTCGGGCAAACCTGGAGCGATGATTCATGGGATGACAGTAGCTATGATGGTGTCGTAGGATTCCCTACGGAATCACCACGCTATTCTCCATGGTCGTATGTGGGATCGGGAGCACACGATCCGTTCAATACGGGTCATACACAGCTCACGGATCGTATGATGCGCCATTTACAGAATTGTTTGTTTTATTTCAATGTCTTTGCTATGAATCTGACTAACACCAGTCAACAGTCCTGTGGGATTTGACCCAAGAAGCGCATCCATTGCAGACGCGGTACAAACCAAAGTTACAGGCCCATTGGGCCGCTCTTATTCAGCGAGACCCGGCCATCCTCCATGCGGCAATTTGTATGTCTACTTCAAACGCGGCCATGCAAAGGGGTGAGCTACCGATTCGAGACCCGAATCAGCATCGCAGTGCCCTGGTGGTTGATACATTCCACCATCGAGGCGAGACGATTCGATTGGTGAATGAGGGGCTATCGGATCCGGTGAAGTGTTCTAGTGATGAATTGATCGCTGCGGTTTCTACATTATTAACCATTGAGGTGAGTGCACATCTTCGTGATCATCCCGAGGAATCCTCAAAGACTAATTTGGTCAGATCGCATCGGGTAACCCCGACTATCTAAAGATCCATCTGGCAGGCTTGCGTCAAATGATTGGAATGCGCAAGAATTTTGCCGACGTGCTTCCGGACGTCCGGTTCCAAATTAATTGGTAAGAGATCCCCCTCCTGAGCCATAACGGCCAGAGTTCTAATTCTTCCATCAGGACGGATATCCGAGTCGCCTGCATGGCCCTCACCAAACCCATCTTCCCCTTCGTCCGCTCCACCCGTCCTCCACGCTTGACGCTCCTCCCGCCCAATGACGACGTTGCCCTCTGCGCAACCCGTCTTCTCCCCCTCATGAAAATCCCAGGTATCTTCAGCGAAAGCTTCTCTAAAATCATCTACGACCTACTCGAGCTCTCCTGGTACGCCGAATGGATCAAAGGGAGCAGCGGCTACAAGGAATTCGACGAAGAGACCGAAGACTACTTCAACTTTGAAGTCCTCTACGTCGAGTATTCTCTCCACGCAGACCGATACACGCCCACCGGCCAAATCAAAGGCGACAACTCAATCGAAGGTTGTACACGCCTGGCCTGTCTTTGCTACCACAACAGCGCCATCTGGAGCTTCTACCCCATGCTTGCGCCCCTGCTGCCAAAGCCCCTTCTAGCACTGCGGGCCGCGCTAGAAGCAACCATTCCCTCGGGCCTGTTTGCGCTGTGCCGCGATCTCTTGATATGGGTGCTATTCATCGGCGCAGCTTGTAGCCAGGTGATGCCGTCGGAACGCACGTATTTCGTCACGGAATTGGCAGCTGCCGCGAGAATGCATGGCGTGACCTCCTGGCAGGAGTGTAGGTCTATCCTGCTCGGCTTCTTCCATGCTGACCGGGTCCACCTGGTCACACTGAGGCAGGTGTGGCAGGAAGTTGAGGCACGGATGGGATCCGCTGGTGTGTGAGTGTGTTCATACTCGCTCTTATATAAACTATACATTCAAAATAATGTAATTGGTACGTGCTTCTGTGAATGTGATGGTAGACGTTGGTATATACAATGCGTCTGGGAAAACCTCAATGAATGATGACCACTATATCAGTTCCCCATGCGTAACCCCCAGTTAAGACTATGATCTTGATACACCTACCTCCTCCGCCTCCTATTTCAACAAGTATTCTCGAGCGAAGCATGAACTTGGGATGCTCACACTCTTTCGGCCTTGCCCAAAAACCACCGCAATAAATCAAGGATGGTATTAACGACACGACAGAAAAGTTCATGGCACGACAAGGCTAGTCCAAATGAGGAATGCGCCCCCTTCAAAACAGAATGCTACATTCGAAATACACCAGTTACCTACCGAGGCTTTCTGTCTGATTCACAATCATACTTCTCGCTAATAACGTTAGCGACTATATACGCGACCTCTATCTATTTATCCCTATAATAGACTAAGTTAATGTTCTACTTCCCCTCCTACTATATCGCCCTCTTTCACGGTCTTTTTTATAGCCTTTTCTATAGTCTTTTCAATAGTCTTTTGAATGGTCTTTTCAATGGTCTTTTCTAAAGATAGAGCTATACATCCATACGGACTCGGTAGGTAACTTGTGTATTTCGAATGTAGCCTTCTGTATCGCAGGGGGGGCATTCCTTATTAGGACTAGCCTTGTCGTGCAATGAACTTTTCTGTCGTGTCGTTAATATCACCCTATTTTTTACCTTGCAGCTTGTACCCCTTTCAGACTCCAATCTCAAAAAATTGAAGTAACTTCAAGAAGATAGGCCCACGACTGTCTAAAGGCAATGTCTCATATTTTGCTATAATAGTGTTGCACAGAAATATGATCCTCTCAGCTTCAGAAATTCGCTTAAGGCCCGGTACATATCTTAGATCTAGAAAGAAATATCTTGACGATATCCCAGAGTTCGGAGAAAACTGGTTACCAGTCGATTACGAATATTGTGATGATAATCGCTGGTCTATGCAGCTCCCGTATCATATAGGTGCTAGATAGACTCTTCCTCTTCTTCACTCACTCAGCATATCTTATAGCTGGCCCATTTAGCACTGAGCACAAAGGTCTCCAGCTCTACGGAATGTGTTAGCCTATCATGCGGTTTGAGAGGTTTGCGATCTATCGCTACTTGGACAACTATGTATGTCTGTAAAGTGGGCTATGGCAAAAGAACAGGAGGAGAGGCCAAGGCGCCGATGGACTAATTCAATAAGCGCTTCGTTTCTGTTTGGGAAATAGATGCGAGGACAGGGACAAGCTGAACGAAGGCCAAGCTTTGTGGTGGGGATTCACAGGGCTTCCCCGCACCGGCGATCACCGCAAACCTCTGGGGGCCGAGGCAAAGGACCATGGACTTTTCTTTTCCCTAGGCAATGTTGGTGTGACATACCCAAAGGCTCCGTATATTCCAATCCGGCGGCAGGTCAGGGCGGGAATCTCTGAGCGACTCTCCATCAACGGCAGATAGAGGGGCTAGCATTCGTCGATCTCACATGGTGTAGCCAAGACGTATCGTGCCGAGTCACTTTGAGACGAACCATGGATATAAGATAGGACTTTGCATAGATCTGAACATTTGAATCTTGTTTTCTTTAAGAAAAAAAAAGAACAAGGTCGCGAAAATATGGCGAACACAATGACTACAAAAGGCAACCCTCGCGATTCTATGATTTCTACTTGGCGCCGTGACCGATCACAATGGACATCTGCCCACTGGCTGCTTGATCTGCTGGGCACGCATCTTAAGCCAAGCGACGGTAACGTGCCTGTCTTTTCCAAAAAAGAAAAAATACCTTCCGTGCGGGAATGGACCGTTCATCTATGGATCTTGCTTCATGCGTTGATCCCTCACGTGTTTCAACACGTATACATACTCTATACCGGAAGGAACCTCGACGCGGTCGGTGTTTTTCTTTTGTATAGCATGACATTCTATGGGACTGGTATACATCTAGTACAAACAATTCGTCGCCTCGGTTGGGCTCACGGCTTCTTGGATGGAGACAAGCATGAACGAGACGACATCCCTGACGTTGGGGTAGGAAGGGTTGCGACGGAACTGCTTTCTGTCCCGACACTTCGCCTAGCTATGTCTATCTACCTATCGTATCCACCGGGAAAGCTCCCATTCTCTTTTCATTGGCCATGGCTAGCTCTGAAGATTGGATTCTACAGTATCACGGTGGACTTTTGGTTTTATTGGTATCACCGCTTGATGCACACTGTTGAGCCTTTTTGGAAATTCCACCGTACACACCATCTGACGAAACATCCTCACCCGATGCTTGGTGCATATGCCGACCACGAGCAGGAGTTTTTTGATATCCTTGGCATCCCGCTTCTTGCCTTTGGTACTCTGAAGCTGATTGGTATGCCTATGTCGTTTTATGAATGGTATATTTGCTATCAATATGTGGTCTTTTCTGAGATCATCGGGCACAGCGGACTCCGCATTCACGGGGGCGCACCCTCTACTTTTAACTGGATACTCGAATATTTTGACGCAGAATTGGTGATTGAAGACCATGACCTGCACCACCGCTACGGTTGGAGACAGAGTCACAACTACGGAAAGCAGACCCGTCTCTGGGACCGCATATTTGGAACCTGTCGTGAACGTGTTGAAGGTTATAAAGCCAACGTCGACTACGATAACCGTGTCACATTCCCTCTTTTTTGAAATCAGCCATATGGTGGGACGGACATAGGGAGAACCCATAGAAGAGAACCCGGTTTTCACATGCAATATAAGTTAGCATAGTATCCTATATCATCACCGAAACCTACAGTGTAATTTTGTTCCTCTGTCGAGCTGTCTTATTGAATCACCTCTGAGTGGAGGGCATAGCCTGACAGTGGACTTCGCTTTTATTGGGCAAGGCCAAAATCTCGATTTATGCCCATTGGATGTCTTCCTGCAACTTCAAGGCTCAGATTCAATATGAACCGGAACGTGGAATCTTCGTTTAACGTGATATAATACCCAATAATCTTGTCAGGCATTAGAACCCGTCGCAATCCGGTATACATGATCGACTTCGGCTTGGCCAAAATTACCAGGATCCCAATATTCACCATCGTATCCAATACTGTGATCGTCAGCGCCTCGTTGGCACCGCTCGCTTTGCCAAGATAAACTCTCATCGAGGTGTTGTACAATCTTGTCGTGATGACTTGGAGTTTCTCCCCTGTCTCGTGATCTATCTAGAACGCGGCTCACTCCCTTGGTAGGGATTGAAATTTGCTAACCACGAGAGAAGATCCGATTGTGTCATGAAGGAAAGATTCGAAGTTTCAATAGGACGGCTCTACCCTGGCTTGCCAATTGAGTTCACCTTGTGATTGGAATACACCCGGTCGCTGTGTTCGGGGGAAAAGCGAAATTACATTTATTTACCCAAACTTTTCCAGAATGTTTCCATTCAAAAGCCATTCCGGGATGACACTGTGTCTGACTAGCCTACCAGAACTTTCTTGAAAATATCAGCATCACGCGAAGCGCAAAAAAAGATAACAAATGAACGAGGTTACAGCTTGAAATGCGTTATAGCCGATCACAGCACCTTGGAAATTAATTAAAGATGTGGTGAATCATGAAGCCTGTAAGAGCCGAAGTAGTTAAATCCAAATGGGTTTGATGCAAGCAGGCAGAACATTTGACTTCGGTATTTTCAAAAGAGTAAGCTCATTTGAAATCTACATTCCGGCCCTGTTGGGCACCGGTGGTCTGGTATCATGGCAAGGGACAAAAACAGTAGATACCAGTTCCAAAAAAGGCGAGAAATAAGCCAAAATAAAAGTACGATGGTAAAAGCTAAAGGAAATGATCGGCCTCGTACCTTTGCTATCGTAATCGCAATTTTCTGTCAGACTAGTCAAGACTTTCAATTCCCGGGTCCCTTTTGATCACGGAATAGAAATAAACCAGTCTAATTGAGTCTGTCTGGTCCGAGGTAAACGGCATGATAGGAGATCAATCGATACGAGGGCGGTGGACTGCATTGAGCAACTCCACGTCTAGATGTCATGACGAGGCAAGGAAAAGTAACATAGATGACGTCTTCATTTCCCCGGAATTTTCAAGGCATCAATCAATGACTAATCAAATGGACCATCTTAACTATTATCTCTCTCTTTTCTGTAAATCCTAGAGACCATTCAGGAGAATTCATTTGGCCGTTGAGGAATGATCAAAGGAAAAGTTAATTCATTCTGTTTGAGTTTTGGAATTGTCACAACTCTATTCAACGCACTATTTTCGGCACCCCATGAATTCTGGCATTGCGCTCGTGATAGTGGCAACGGTTCTTACTTCCTTTGCTATCATAGTAGCAATACTACGACTTATTGCTCGGTTCTGGATTTTGAGAGCTTCTGGCATAGACGATTACTGTGTCGTTGGTGCTATTATTACCTCTCTGGGGATGCTTGTTTCTATAAATTTAGGTTAGTTCCCTCAGGGAGGCTATGGCCTATGCTGACCTACCTTAGGTGTTCATTATGGAATTGGAAAGCCTTCCCAAGTGAGCAGTATAGACATCGAGGCGGTAGGAAGGGTTTGTAAGCATTCTGCTCGTCAGATATCGCCATCTGACAATATTTGCAGATACAGCTGGCTGTTCAGGTTCTCTATATCACGTCTAGCGGTCTCATCAAAGTATCAATCCTGCTGCTTTATCGTCGCATATTTCCGTCATTACGAAAAATCTGCGACCTCACGGTAGTTTTGGTCGGAATGATCGCCATTGCCTTCATTCTCTCCGCTGTGTTCCAGTGCAAGCCAGTTGGAAGTTTTTGGCTAAGACCAAATGCTCCTCAAAACTCTTGTTTTTCGCTTCTCATTTTTTGGTGTGATGTTGCTGTCGTATTTCTGTTAAGTAATATTTGGATTACACTACTTCCTCTGAGATCGATATTAGGTAAGTTTTATTATATCGATGTGGACTACAGGACTAATGTTTGGGGTCAGGTCTTCACCTTTCAGTCCGTAAGAGGATCACGGTATTTTTGCTCTTGGGCTCAACTGGAATATGGTATGTGCATTGCCAATTGGGGGAACGTTTTCTGACAAGCGTGCAGTGTAGTGGCGTGTGCAGCTGTTAGGCTGGGCTTTGTCATACACCTATACAAGGGTCAAAATGACATACTAGACGTTGTTCCAGTATATGTATGCTCGGTTGTGGAAATATCAACAGCCTTGGTTGCCGCAAGTATACCAGCTTTAAGGCTGGCTGGGATGAGATATCTAGACCAGCTGAGACCACATAAAAGCGAGCAGAGGGTGGGAGCTCAGTAAAAATGAATTTTATTCTTGACTGCCTACCTACTACTATCCTATCCAATATTTATCAATCAACTTCATCACACAATATAGCTATATCTTGGATAGGATAGTAGTAGGTAGGTAAGCATGAGAATAATACCTGAATGGATCATTATATCCCATTCCCATTGACAGCAGTATTTTTCTGATAGTAAAGAGCAATTTTATAGTAAAGTCACACACAAAGAGTGGCGCTTGATAGGATTCAATGGGAAACATTTAATATCTAGTGTCCGAATCAGGATTTCTCTTCGATAGTTATCAGGATATCCCCCATAACCCCGACCTTATTCCACCTTCCAATATCTACCTTATACCTTGTGTTTTGGTTCAGCTTCTTAAAATCATTCTTTTCGCCAATATACATAGCGGTTCTCCAGATGAGAGTGCATATTCTGTCATTCTTGAAGTCGTCAACAAGGTCGACGCTGCCTTGGGCTCCGTACAAAGAGCCAGACTGTCCACAAAAGCAGATGGACCGTTGACTGCCATTATGCCGAATAATCATGTCGTCAAGGTCGTCAGATGCCAAAATGTCGCTTCGATCTCCCTCTCGATAGAATTGGCCGCTGTTCAAGCTTAGGGGCAGGGATCTCTGGAAGTTAGGCAGGACAAGACGAGTACCAGTCTAAGTCCGCATTTTCGAGACGGATATCAAATTTCAAATTATCTTGGATTCGAATGTGGAGGAACTGCTGGGACAGTATGGATGCCATTTTTTAAATGTCATATAAAGAGGGCCCTCAGACAAAGGCTCTTGATAATGATCAGGGGAGGTGGATGGCGCGTGGCTAATAAGTGTTGAACAAGGCGAGAGACACGAGGCTGGGAGGTTTATTTCAACTGATGTGACGTCCCTATGACGCTTATCATTTAGCAGCTAGGGAAAAACATATAAGGTTCGGAAGCCTGCCCTTGTCATGAGACCATTCGATTTGAAGCTGGTTATGATTGGTAGTGCCCGAAATTTGTCACATCCACAGGCACGCCACTTCAAAGTCGGGACATCCCGTTCTAGCTTGGTAATGTAATCATCTATCCCAGCACGATGAGGATATTTGACGACAGCTATACCTGCATGCATTCTTTTCCCGTTGTATCTCTCTCTTGTTTTTTTCGTTTTCTGAATTGCTATTCTCGCCTTGTTCTCGCTGCTGACACAATCGAACGGCATGTCAATCCAAAGCACACAACGCCTTTGCACAAACTCGGCTCCATGTTAAGAAGGCCGGAATCCCTTGGACAATTTGAAGCTCATGCCTAAAGGAACAGGTGGGTCCACTAATCCGCCGGGAGTTTCATTTTGAAAACTACTCTAGTCGAGCCCGTGGAGGGCTGGATTGAGACCAAGTCTCGCAATTCCAAATGGACCATTTTTATCAGCGTCTTTTCTCCGGGCGAGCATGCCTGCGCTCCGAATGAACCGTCAAGCTTGACATGCTCAGGACCATGTATGTATAATGTAGCGCACGTACGTATTGTTATCTCATAGCAATGGATTTGGTAAATTTGGGGACGGCAAAGCTGCGGCCGTACCCTATGTCTTGCTAGCCGGCGAATCTTAAAATGGAATATAGGGTAGACAACATGATCAGCGGCAGGCTATTTCCAGTCATAGATTTCCGTAATGAGGGTGTCACATATGCCTCGCAGGTCTCAACGGAGCTGCCGAGGCATTTGCTGCGAAGAGGCTGCGCAGCGAGTAGAGACTTGAACACAGAAGGCCCAAAACGGAAAATAACAAAGTTCATGTAAAAGAGAACGAACGGGACCCGTCAAGTTATGCTGGAACTAAATCTTCAGATAATATCATTCGGTCGCTAATCCAAAACGAAAATATCTTGACAAAGTTTGCCCTTGCATTGTTGCATACACTCGGAGCATCACGATGACTCCTTATCTTTAGCTAGTGTCTGAATCATATGGTCATCTCTTGGCTTCCGTGCCCAGACTCGCCGGCTGTGTAGTGTAAAATTAGTCAGTATATGGATAGTCACCAAGATTCACAGATAAACTTACACGTATCCATAGGCATGGATGCGGGTATCTTTCAGCTCCTTCCGCACGTTGACCAAATAAATTTCAACTTCCTCCTTCGTCCATGGAGACGGTGCGCCGAACTTTGTAAGTAACCACATAGCGTACCCCTCCAGTCCAGACTTCCAGTGCTGCTGGTTGAGGAGGCCAACCTCCTTCAATAACTTATCCTTTGGCCAAGGTCCCATGGGAACCTTGTAGAGGCGCTCATGCACATCGACAAAACCGGCCGCCTCGATAGAAGCTCGCATTGTCTCCTGGGTTGTCAAGGACTGGCCAGCCCGTTCCCCACAGCCAATGAAGTTATCACCCCAACCAGCCAGCACGCTATCTGGTGGCAGGGATCCGTCATCACTCTTCACTCGGACGTCGAATTCGATTTGCTCGATCCATCCACCAGGTGCTAAATTGCTATTTAGATCATGGCATGTTAGGTCACGGGCATACACGGGACGAGGTAATCGAAACTCACTTGAAGCATTGTTGATATAATCCTTTCCATCCTTCGGCGGTGAACGATCCAAGCATTTGGCGCAAATGAATCAAATCAAAAGGTTCTCTCCAGGTCCATTCTCTCTGAATATCATCAACTTCGAAAATGCAGTTTGGGGGCACCCAGGTGACTGGAGGAGGGAAGAGGTCCACCCCGCGAACGGTAGCTGTAATTTTCAATTCTAGGTCCGTTGAATATCTTGAAGTAGAGTATGTCTTACCATCGGGATATTGATCTGCGACGTCTCTGTACATGTATTAGCACAGTCTTGCCATCGAGGAGCCGCCAGTCTTACAAAGCCCAATTTCCTTTGCCAGTTCCAATGTCGAGGATATGCTGTATTACTAATTAGTCTGACATTCGTCATGAAGTATGAGTGTTGTGCTGGTACCTTGGGATTTTCCCCAATCGGAGCTGAGAATAGAGGGTTGGATCGATGGTAGTCAAGCATAATGCATACCATATGACTGAATTTCCATGTCAGGCCACTCTTGCTGATACAACGACGTGAAATGTTTCTTACCCGAGCTCGAAGGCTTCGAATTGCTGCTCATCTGAAGGGCTCCTGTGAGGCAAGATTAGCTGAAGAATTTATTACCTTTCCCTTGGACGGGATCTTACCAGTAAACATCATCTTTTAATGCCTGGTATCTGTTATATCTCATTCAGCCCCATTTCATGCAATTAATGTGATACACTGTCCCTACCTGCGGCCATTTTCTATACGACCTTTGGCTATTTCCGAAGCAATGGATGTTGTGTCGCTTATGGATCATTAGCAACATTCAATCGCGCCCGTTAGGAACTACTGCACTCACGACTCGAAATCCAGAGATGGTTCGGATTCGCGGGGAAAGTGGAGATTCGGGTCCTGGGAGAGCCAGTCAGACGAAGCAGAGAAGTGAATGAAGAATGTTCTCTTACCACATCGATGCGTTGATCGGCCATGATCAAAGCCGAATGTGGGGTGCAGGGCGAGAGAGAATTCTACGATCGGAAGAGATGAGAGGAGAAAATGGCGCACTTTCTAACAGTCTCAAGAGAAAGTATCCTGGTTGATTAAGGAGGGCGGGCCTCGTCACCCGCTGACAACCGACTGTGCCGATAACTATCTTTTTTCAGATTAGCTGGGCCACGTGCCCTGTGTGGGCTGTGAGTGGGCCATGAAAGGAGCACTTTATAAACGGAGAAGGTTTCCCCAACAAGTCATTCCGTAGAGTCCGTACGTCCGTACGGAGATACATGGTGATTGCGCTAAGAGGTACATAGTTAGCATGCCGCCGTTTTGGGGCCCTTTTCGGCATGGCCTTATGCAGTCGGGACCGACCGTTAGTACCTGCGTTTCGTCATAGGGATGGAGTTTAGTTACTATATTGTACTTTTCATCAATGCCATTGTATTCTTTGAAGCGACACTACTTGATTGAGTACTCATCAACTCCGTCCAATTTTAAGTTGAGGTCCCACTACTAAAAAGCGGATGAACAAGCACGGAAATGTTGCTCATTTTACACCAAACAAGCTTGTACCGAAAGAGATTTTTTTTTCCGATTTGTGATAGGAACTCTCCAACGTCTTATGACATTAGATCTAATGAGGCTGAATTTGGGGTTTTTAGCTACTTCTATATAAAAAGGAAGGGTCCTCGGCCAGGAACTGTTGGGTCAGTACAGGCGGGCCATTGATGGTTAGCGGTTGTTTGGAGCCCTATATCAGTCGCATTCAAGAGTAATATCCTGAAGAAACAGTCTTTTTTGACGGAAATTCTCCAGAAGAAAGATCGAGTAGATACTGGCTGCGTCATATTGGTCCAACCCAATTTGATTCGACGCAACTACAAGTGTAGCGTGTATAATCTCTGCGACCCCAAGGAGCTGCTGGTCGGGACTTAAAGCACCACCACAGTATGTTGGGCAAACTCCAAAGGCTCCTGTCTTTGTCAGGCTAGCCGGTCATCACGCTGATTTCTGACAAAATCTCTGATTGTGGCTTGGAAGCTGATGGGGGCCAAAGACTGACGGCGAATAAGCATAAAGCATTAGGAGACCAAACCCGCTAGCGATCATTTGGTTTTTTGGCCACTCTAAGCATTTTGAGCAAGGAAACACCGAGGTATCCCGAGACTTCTCTTGCGAGTGCCAGATACTCTGTGGACGTCTTTTCACTGTTGTTTTCCTACCTTTCTTTAGCGGTTTATCCCGCCAACACAGACTAGTACTGAAATGACTAAAGATTTCCCGTTTACTAGTTTTTGTTCGCTTCAATTTTCGTAAATCAAGATATCTAGATTTGAAAATCTGATTTGCGGGCGCGTTTCTGCGACACTAACCAGATCTTACGGGCTATTTTCCCGGCTACGGTATTTTTAGCCCCTTATCCGCTCCAAACAGTAGCTAACAGATTACACCTTAACTCTACGAAAACAGAGCGCTGACATCCTCTTTCACAAATAGCCTCACATGGCGAGCAGCAATGAGTCTGTCCTGGTCACAGGGGGATCTGGCTTCATCGGCACCCAATGCATTATCCACTGTTTGACTGCCGGCTACCGAGTGAAGGCGACAGTCCGGTCGCTGAACCGTAAAGAGACCGTACTTCAAATGCTTCAGGTTGCAGGTGCCCCGAATCCCGAAAGTGTTTCATTCGTGGAAGCCGACCTTACCAAGGATGACGGCTGGAAAGAAGCTGTCCAAGATTGCACTTATGTCCTCCACGTCGCGTCTCCATTTCCCGCAGAGGCCCCAAAAAATGAGAATGACCTGATCATTCCCGCCCGCGATGGTACGCTCCGTGTACTACGAGCGGCTAGAGATGCTGGAGTGAAGCGCGTTGTTGTGACATCATCCTATGCTGCTATAGGTCATGGTCATCGCAACCGGGACCCGACAACACCATTTACCGAGCAAGACTGGACCGATGTGGATGGGCCTGGAGTCGGAGCTTACGAAAAGAGCAAGACTCTGGCTGAGCGCGCTGCATGGGATTTTATCGAAAAAGAAGGAGGCAATCTGGAGCTGTCTGTCGTGAACCCGGCCAATGTCATGGGACCCGTTCTGGGATCGGACATATCTACTTCAATTGAAGTTGCCAGCCGCATGCTGAGTGGTGCAGTGCCAGGATGCCCAAACATCGAATTCGGCATCGTGGATGTTCGCGATGTTGCTGATCTCCATCTGCTCGCTATGGCTCATCCGAAAGCCAAAGGAGAACGATTTCTGTGCATGGCACCCCCCGCAATGTCGATCAAAGACATGGCTTTGACTCTCCGCGAGAAACTGGGACCGAAGGCAAGGAAAGTTCCAACACGGACTATTCCGGATTTTGTGTTGAGGTTGCTTGGGCTGTTTGATTCTGGAATCGCCCTGGTGGTCCCATTTCTGAGCGAGCCTCGTCCCGGATCGAACGAGAAGGCTAAAACGTTGCTTGGCTGGAACCCTCGCTCGAATGCTGATGCGGTCGCTGCCACTGGAGAAAGCCTGATTCGACTTGGGATAGTGAAAATATAAGGATTTTACTGGCCTTCTTAACTATCTAATTCTTTGCATGACGGAAACTTCCAAATCTTAGTAATAGAATGACTAACTACAATCGATATAACTAGTTGAGTATTTGTCTGATACTATTGACACAATTGCGATTTGCTTCATCATATACCAATGATCTCACTCGATATCCTATTCACTGGGAAACAACCACAGAGCATTGTGCCATCCTGTTGAGCTATACTTGAACAGGATCCCCAAAGGCTCGACTTTCACTCAACACATGTAACGACTGTTTACCTCAGTGCCGCAAACCCGCATTGTACTCATGAAACAGTGATGGTGGAAGATCCACTGCTCTCATATCCCTCAGTAGAGACAATCTGGTAGTTGTGGCTACCCAGGCTCATACCCAACGAAGCCCAAGCATTGAAGTGGTTGGCAGTGGTCACGGTACCGCTGGAACGCTTGCTACGGCGGATGGACCAGTATTGGTTGAAGGTTGCAGTGCCCGAAATAGAGGGCTGGTTGACTTGCTGGTGCTCATAGATATCGTAGGTTGCTCCATCGCTGGTAACGGTACCCTTGTAGGTCATGCTGCTGCCCGGGTTGTAGGTACCGTAGTCCTCGAGAATGTAGTACTCGACAAGTGGGCTAGTAGTCCAGCCGTAAACAGCAAGGTAAGCATTACCTGAAGGATTGAAAGATCCTGAGAAGTTGATGTTCCTTGAAAGGAGGTGGTGATATGTTAGACAGGGAGTAATCGATTCATCGCCGACAGATCTTACCGGGCGGCTCCAGTGCTCCAGCCCTTTCCGGAGGTAAAGTCACCGCAATTTGTCCAGGTGACGCTGTACTCTCCACCGGCACCATTGGTATAGTCAACGGTACCACCACCATTGGTCCAGAAAGAGTAATAGTAACCATTGTTGGTTCCAGTCTGGCTGGTGGTGATAGTCTGGCGCTTGTTCCAGTCGCCCGGGACGGCGAAGGCGCCCACAATGGTGGAGCAAGCCAGGAACAGGTTGGTAAACGACACCATGATGGATATTTCGTGAAGTGTTTTGTGGTTGATGAAAAGCTAGTGAAGAAGAAAGTTTGATGGAGGATGGATGTAACCGGCACCCTAGGGCCCTTGATGTTTATATTCACAACTTGGGATAAAATCAGTTCACCTGTCCACTCTTCACTATCCCTTAATTTAATTTAACCGGACCCATATTATGCTAAAATAATCAGACGTGTCAAGCTTTCACATTGGGACATACCTGCGACACTAAGAGTTCCACCATTCTCGGAGAGACTATGTCAAACACCGGCGCAGAAAGGAGTCCCACCAATGCTTTCCGGCTCAAAACGGACATGTCTCCGGCACAAAACCGCCTGAAGAACTTTATTATGGGGTAAAAGATGCTCTATGGCACTAGCCAGGGCCGGATTGCCTAAACAATAATAAAGGCTGAAGGATAGTGTTGAAGAATTCAGCCGTAAGCCTTCGCCAAAATGCGGGGAAACACTAAGTAAGGCTTCTTCTCAGCCAAGGTGGATCCCTCGCTTATATTAGCGGATACAACCGTTAGGTACCTTACATTCGATCAATCATTCATCATTATTGTTATGACTAGTGAGGTATAGTGAACATAGCACATGATCTTTACGAGGTTCTCGTGGCTAATCTAATCATGTATCATAACATTATGCCGGTCGTACTTGAAACCCTCAAGCTGAAATCCAACGGCCGCTATTTCTAAAAGAGTGACCTCCAACGAGTTATTCTCGTAGTCGACATTCTCGTTCGAGCTCTCGATTCTATGACTGCATTGACCGAACACCCGATCCCAGACGCGTGTTTGCTTGCATAATTATGGCTCTTCCGTCAACCCTTGCGATGGTGAGAATCGTGATCTTCAATGACGAGTTTGGCATTGAAAGTTCTCGTAAGCCAGGTGAGAGGGTTTGGAGGCGATACATGAAGACGAAGACCGCAGTGTCCTATCAGCTCCGCAAACATAACATAGAGTTGACAAAGGTGCCATTCGTAGAAGCCCATCGGGAATCCCGGGAACTTCATCGGTAGATAAGTCATGATAGGAATTCCCGCGGTGTCGAAAAATTCTTGTTCCGAGTCGTCATAGATCGTGAGCAGGGAATTAGGGTGCTTCGTCAGGTGGTGTGTGCGGTAGTACTTCCACAGCCCATTGACGTCGTGCATAATATGATAGTGCCAGTAGTACCAAAAATTCAGAATGATGCCATATAAGCTGGCTTCCAGAGGAAGCGATTTAGGTCAATGATATAGGTGCCTTGCTCGTCTGATAGGTGAGATGAACAATGACCACGTGCGGAATGGCCGGGTTGCTGCCTCGATCATCACTTTGGCGCGTAGAGTATGGCCACCGAATTTTTCACCTTTGAGAAGGTATCTTTTCGCAGCATTGTCATGGGACAAGTCAAACCCTATGGTGATGGGAAGTCAGCAGGCCCTTTCCATCCCAGGTCAACTCGTTAGTGGCTGCTTCCCTGGCGTTGAACCCTGATCATCTTCTCTCGGCCAGAGATCATCTTAGGGCATTGTCTCCACAATCGCTTGTAAGGTTGAGTAGAAGTCATTCGAAGATGGGATAAAAATTGGAAGAATAATGATACCCATATATTTTTGGCTCCGAAGAGTTCTGGATGCCGCGATAGTGTCTGGCCATCGAGCCTTACATTTGAATGGCAGTAGAAAACTTCACATTGTTGACGGTTCATAGTAAGGGGGTTGAGATGGTCAAATATGGGGGTATTCCAAAAGCTAATGGATCTAGTAGCATATGGGGGCCAAGGGTGATTTGGAAACACTCGTCAAATTTATGAGTAGATCTAGACTATCGCACAAGGCTCTTTAATTCGTTGTACCGCCCCTCTACCGCGTCTCTGGTAAGATGAAACCGCTATTTCCATACCCACGACAGTAACACTGCGATGCGATCGGCCAGTATCCGAGATCTACTTGCTCTGTAATGTAGTTTTAATGGCTCAATAGTGGGTCTTAATTGCTCAGATCATTTAAAAGTACCTGTCCCGGGACTTATCAGATACTGCCATACAAGCGATGATGGCGTGCTCCCATGGACATGCTTACTTGGTATCCACTGTCGGGCTCTGGGACTGTGCACTGGAGCGACAGTGCTTCGTTACTTGCAGATGCAAGTATCTACCTAACCTTCTTAGTTATAGTTAGCAGTAATTTGCTGAGCCCTTTAACGTAGTATCATTCAAATAGATGTGCCCGTACATCGGAACTAAAGCGAGATCCGCGGGAGTACACGCATTTTGAAACCCCGCTGATGCCATCACTCCTATATAACGGTCTTCGTTTCGATGTCACCTTATATGCATCTACTCAGAGTCTCCAAAAAGCCTTGCTTCAGAGCGCACATTATTTACCGACTAGGACAATGAGCAAGCAAGGGCGTGTTGACACGAAGGTCCCAGAGAGCACGGTTGATCGCGTCGAGGAGATTGATATCGACCCAGAAGAAGAAAGAGCTCTGGTAAACCCCTGCACCCTATAGATTCTTACTTGGACTGAGTCTAACCTTAATTTAAGGTATGGCGTTTGGATTTGTTCTTTTTGACTATCGGGTTCTTGGGCTACGCCTTCAAGTATCTCGATCAAACCAATATCGTTAGTAGTATTGATCTACGTGATGAAACTGTTTTCTAACGCTGTCTTCAGAGCAATGCATATGTCTCTGGAATGCAGAAAGACCTGGAACTGTATGGGAATGAGCTGAATTATTTTACCACCTTTTTCAAGTATGCTGGTTTCATCCAGGCACCTATCAACTTCTATCCGAATAACTTTCACTGACTTTAACGAGGATAGCATTGGATACATGGTGATGCTCTATCCCTCGTGCGTCCTTATCTCTCACATTGGTCCATCCAGATGGTTACCTACTTGCGAGGTTAGTTTTACTCCAATGCAAATTTACTCTGAATTTCTTTTTATTAACGGCGATAACAGGTGCTGTGGGGGGTATTGACATGCTGCTTATCCACCGTTACCAACGCTAAGCAGGTTAGTATTGAAAATATGACTATTAGACCTCGCTAATTGACCTACTGTAGGTCTACGGACTCCGGTTCCTTATCAGTTTCTTCGAAGGCGCAACTTGGCCAGGTTATTTTACCATCATCAGGTACGCATCGAAATAGTTGTGTAACCAGTTCCTTTTACTGAAGCAGGTTAGTCAGTGGTATATGCCCCATGAAATGGCTCTCCGGATGAGCTTGTATAATATCGCACAGCCCGTGGGGGCTATGCTCTCCGGTGCTATGCAAGGCGCGCTTTCAACCAACCTCGAGGGTTCGCTCGGCCGGAGCGGTTGGCGATGGGCCTTCATTGTCAATGTGAGCCAATTCACAACCCACTAATTCCTAACAGCGCTAATCTTTTGATAACTCAGGGTATTTGTACAATCTTTGTGGCCTTGATCGCTTTCATCCTCTTGCCAGGTTTTGTATGAACCTCCCCTCCTCCGTTATGCTTGTAATAGCTGCTGATGCAAGGTGTTTAGCCCGAACGCCAAAACCCCCTTTCCAAGTTCTATCTTAGACCTCGAGACATTGGTAATTTCAATTCTCCAACAAAGTCAAGTTGAAACAGTGCTGAGAGACCTTCATCAGAAATTGCCAAGGCGCGCAATAGACGCATCGGCCGCGATCCTCAGGTTGGAATTACCCCGAGGACTTTCCTGCGTGCGTTCAAGTTCTGGCACGTTTGGATATTCGCGCGTGAGTTTCTTCCACACCTTGCAGTCATAGACAATAGCTGATGAAACAGTGGCGTGGTCGATCGGCACGAACCAGACGCCTTCAAACTACTTCAATCTTTGGCTGAAGTCACTGAAGAACGCAGACGGGACCAAAAGATAGTGAGATATCCCCGGGGCGCAGTGGAGCCAGATCTCAAAGACTAACCTGCCCTCAAGCTCGGTCGCTATGCTCAACTATCTGCCCATTGCGGGACAGGCTATTCAGCTTGTGGCAGAGCTTCTCTTCAGTGGCTTTAGTGACTACTTGGGTGTTAGACTGCCATTCCTGCTCCTTCACTCGGTACGTTATGCACTGCAATCCAGTATTTACTCAGCTAATGATAGCTACAGGTAATCAACATTACCTCCCTCATCATCTTGATCATCCGTCCCAGTAATGAGCACCTTTACATGGCTGGATGGTACATGAACTACATGGGCGCGTGAGTATCCCAGTCCCGAACATCACGAGCTTCAAAATCTAATGTATGCAGTGTTTCTACCATGCTCCTCTGCGCGTGGGCAGCAGCGCATCTCGAGAAAGAGCCTCAAGTCCGGACGGTTCTGTTTGCGACTGGTACTCTGTTCTCCTACCTCTTCAGCGCATTCCTGCCAATCGCTGCATTCCCTGCGTCGGAGGCACCCCATTGGCGCATTGGTTCAAAGGTATACCTTGGACTTTCTCTTCTGGCAGCGACACTCTTTATCAGTATCGCCGTTATATTCAAGCGGGAAGAGAAAGGCAAGAGAAAAGCCGAGGGGATTGAGGAAGGGCGTGAGGTATCTTCGGACAGGGATTAACTGGTGGCGAGAAGCTCGGTGTCCATGTGCTTCCAGCTCTTTCGTAACCCATATGCGTGAGGTTGTCGGGTTTTTTTTAAACCGTCCGTGCTATTTGACAACGATATACCATAACTCCCTAAAGGACTTACCCATATCCACATCCACTACGGAGTAGTCTCGTCAGTAGTTCCCACTCTGAATATTTTCCCATAGTAGCTCCTCAAATAAGCTTTCCATCTGATCTGAGGCCTCTCGGAAATCCCGATTCAAGAAAAAAAAAAAAGTGCACTGCTATCGCGGATATAATCAGTTCCGGGTCCTTCTTAGCGTCCAACCCCAGGAAATTCCGGGCACAGCTCCTTTGGTCCGGTCGTTAACCGATATCGCACATATCCCCTTTTTATAATAGTTGGGGGCCAGCTCCCGTATGGGTTTCCATCATTTTCACCACCTGCCAATTGCAGTATGACAAGCAGCGAATCGAACACCCACGAGCCCTGACAGCTCGGCTCGGCAGGCCGAGCAATCGCCGGCTTGTTTGCAGTATGCCGAGCGTATCCCGAGTTTGGGTGGATCTCGGTGATCGCTCGGGCAGCTAACAACGAGACCAACTGACGGGCAGTTTCAGTCTAGTTTCTTGGGGAGACCTAAATAATTCCCTTTATTCCCCCTTTATATCCTTTCTTTCTGCATCAATCTATTTTTCCCCCCTTCTTGCGTTGCTGTCAATTCCTCATCTCACGTGAGATCGTGATAGTTCTTCACTAATCCTCATCCAAATTCAGAAAGAACGGGCCGGATGATATTAGTGGCCCACTTCAGCATACTCTCCTCCTATTTACGAGTGTCCCCGACTCGATGACTGGAAAATAAAGAGGAGATAATTGACCTTTTTTTTGGCTTAGGGGATTACTTCACTCAAAGTCTGGACCTGCAAATTGTCAGACTATTTGCCTTAGTCGTCGAGGCATCTGCTATTAATATACATTTTGATCTGCAGGTGGATGAGCCTGAGCGGCCCCAAATTTCGGTCTTTTTGACGGATTGCAGGGGCATATATGATGCTCATAACGGCCTGGTCGATGTGACCAAGGGTCGAGAGCGATGGCAGAGCTCATTTGTGTGGTTTCTGCAGAGTCACAGAATGATCTTTGATCGATACTCCATCCCTGTCATTATAGGCTTGGTTCTGCCTCGGTGCCTGGATGCTTGGTCTTGGCTATAAGCCACTGCCAAGGACACAGATTGTGTTATCAACTAATCGTTTAGATCAGATCATGCTTGTCCGCATATGAGAAACGACAAAGGCACGCGTACAGTACTTGGAAACGGCCACTGCTCTCTTTGTCACTCTTCCTCATGACCTTGACACCTTACTTCCCTGCGCCACGCACCGAACAGGGATGTTCGATGTCGACCAGACGCTTCCGGCCTCGAGGCCTTCTTATGCAAGTGAAACGAGCAAGGGATCAGGCACCGGATCGTACAACCCGGTACGTTAAACACAACATCGAACAAGAATCATCATCATAACATCAATGGATTATTAACTAAATTAAGCATTTCACAGGCAAGGAGACTAAATACAACAAGGAAATAGGGGGGGACCAACAAAGATCCCTCTCGCCTTATAGATCGGCACCATCGCCGAAGCAACATCCAAAGAAGCCTCGACAAAGGTACAAACCGTTTTGTGCAAATGCCTCTACCCGACCGATCAAAACCAGACCAACCGAGAGAAAACAGACTCCAAGCCATGATCAAGGAACAGAGAAGCGGACAAAGGCTGTGCGTCAAGCAGTCAGACAGAGCACCACCGACAACGAACAAACGCGTCAACAGAACTTGCAGAACACCGACCCAAGACCAAAATCTCGACACACTTCTCTCCTCCTTGCCCCGGCTAGGATGGTACAAGTATGGACGGGGGGTATATCATCACATTACACGCGACCCGGACGCGCTCAATCTCCAATACTCAGAATTCAAAATCCAACAATTTACGCCAACTCACGCTCGGTCTTGCCACGGCGGGTACGGCCAGTGGGGGACCAGGGGAAGTGGGCAACGGGGATGATGAAGAAGCTGTTGCTGTCATCAGCCAGACCAGCCAGGGCGTTGTACCAAGCGGCGAACGCAGCCAGGAAACCGAAGAAGCCACCAGCCTTGATGATGGAAGTGGTCGGGGCGCCATCGGAACGGACCAGGTAGCCAATGCCCAGCAGTAGGAAGGTCAGGTCGAGGAAGAAGAACAGGAGGAAGAAGGCAACGGTCGAGCGGAGGGTGCAGAAGAGCAGGATGGTGGTGAAGATGAACCAGCCCATCAGGAACAGACCCATCGAATCATAGAAGAAGTCGGGACCGCCATCCGCCTCGAGCGACGACACAATTTCGAAGCCGCCAGGAGTCAAGACGATAGCGAAAGCGATCCAGAAACCACCATACGAAGACAGAGCAGTGGCACCGAAAGTGTTTCCGACAGCCATTTCCCTGGTGCAGAATCGAGTCAGCATTGTTTCTCGCAGTGTTTCGATTCATTGATTTGAACTGGCAGAAAACCAAGCCAGATCATTCTTCGCCGGGGGGGGGGGGGGGGGGGGGGGTTGCGACAAACTTACCACATACCAGCGAGCAGCTGGACGAGACCACCATAACCGAAAGCGAGAGCGACGACGATGTTGGGAGCGGTGATACCGCGAGTGCCCATGTTGATGGCGCTCAAGACGAAAGTGGTGAGCGCGAAAGCGCACAGGCCGAGAGGAGCCGGGTTGGCGAACTTGCGGTCCACGACCGGCTTGTACAGACCGGGCTGGAACTCACCCCCGAATGGGCGAAGGCGAGCTTCCTCGTTGACGTGAGCCAGAGGCCCATAGCCGAAGCGAGCGGCGGCGCGCGCAACTTCGTGCTCCTCGGCCGACATTTGCGGATGGACGGGAGTCCCATTGTTGGCGGCCACGGGAGCGGTGGCGCCGACGTCCTTCTCAAGGACTCCGTTGTTGGTGGCTTCGGTAGAAGACATGTTGATCGCGAATCACTGGGATCACCGAACACAATTGATAATCAGGTAGGTGTTTTGTTGTTTTTCAATAACGGGTATGACAACACAAAAAGGGGGAGTTCAGCTTGCTGAACAATGAAAAGGGTCCCGGGGGATGAAGTATAACACAGTTATACGAGGGAACTCGAGGAAGGAGAAAAAAAGCGATCAAATCAAAAGCCAATCAGCACTGCTGGATAGGTTTGATGGGGATGGAGAAGAGGAGGAGGGGAGAAGAGAAAGGAACCGAAGGGGAGGTGCAACCGGAGATATTATATGGACCGTGGAGCGCGAGCAGCAGCGAGCAGCGACAGAGTCTGGCCTGGGAATAATACTAATGCTGCAAATCGACCCCCCTCCAAGTTTACCCAAAGGGCGAATTGGGAATAACGGGGAACCGGGGACGGGACCCAAAAGGCTCAGCTTTTTTTTTCGGCTGCAGACCTCAGAGCTGGTCACTAACCCGCTCAGCCGGACACGAACCCTCTCCAGTTGGACGAAAGAGACGGAAAAAAAAAAAAAAAAAAAATATGATTAAAGAAAAACGAAAAGTGGAGCTCTGTCCACTGGTCAACTTACCCGCTCTACATACTTGGGTGTATTTCGATAAATCGCAGTGATGTGCAGCTGCAGGACCAGTCCCACTGACGCAGCGACGCTAACGGAGGTTAATTGGGTTGAAAAGGAAGAGGGAAAAAAAAGTGGATACACTAACAATCAAGTAAAAAGAAAAAATGGGGGGACCACCTGAAAGGAATGAGGAGGAAGAGAAGGAGTTGGGACTAATATAGTATGAGATGCTAGGAAATGGGAGAAAGAACGGAGCGAAAACGAGTTGGTCCTCTGGTCAAAATGCAGTCAACGGAAGGGGTTGGGCTCTCTGGCTAGCTCTATAACTAAATGTTTTACACAACGGCAGAATGCATGGCGCTTTATTCAATGGCAATCTCCCTTGCTGGTGTTCCAGGACCCCTCGTTGCATGGGCTCACGAAGCCGAGTCACAGAAGGGTGGAACAGGGATCGGTATTTTAGTCAGGATCAATGTGCAGAGGCCATTGCAGACGGCTTTACGGAAGATCAATAATTAGACTTCATTGCTGTCTAGTGGTCACTGGCCACTCATGCTGACTACATATTATGTACTTTATACTACCGTCTCTCTATTTTGATAATTACTGTCAGTGCTGCAGTACACCAGCGGGATGTCATATACTGGATTATCGATGATCAATGGCGGTTGATTTTGTAATGTAATAAATTAGCTTGTATCCAATACACTATCCCTCGAGGGGATTAGTATCTGACGTAGTGGATGTGGCGGACGGCCCTGCCCTTTGGGGGGGGATGACCGCCTGGTTTAATTGGTCACGGAGTTAAGGAAACCATGAAACGAGTGAGGAATGGCAAGAAATGGCAACAGAAGCCCGGGGAAAATCCCCAAAAAGAAGTGGGGACACATCCGGGGACCCGGCTTCCGCGTTCATCTTTTGTTCTGTCAGACAGAAACTGGGACTTACCGTCCTACAGTTCTTATTGGAAGAAAACAGTGCAGGAAGGCAACTTCAATTTTGCCGCAGCAATACGGCTCATACTGGGGGACCCCCATACTCTGATCTTTTTCCCTGATGAACGCAAAAGTACCTCAGAACCCGGATGGGACAAAGTAGAGTTTACGAGATCGACTTGCCAGTTCACGATTCTCATCCGCTATACATCATAGCTATCTTCAGTTTCAGGTTCTATTCCAGTTTCCAGCCAGTTTTCTAACAACTAAGAGTGGTGGCAGAATGCAACTTTTGCCTCTTCTCGTTCCTTCTACCCTTTTTTGTTCGATCTTTCTACTACTCAACGCCATCAGCCTCCCATGGCTTCCTCGGGGAGAAAGTGGGTCCTCAGGGTCTTTTGCTCGTGACTTGGCCATCATGTTTCTCGGTAATAACCAATAATCCGAGTCATTTTGCCCTTCGTCCGGGATCCCCGGCTGGACTGAGCAAGCGGTGGAGATTATTATTCTGGGGGATCCGGAGAAAAGAACGTGGAGTATTGCTTACAGAGTAGTTGGATATCCTTACCATCGGCTGGTGGCAATTTCATTTTCTCTTGAACGCTGGGCCGGTTCGGTCACCCCCTAGTGGGGATTTGCTTATTGATCCAAGCGGAGACTGGTCAGCCACGAGAAAATGAATATAAACCATACAGACAGCAGGTCATGGGAAAGACAATAATATGAAGGAACTAGTCATCTACCGACTACATAGTCAATAACATGGTCGGTTTCATTGTGACGATCATTACCGCAATCGCTACGGAA